AAGAGTAGGCCGTAGTAGCTGTCCTCATGGCGTATGCCCGTCTTCATTAGCCTAGTTCGGAGCAGAACAGTAGGACGTTAAACCCTATTTCATTTCATTTCAGTTTAAACGTATGGAGATCTGGTAGCATTAGATGTAATCTCCATGTGGTATATACTAAATAAATATACCTTTACAACGAGCATCTGGTTTAATGGTATAGGGTCATTCCATATCAAGATGACTAAATTCTCAGAAAGCTGTAAAGTGATACCCCTCAGAAAATTATGAACAAAATATATGTAATAGTACACACAGTCGTATAAAAAAAACTGCAGTTATATGACTCTAGCATTAATATTGACAAAGATATGACCATTTGAATCGGGGTAACCTTTCGCAATGTTTAAAACTAATGTTATATGACTCGATTTTTGTGATCTGATTTTATTCTTTCTCGTCAGTTGTATATTCACGACATTATGGGGTTTGTAAGAGAATTTTATATAGATTAAGAATTTACCATCACATTTTACAGAAAAATTGATACTTGTGCAAAACAAATCAGTATTTCGATACAGTGTAAAAATTTTGCTACACTATATTAGAAGTTGTTACTTATCACACTATAATTGTCAATGGGTATTCTTTGAACAAACATTATTAAAAAGGGTATCTTTGTCAGTTTCTTGTAAAATTAGCTTTGAAAATCGACTCACACAGGAAAATTGCTAAAACCACTACTTTTCAAACGCTAACCATATATAAGAGCCTTCTACGAAGAAATCTGAAACTTTGGGAAAATGTTGGATGTATACATGTCTATCAATGATGAAAAGCCCAACTGATAATTTACTCCTCCATTTCTTAAAATTGAACAGTAAATTGTGATTTCTTTTTCATTTTTTGCCAATTGATTGATTATAATACTTCCAATTGCCTGATTATCGTGAAACAAAGCCTAAGAACATTTTGTGCATACTTAACATAGAAACCATATTTACTAAAAATGAAACGATTAAAGATCACCTATGGGTCAATGGTAAACCGAATTCCACCTTCCCTGTTCCACCAAAACGTTGCGTTTACAAAACAGATTGTTCGTGTGGAGAGATATATGTTGGCGAAACGAAAAGTCCTCTGAATGTTGGTGAGAGAGAGCGAGAGAGAGAGAGAGAGAGGGGAGAGAGAGAAATGGGGTTTAACGTCCACTCGACACAAACTAAGTCATTTCGGGACTAACATATGGTTTAATTTTATTTCAATAATTCACTTGCGCGTAGGGGTATTTAGCAGTGGGGGGAAACCGGAGGATCCGGAGAAAACCCACGAGGTTGGACAGGCGACCCTACCCCTTGTCACGTACAACCGGGGATTCGAAACCACGCCAGTTGACTCAATGACAGGTCTTATGTTGGTATCTACCTAGCCAAAATTTATGACCCTTAAGAAACAATTAATGTCAGGAACTGTTTTACGTCATAAGATATACCATTCTTTTAGCTTTATATAATTTCAAATTAGTTTCCAAATTAAGGAGTTATGTGTATATATACGATGTAAATAGATCCCTCTATTATCTTCATGTACAATGTGTAATACTATTCCATGTCACAATACACAAATAAGCAGTTATGTGTATACGATGTAACTAGATCCGTCAATTATCATGTACAATATGTAATACTATCTCACAATATATGACGGGGGATTTGAGTCAAAAGTCAGTGCTATGTTGTTTAGTGCTATTACATGTCCAATGTTGCAAATGTTGAATGTAATGTGTATATTGGATTAAGTCAAAAGTAAAAAATCCTGTAATACTGACGAATACATCGTGTAAAATGACATCCACTTTTTGTCATTAAACATTTCACAACAAGCCGAAGTCCATCTACCAAGAACTTTAAACACTGAACTATGGCATCTTCTCATTTGACACTCGCCCTACGTATTGTACCCTTCGACATATGTCTTGTGTATCGTAACACTGAACAAGTAATGAAATTAGCCAGTATGCAAATTAGTTCACACGGTACCTATTTTTAATTTTGCGAGATCTAAGCTATATGACTGTCTCTTTTTGGTGCTGTCATCTTTTGCATTATAATGATATCCTGTTTATAAATTATATAATACCCATCCATGGGCCATTGTTCATTCTTCTCCTTTTATTTGTTGAGCTATTATATTTTGTATTATGTATACTTCTCATGAAGGGCAGGTTGGTGGTTATGTGGCAACTTTCTATGTCCACGTTGCGCATGGACTGTCGCACACGTTCACACAAAACCCTGGCGACTTCAGAGTAAAATTCTTCGAAGTAAAGTCTATGAATTCTACGAACAACCTCTTATGTTATATGTGGATGCCTAGATATTTTACTTTTCTTTCTTGACGTAGAAAAAAAATCATGAAATCAACACCCGGATGCAGGTCTCAAGCCGGGGGAAATTCCCTGCTTGAAAATTATGTTTTCTTCACGCGAGATGTCACGTGATTAAAAATAGGTACCGTCTGAACTTATTTGCATACTGGCTAATTTCATGTCGTGAGTTCTGTGTTACGATGTAAAAGTGAAATGTTGAACGGTACAATACATAGTGCGCGTGTCATATGAGAAGATGTGAGAGTTCAGTGTTTAAAGATCTAGATAGATGGAGTTAGGCGTGTTGTGGAAATTTTGAAATGTCTAATGTGAAATGTTTAATGACAAAACGTAGATGTCAATTTACACGATGTTTTTGTCAGTATTACAATTTTTTGTTAAATTTAACGTCCTCCAATTTACACATTACATTCAACATTTGCAACATTGTAGATGTGAAAGCGCTAACAACATAGCACTGACTTTTGACTCAAATCCACCGTCATAACAATACACAAATAAGTCTTCTATTTAGCTACATATGACATGTATGAATTTGTTTTTTGGGGTTGTTTTTATTAAGGTGTTTTTTCACTATTTATATTAAGCTCTTTGCTTCACCTAGTAGGTTTCACCCATCATCTATGTTTTCATTAATTCCTCTTTAATCCTTTATCTGCTGTTTAACTATGTTCTATCATAATTAATCTTAGTATACCTTGTGACGTGGGTAGGATTAGAATCTGTCAGTCGACTTTTTTTTTGAAAAATTGGTAAATTAAAATCTGCCCAGTCCTTCGCGCTGTGGAACCCCAGCTCGTCCTCAATCCGTTTAAAGCTGTCATCACCGTCAGAGTATCCGGGTCCCGGCAGGTAATCTAGGCCTCGTCCGAGACAGTAGAACGAAACTAAACGGAAACTTTTACTTTCGTCTTTGTTTTGCTCGCTTGCTTAAAATTTCCTGTCAAAATCGTTTACATCTGATTATTATTACATCAGTAAAACGTATTACATGTATTTGGTACGTCATGATCATGTTGTGTTAAATTTTAGTTTCTGTGTTTTAGCAAAGTGACCTCAAGTTACCCCAGATACTCCAAAATGACGCTAGAGACCATGTATCTTTCAGGCGTCCTACCTTTTTTTTATACATCGACTGGGCCAATGAAGACGAGCATACGACATACAGTGTCTGGACAGCGGCACCACAGCTTACTCTTATGGGGGGTTGGATGGCCGAAGGGTTAGCACGTGCGTGCTGTACCATAAGGCCTGTCATTGAGTCAACTGGCGTGGTTTCGAATCCCAGGTTGTACGTGACAAGGAGTAAGGTCGCCTGTCCAACCTCGTGGGTTTTCTCCGGGTCATCCGGTTTCCTCCCACTGCTAAAGACCCCTACGCGCAAGCGAATTATTGAAATAAAATTAAACCATACGTTAGTCCCGAAATGACCTAGTTTGTGTCGAGTGGACGTTAAACACCATTTCTCTCTCTCGCTTACTCTTATATCGAATTCCAACTGTCGAGGCTTATCTACGTTCACGCCAATGTGTACACGGGGCCTCGGTTTTCCGTTCCAGGCCCTCCGTCCTACACCAATGACGCTGTAAAATCCCGATGAAATTTCTCGGATTGAGCAAGTGATCTCTCCAGGTTAGCGAGCCAATGTCTTACTCGCTGGGCCACAGCGGCTCGGTCATTAGTGAGAAACATGTTGCCTCTTGTCAGTTAAATGAACTCCTTCTATATTCCAATTAATACAACAAAAATGAAATGAACTGGGGCTGCCCCGACTGGGATAAAGAAGACAGGCATACGCAATACAGTGTACTATGAGGGCAATTTTGCGAGGACAGCGGCGCTGAAATTAAATATGTTTATTTAGCCGCCGAGTGTATGAAAGATGTCAAACTAATCAAAGCCGAATCACAAATTAGTCCTCTAATTATTCAATATGGCGGCGCCCATGAAAGATAATTTCACAGAGGCGGTTTTGTTTGCGAAAACAAGTTTAGGAGTATCTAACCTTGTTTTGAAAGATAAACATATTGAATCTCTAAAGACAGTTTACAATGGCAAAGAATGTATTGCAATATTACCCACTAGCACATATTATATATCGCTTTTACCGGAGTGGCAGAAGTTGACATTTAGCCAATGACATGTGTTTACATAAAACACATGCTTGATCGGGTTATTTTTACTCAGTTGTGTACACAAACAATAGTCCAGTCGATAAGTCCCGCCACAAAATGACCACGTGAGCGTTTTAAATGGAGGCTAATTAGGGCAGTGATCATAATCTCGAAGTATGACGTAGATGGATCGCTGCGTGCAGTTTGTTGGAATTCGATATAAGAGTGTCCGGGCCGCTTCTCCTTCATAGCACACTGTATGGTGTATGTTTGTCTTCATTAGCCCAGTCAGAGCAGAACAGTAGGACGTAAAACCTCATTTCTTTGAATTTTGGTACAAGAGCAGCCACAAGATTTTCAAAGTGATCAAGGTCCATAACTCTGACAGTAATTATCGGAAATCTTTTCGTATTGCGTATAAATTTAGAGTCAAACAGATAATAACTTTAGTCTGTAGAGCGTCCTGCTCCATATTCGGGGGTGATAATTCAACGTGGTTAATAAACATCAAAAACTGCTTCTCCATTTATACATTTTTATTATTCTTTTTTCAGTTTTTATTATATTAATTTTTTTATTTTTACAGGGTTTTTTTTAGTTTGCACTATTTACGTATGTCTATGTCCCTGTAGATATGTACACAATATATTTGATTTTATTCAATATGGATTTAATACAATCACAAGGATCTCAATTCAGTTGCATTCACCAGACATAATGACAGTAAAAACTGACCGACCGGAGAACTTTCCTGTCTGACAATTTACATATTATGGTTTTATTCAATATGGATGGCACACAGTAAGCATGACTCTCATGAAAATTGGCCGACTCAGAATTAGAATGTCCAAGAATAATACGATTTTATTGGATACGGATCTGATACAGTCACAATCAGGGCTTTTAATTCCAACATAATCACCAGTCTTGACGGAATGACAGTGAAATTTGACCGACTTGAGAATTTCACTGTCAGACAATTTACATGGACAGGCCACCATTCTATGGAATACAACTACTGTTTGTTACTGAGCGGGGTTTCAACTAAGCTTCTCTAATCATTGCTTGTATTCTATAAAATGGTGATCTGTGTATTCCAGTTCAATTACTAAACAATTTACATGTAAAAAAATTAAGACTTTCAAAGAATCTACATGGTAAAAAAATTAGACTTTCAAAGTATTTAATCTTAAAAGATGAGAAACACAGCTAAAATGATAGTTTTTATGTGTAATAGATAAGATAGGAGTGGGGTTAAACGTCTCGTCCACACAATACAATGGTCATTATGAGACTAACATAGGGTTATTTTTTCTTTAGTTGATTGTTTTGATGGACATTAAGTTTAACCATGCTCTTTTTCTTTATACATAAACTATGTCATATTTTATACAGACTGATAAACTAGACAAGAGTAGCATATTTAACAGTAAATTGTTTAATTTTACATCGTTTTCTAGCCACAGTGGCTCAGTGGTTAAGGTACTAGTTCACAATGCAGGAGGTCCGGGATTCAATCCTGGTGTCCCCACCTCCCCCTCCCAAGACATTTTAATTTTTTTTTTAAACAGTACATCCGTTATTATTGATTTGTGATAATTTGAGAGTTTGAAGATATTTTGAAATGTACAAATTGTTTTTGATGATTGGGTGAGTAAAGGCGAGTCAAAATATATTTTTCATAATATTTTATTAAATTGATTTTGAGTCTAAATATATTTCAGATAATACAGTGAGTCTAGAATTTCTTTGATAATTGGGAGAGTCTTAAAGATAATTTGACAATTAGAGGAGTCCAAAAACATTGTTTATAATTTTCAGCTTCTTCAACCTTTCAGTGGATAAGAGGGATTAGTGCTGGCTGGTAATTTTGCTTTGCCATGATTCGACTATAAAGATCCATACAAAATGGTAGAAATACAAACGTTTTAAGTCACGAGTCGAAACTTTTTTGCGGTTTTCAGGGAGTTCAATCAAACTTTTTAAAAAAAAATATGTGTTACTAAAATTAGGCCAGTACTTAGATTTTTCGATAACTTGGTGAATTCAAGGTGTTATTACATTTATTTTCTTGCTTAGAGTGATAACACCTCCTTAAAATGTTTCCATGACAACATAAAACTATTTTCAAATATATATGTAAACACAAAATCGGCAAGCATGCACCATTTATAACCACTTTCTTACAACAATTCCACTTGGTTAATATACATAAAAGACTAATAATAAATACAAAAATTTATGATAATCGATAAAAAAATCTAGCAAATAAAATGATTCTTATACAAAATAATAAAAGTGCACTAGCCATCTTCACATTTCATTGGATCTGATTGTTGTTGATAGTTACATTTTAACATCGGAGCTGGGGCCACTTAAATATATGCATTTCTCAGTCAAACTAACTTGTTTCCAAATACAAGCATTCTATCGAGACTTGTATTCAAACCACAGATGACGTTAACATGTTTGATGTCTTGGCCACTCCGATACCAAATCAAATACAAACATTCGATTGAAACTTGCATCCAAACAACTGCCGACATGCAGGCATTTAACGTGTTGGTCACACCCAGACATGTTGAAAGGTATTTATCTTGTAAAATACACACATCAAATCTAACCACATCACCCAAATACAACATGTTGTGTCCTTTTTAACTAGCCAAGGGGTGCATTCAAAATCTATTAAAAATTTATGAAATGTTTTGTAGAATATACAAAAAAAGAACAGAAAATGCCCAGTTAAGACCATTTGTTGCATTATAAAAAAAAAGTAAACAGGTTCGATCAACTTACGAACACGTTTAAAATATCTGTAAAAAAAATATGGTGTAGAAAACTAACCAGTGCCCTTTAAAAGTTGATCTAAAATACACTGTACATTATGCTATTATTAAATTCCAATCTTTACACTATGACGATCAGGGGAGTTAAGTTGTTGATTGGTCTAAGGCTTGCACTTTAGATCATAAGGTCTATCACTGAGACAAGTGATGTCATCATGTGGTTTAGATTCCTCATTTGTACGTGACAAGGCATAGGGTCGCCTATCCAGCATCTCCGGATTCCTCCCACTACGAATAATTGAAACAAAATTGAACAATTTTAGACCTGAAATGACCTAGTTTGTGTTGAGTGGACATTAAACTCCATTTGTACATGGGAGACGGCGCGGTTATTCCTATTGTTTGCTTTTTACTTGTATTCGAATTTCAGTAGCAAGGTTACTTCAGCGCATGCGAGTTACATGACCGATGTTATAATCTAAAAGAATATGAATTAGACCACAAGACCAACCCAACTTCTAATGTATTTGGAACATAATGTACACAGGTTACTAAAGATTGTTTCAATCATGTTAGCATTAAAGGAGCAGTACATCACAATAAAAAAAAAAATTAAGAGTCTACTAAAAATCAACTCAAAACACAAATTGATGTAATATATAAAAATGTTTTGTTAAAAAAATACTCAAATCCATTCATCCTGACTGAAATTATTGCCATTTGAATTAGTATTTTTTCATCTTCATTTCACTCTTTGTCTCAGTTCAAACAAATAATATATTTTGGTCTTTTTTCGATTCAAGTAAGTCCTTTCTACATATAGGTCTACTTGATTCAGGATTTTATTTATTCCATACAAAAGTAATATTCTGGTTCTTAGACAATTCTTTCCAAAAAAAAAACAAACCCCAGATCATGCTGCATTTTTTCATGGTGCAAGATTTTCTGAATATGAGAATATTTTTTTTTATAGGACCTTAAATTGAAATAATACTCCAAATATTGATATACCTGTTCAATAATACAGGTGTTGATATACCTGACCAATATTACACACCTGGGGAGTAATTCACAAGGAAGCTTTTTCATTGGTTGAGAGATAAAATCCTAGTACAAATTTTGGCTATCTGCACATGTATATCAACCAATGAAAGAAATGAATTCCTCAAATATTTTAGTTGAAGTATTTGTGAATAAAGCTCCGGAATATACCTAATCGATAATACTGGCCTGAGGAATAACGATTTTGGACGTACCTGACCAATATGTCTGACAGGTACCCCTATTTCCTAGCATGTAATATGTTAAATAAAGGTTTTAAACATTTCCTGGCTTATAATAACACGTTAAAGAATTACAATTGTTCATTTTTTTAAATTCAATGACCCCTTAGTTTATTGTGCCCATACGTATACTTATAAAACAGTTTGACGATTCTATACACCTAGCAAGTTCAGTCTCAATAAAACTAGCAATTTCATTTTTTCTGAGTTCCGTGAAATATACATGTAAACAATTACCATATTTGGAAGTCCATACAGGACTTCAACACTAACAGATTCAATGATTGGTGGAACTTAAAATAAAACCAACCATTCATTTTTTTCTGAGTTCCTTTAAACATGAGATATTAACAATTACCATATTTGGAAGTCCATCCACGACTTCAAATTTAACTGGACTCATTGATTGGTGGGACTTAAAGACTCCAAATAAAATACACTTTATAAAATAAATAAACTAGTCGATTCATCGAAACATCTGTTTTACGCTGGTAAGAAAGTCCATCAGATGACAAACACACATATAGAGAATAAATCGGACAATTTCAATGGATGATAATAAATGTTAATCAAATTTTTTTTCGAGCTCGCGAGTCCACTGAATGATATCAAATGTCAATCAACTCTCAAGTTTCCTGGATGACATCTGATGTCAATCATCTTTTTAACTCAAGTGTTCATTGGATGATATCACATGACAATCAACTTTGTAACACAGGATTCCACTGGTTGATATCAGATGTCAATAAACTCTCGCGTCCATCTCGATCAGCATTCTAACTTGTGAGTCCATTAGCCTCTTTCCGATCCATGTTGACATTTTGTAATCTTCGTAGAAAATTACCCTGACAGATTCGTTTCGACGGACTATCGAGTGAATCGTCATCGCGATCCACCTCCAATAATCTCTTTCCAGTTATTTTCTTTTCTCCCATTTTTATCATATTATTAATGGCACGGAGGTCCTGAAATAGAATCGTGACGTAATTAATCACAACGAATATATAACTTTCACCTGTCATGGTTGGTTGGGATATTTTCTTGTTCAGCCGGTGCATGCTTTAAGGTCCCAAATCCCCCATTTCACTTGATTGTCACTCACACCACCTCAGTTGTCTGGACTGAAAAAACTGTGACATGACTGAATTCTGGGTTATTCAATTGCAATTTTTTATCCAAACTGACAATCGAGCATCCCCTTTCACTGTAACTCGGTTATCATTTAATCTTGTGTATTTAGCACTAATTTCTTTCACATTCATTTAATATCAAATCTTTATTTAAAAATTTGTAAAAATCATTTAATATCTCCCCCTCCCCCAAATCTTCTAATTTGTACTTTTGTCCAGTTTAAATCTGACTGATTAATTTTGCTTATGAGTGTCTAATTTACAAGTATTTAATTTCTTGACCACTGTTCAAAAATTAGTCATTAAACATCAATAATCAATTGGGTTGTTATGATACCCAGATCACAGTGTTAGTACCCGGAGGAAACCCACAAGGTTGGACAGCTGGGAAATCGAAACCACAGCACTTACAACAGGCCTTATGATCTAACGCACACACATTTAACCATCCACCCAACCCTGGAGTGTATAAAGAGTAAATAATATACTTACATTAGCTGGACTTTTATTGATACAGAACGACATGCCCTTAGGTGAGTCGACTCTATTCTGAGCTTTATGAGGGGATATGTACACTGGACAACTTGTTGTAACACGACGAGGTGATACGATGTGGGAACGAACTGATGGTAGGGGAGATAAGCAGGGCTGTTTCTGAAATAGACAAAAATGAAATGAAATTGGGTTTAACGTCCTACAGCTCTGCTCCATGTGAGCTAATGATGACAGGCATAAAGGAAATTTTGTCTGGACAGCCGCACTACAGCCTACTCTTAAGTGCATGATAATGTATACATGGGCCTCAGTTTTTCTTAACCATTGGCATGGGTATACATTTTCTCTGGCACTACTGACAAGGTGGAACATCCCGCTTAACTTTTTCAGTCAACACCAGGATCGAACACCGAACCTCCAGGTTAGAGAGCCACTGTCTTACTCAATGAGTAACCATGACTCCACAAAATTAATCTGAACCGACAACATGATGACATAACTGGGAGTTAAAATAACATAACTGAGAAAAAAAAAGGGAGTCTTAAATTCAATTTATCAATTTTTGTTGAAATTTTGACAGCTATGGGATCCTTTACATGTGCTATGGTACCCAGCCTAGATCTGTGGTTGCCATCTGTGGGATGTTTAATTCCTTGCAAACAATAATATTGTGGAAGTTGGATCTCTAAGGGGAGTATCAATTCCGTTCATATTATGTAAAGGCCTGGTGAACTAAAAGTTTGTCAGCATTCGGCATGCAGTACAGATGACCTACTGGCTACAGTCGACACAAGCCAGCGTCACCTAGAACTACTGCTGGGGGTTTGGGTGGTCGAGCGGTTTATACCCATGCGCATTTTTGAGTTCACCAGACAAATACAGGAAATAACGACACTACAACTGTCACTAAGGAGGTGCCACTGCAACATGGGTATCATTTAGTTGTGCTGTTTTAACAGGAGTTTCTGTATTCAATGTTTAGTTTCAAAACATTGTTGGCAAATTGTTCAGTTTGTTGAGAATCATCAAAATATATTTGGTTTCAACAGCTGCATAGTTTAATATGGTCTCTCTAGATTAGATACCGAGTGTGTTGGGTTTACAACTGTTTATTTTCCCAAAAGGTTTGAGTAATTGACGGACAACAATGGCTGTCCTGATTGTAGCCTGTAATAATTGATTAAAACATTCTAACTTACGTTACTCTGAGTCTGTGAAAACTGTAAAGCAAACTCTCGTAATTTGTCTACAAAAACCTGGTGAGAAAGAAAGAAAGAAATGGAGTTTATCATTACAATATTCAACACATAGGAATTCTTTGCATATTTAGCCACTCCAACGAGGGAAACTTTGCCCCTAATGAAGATTGGCCACCCAATGCTCTCTTCAACGAGGGAAACTGTACCCCTAATGAAGATTGGCAACTTTTCTTTTATCGAATTCAAACTGTTGTCAAAGATTCTTTCACATACACGCTAGCAAGTAGTCATGTAGACCTCTGTTTTGTACAATTTAAACAAGCCAACAGTGAGGCTGATGTCCCCCGCCGAAATAGGAAAATAATTAGAGGACACATATAAATTTATCACAAATTATCTTTTACAAAGTATTGAACAATCAAACAGTATATCTTTACTTATAGTCTAACAATCAAAGTAGGAGAGTTATTGTTTTCCAAAGTCTCGACCAATCAAATTGCGTATCGCTCTGCTTACCCTGAGCAGAAAATGCTCATTATCAAACTTAGTCAAGGTATTACTGTAATGAAACTATACACCAAGTTTCATCAATCTCACTTAATTAGAACTAAAGTTATCGTGTCCCAAAGCATCTACCAATCAAATTGCTTATCTCTGCTTACCCTAAGCGGAAAATGCTCATCTTCGAACTCCATCAAGGCATTGACCTAATCAACACATACACCAAGTTTGAACATTCTAGCTCAATTAGGAAGAGAGTTATCGTGCCCCAAAGTATCAACCAATCAAATTGCTTATCTCTGCTTACCCTAAGGGGAAAATGCTCATCTTCGAACTCCATCAAGGCATTGACCTAATAAACACATACACCAAGTTTGAACATTGTAGCTCAATTAAAAGTTATCGTGTCCCAAAGCATCAACCAATCAAATTGCTTATCTCTGCTTACCCTAAGCGGAAAATGCTCATCTTCGAACTCCATCAAGGCATTGACCTAATAAACACATACACCAAGTTTGAACATTCTAGCTCAATTAGGAAGAGAGTTATTGTGTCCCAAAAAGTGTGACGGACAGACAGACGGACAGACAGACAGACAGACGGACAGACAGACAGACGAACCCATTTTAATAGTCCCCTGCTTTCTTCGAAAGGCGGGGGACAATGAATAGTGACCTTTTTCTTGCCATACTCTCTTGTCAAAAGTTTTTTTTTACATACACACCACTGAATAGGTAGTTTTTCGCACGATCTGAGTGAATAGTTGCCTTTTGTTTTGCCATAGTAAGATCACAACCAAGTAGTTGGTTTCAACCAACTATGACTTTCTTTGAATAGGGGCTGACTAGGGCCCCCATTGAGGTGAATAATGTGACATGAGAAAACGAAACTAGCACCCCAATCATAGATCACATTTCTCTTCGGATTTAGTGGATGCTGAGATGAGTTTTTTAATTTAGAAAAAGGTATATATGCAGGGCTGTCGGTAATTTTTCACAGATGATTAGCAGCACTGCTAATCAACAAGTCCAATTTTGCCAAATTTGATTAACAAATTTAAAAATTTATTAGCAGTTTTTCAGTTTCAACATAAAACACCTAAATAACAAGATTATTTTAATTTTAATTGATAACAAATGATTAGATTTCATTCTTAAGATTTTTTAGAATTTTAGCACTTCTACAGGTAGCTGTGAACATTTCTGAATGAATGTAGACTTTTGGTTAGGCCTTATGTCTGAAGCCAATTCTTGGCAGTGGCTTCTTATTTCTTAGAAAACAATTTCGTCTGCTTTTTATCGTCTGTTATTATATTTGTTCAATCGGAAGCAAGCGGTATTTTATGAATAATCTCGATTAACTAGACGCACGCGATATAAACAATAATAGTTTACGGGAATTCTTACTTTGATTTCTTATTTTACAATACGTTTACACGTATTTATTTTTTATATTTTATTTACAATACGTGGAGGATACACTGAATTTATTTTTTTTCAAATTGAATACTGATATAATTACTCGAAATTGACATGTCTCGCAACGTGAGTGGTACTACTTGATTCCATATTTCCGGTTTAATAGTCCTGATTCATAGAGTTATGTCCCTGTATTATATAGTATAATGAATTGAGTCTGGGTAGTTCGAGAAGAAAATGTCACACAGAGAATTCCGTTTTGTTTATAAAATTTATTTGATATTTTATACACGTTGCAAGTGTTGAGAAATGTGGATAAATCTTTGTGTCAATATCCAAAATGACAGGCATATTAATGATTCGCATTTACTGCAAATCAAAAATGTTAGATTTTAATGTTTGATTAGCAACGGACAAAATATGTATCGCAAATTGCGCTGAGATACTGGTTGTCAGCAGCCCTGTATATATGTCAATTTCTTTTCCAATTGGGGTTGATAACTGATCCCTCAGACCACATCCGACGGTCCAAGGCCATCACACATCTATTTCTAGTTTCTTACCATATTATAAAATTGTATAAGATCTCCTCGTTCTTCACCAAAATCAAACGTAGCAGCAGCCCCGATTAATTTAGTTGGAGTTGGGGGCTGACTGTTAGGTTGAGGGATTGGAAGGGTACTTGAAGATCTAATATTACCAACATCTCTCTCTGAAATACATGTGTATATAATAAATGAAATGAAATGGGGTTTAACATCCTACTTGTCTCCACAAACTAGGCTAATGAACACAGGTATACCCTATACAATGAGCTACGAGTATCAGTGAAATCTTGCCAAGAGATGTGATACTGTCTACTTATATCCAATTCCAACTGTTGTGCGTGGGTTCTTTACCGTGCACATCCCATTGAAACAACTTCAACTACAGGTTTTGTCACAGACAAGTGTGGACATAACTATTTACAGACCTTATGATCTAAAGTGCACATAAGATCACTCGTCATCGAGACGTACAGGGCGGCGCAGTGCGACCGATAAAGTCTGTGACTGGAATCTGATGACGACATGGCACACGTACAACCACGGGGATACAAGTAAATCTGGAGCTAGATTGGTGGAGGCCCTCACATTGCGCTGTCCAACTATAGTGAAATGTCAGAAATTTTTCTTACTTTTATCCTCTTTTTCTGTATTAACGGGCGAGGACGTCCCACTTGCAGCACTTTTACTTCCTTCACTGGATCCAGACGTATGACGTCTTCGTCCACTTAATAACACACTTCTATAAATCTACAATATAAATCACAGTAATAAATATAGGTTGCCAGGCAATACAACACACTTAATAACACACTACTACAAAATATATCACAGTATTAAATATAGGTTGCCAGGCAATATAACACACTTAATAACACATTTCTATAAATCTATGATATAATATATAGTACATTAAATATTGGTTGTCAGGCAATTCAACATATACCCAAGATTGAGAGAGAGAAATGGGGTTTAATGTCCACTCGACACAAACTCATTTCAGAACTAACGCATGATTCAATTTTATTTTAATAATTTGCTTGCGCGTACAAGCAGGGAATCGAAATCATGCCACTTGACTCAATGATCAACCTTATCACCCAATGCACATGCATTAAACCATTCGGCCAAACAAAGTTCCTCTTGAAATGATTTATCTTGACTGTTTAGAATTTAGAGGACTGTTATTGTCCATTTGATACCGCTTAAATCTAATGAAAAATTTAAGCGGTATCAAATGGACAATAACAGTCCGATAAATTCTAAACAGGAGGTGTTTATCGATATTGTAGCCCAAAATATTTCGCGATAGTTGACAGTCGTTTTTTGGTTTTAATGACGTAAATACCAAGGAAAACAATTTTGACGTAATGAAAATATCCGTGACGTAATAAAATAACACTCATTTCCATTCTATTTGGTTCACTAAGCGACTGGTTAATTGTGTCTGTTTGGAAAGGGAGGTCACTCTGCGATAATTTTAAAGATCGAAACAGAAATCGTAAGTGTATTTTATGTACTTTTTAAATGATTTTGAACTCCAGCAGTGACTAGGTTCGAAACAAATTGCATATCGTGTTTGATAAATGTCCATACACTTGTGTGACCGTGTAGATATATGCTGTGTAGCGTACGCATGTGGTTGCTATGCTTGTTTACGTTGTCATTTCGACGCTGTGAATGTGATTCTTTTTCTTCGGAAAAAAACATGGCCTATGTATGAAAATCAGTCTCTGTCCTATTCATATCAGTATCAGCCCGACTTGTATATTTTTAAAAATATATTACGATCCATACGGAGTTCAATAAATTGTAGTATTTTTATTCACTTGTTGAAAATCTTCGATTTTGACCAGTCTGATTATGATAGAATGACCATAGCAACCGTTATTGTCAGACCAGCCTTGAAATTAAATTTACTTATTATGCTTCAAATACACTCACTAACTTTGTTTTTTATGTGTTTCAGGTGAGTGTTTCAATAAGTCAATGGTTGAATTTCATTGTTGATGACATACAAGAAAAAATTCATGAAGATTTCCAAGAATAAAGTTTTGAGGTGTAGAATTTTTGGCCACTGCAAACAGAGTCTAGCACCCAGAAAATATTCATTCGCAGTGAGTCGCCCAGGAAATTTAGAGGACTGTTATACTCATTCGACGCCACTTTTCGACCAATCAGAATTCAAGAAATTTCCATTTTGGGCTACAATCTATGATAAATGTATAACTTACATGACTATGTGATTGAGGTTGATATCGATAGCACTTCATGATATTCTGGAAAGTTACTGGTTTACCAGTTACCTACAAATATACACAAATAAATTAATATATTTATCATCAGTCCTTACACAAATATTCTAATTCTGTAACTGTCTTAGCCCTCACACACATATTACTGCACCAAGATCTCTTTCAACCTTATACTCCTGCACGATCCTTATAAGAAAGTCCTTGTAGTTTAATTATGTAATGATATAATTCTTGTAATATAATTAACTCTTGGCCAATCCATTTAGAAAAAATATGCCTCAGAAAAAAAATATGCAAATTCTAATTGCAAAACTTAATATTCCATAACAATTTTTATCTAACCCATCCTTTCTGACATAGCTTTTGCTAGGTTCCCACTGTCGTGCGATGTGTTACGATACGATTGTCCCTATTGAGACCATGATCTGGTATGTGCAGATACGTTCGGATACGGTTCGATATGATCAACGCAATTGCTACGACTGACTTTAATATATGACAAGACCTGATAGGATCACCACGACTACTCAGCGATGAATCGTGATAGTGAGAACCTAGCATTAAAGCCTCAACCAGAATGTGAACACTGTCATGCCAGCATCATAAGGATACAAGATCAAAGCATTACCAAAACACTGCCAGACCTTCCATAATTTATTTGCCCAACCTGATCAATATTTCAGAACACTAGACTTTGATATCATTTAGCCTGTCTGTCTAAAGTCAGAGAGGGAGAGAGAGGGAGAGAGAGAGAGAGAGAGAGAGAGAGAGAGAGAGAGATGGGGTTTAATGCTTACCTGACACAAACTAGGTCATTTCGAGACTAACACATGGTTCAATTTTATTTCAATAATTCACTTGCACGTAGCAGTGGGAGGAAACTGGCTGACCCGGAGAAAACACACAAGGTTGGACAAGCGACCCTACTCAATGTCACATACAACCGGGAAATCGAAACTATGCCAGTTGACTCAATGACAGACCCTATGATACAATGCACACGCGCTAACCAATCGGCCATCCAACCCCCCATCGTATAAAGCATCATATTTTTGGTGCAATACAGCCCAGTTGGAGCTGATGTGCCCGATCATACCATTTCATTCATTCTATACCATAGATGTAATTGAAAGTTAGTAGGTATACCCAAATGACAAAATAAAAAAAATCCTACCTTAGCAATTACATAAACAGCACACATAATGATTTGATCAAGATGTCTGTCTTTCATCAGTTCGATGTGTTTCATCATCGTTCGTTCAAAACATGTCCACATTTTACGTCGTAAATCATCACCATCCATACTCAGATGATCACATAAATCTCTTAATCTTACACTAGCTAGATGATACACCTATAGATAAATACAAGATTATTACTACAAAAGTAGGAGGTTAAAGTTAAAGATCAGTTGATCATCATCTGTAAGGGATCATAGCAAAATATCAACACTTGTGTCCAAATCAATAAACCTGAGATACATCTATAATTTGTATAATGACTTATTCAAATGTAACTGAATAATGACTTACATATCTCAATAGCATATGAACAAGCCCACCATGAGGCTGATGTCCCCTGCCGAAATCCCAAAATAAACAGATGACATATTAACTAATTGCACATTTATCTTTTTCAAAAGGATAGAGTAATCAAACTGGAAATATAATATGGCGAACATATTCATATCTCAAGGCCTGATGAATTGCATGTGAAAAATAATTTATTCGAATAGTATGTAAACATTAACTCTCAGAGAGAGAGAGAGAGAGAGAGAGAGAGAGAAAGAAAGAGAGAGAGATATTGTTTTATTACCTTTCTGAAGAATAAAGCTAGTGAACCAGTTTTCTTTGGTTTAAAATGTTTAGCTGGTGACTTTTCTGGTGTGGACATGACTCGAGCTTGTATAATGGACTGAAGTGGTATCAAAACCTGAAATATTAATTATACGTTAAATAAAACAAGTCATCAGTGATGGATACCGTTTGACAGTGTTGAGCTAAAAGTCAACAGTGGGATGGGCCTTAAACTGAAAAGTCAAAGGCTGCAATCTCTAGTCTTGGACCTAAATTAAATAGACGACACTCATTCATCAATTAACAAGCCAACAGTGACGGTGCTTGAACCTTAAATAGTTGACACTCATTCATTAATTAACAAGCCAACAGTGATGGTGCTTTGAAACTTAAATGGATGGCACTCATTAAGTAATTAACAAGCACTCATTAAGTAATTTACAAGCTAACAGTGAGGCTGTTGTCCTCCACCTTGAACCTAAAATTGATGATACTATCAGAAGCCCTTTATCAGTTGTAACAAGAAAACATCTACTTCAAATAAATATAAATGATCGACATATCTAAAATCCAACTAGAAGCAGAGCATTAATATAATGAATGAAAGCTGACCTGTCGTCCGTCCACTATGACAGCGATCATTGATTCTCCTTGTTGCGGGATAACCACTGTTTCCGACGCTCCAGCAGCCAGTTGTTTTTGAAGTATTGTCTGTGTAGGAGTCTGTGTGGTCGATTCTGATTTAGCCGTAAACAGTTGTCGTCTGGCAGTTCCAGGCTGTGGAGAGCTGAAACGATCGGATATCGTGGGGCCTGTAGGGGACAATAATGGATCTGAAGCTAAAAAAGAAACATGCAAAATGTTCATTAGAAAGATTTTGGTTTCCTGATTTTATTAATCATCTGATGTAAAATTATAGCAGATGGCTCAGTGAGTAAGGCGCTGGGTTCGATACTGGCCGAGAAAGTTCCTCTGGATATTGCAGCTTGATTACCATGTCAGTTTTGCATGATTTTCAATTTTTTTCCAGACATGGGTTATTTTTAAGATTACGCCAATGTGTACACGCGTCCCATATGAACGACTAAACAATGTTTATTGCCAATCCGTCCATCCTGCATTAAATAGAAGGGACAAGCCTGTTGGAAAAGGGGGAAACCATATTGAAAACGGTACAGAGATTACTTGTATAATCCTAGCCCAAATGAATCAGTAATTATTTTTCCCTAATTATGTTGTTAATGACTTACTTTTGATAACTCTGACGGGCGATAATGTTTGTTTACCAGCTTCAACAGTAAGTGTTTTAATACGTGGATGTAGAAGAGGTGAATTGTTGGACGAGTTTCCTAGATCTACATGATTAGCTGGCGTCACCTAAAATAGTTCAAATATAAAATATTCATACGCTCAGGTTATCTTCTCGGTGTCGACATATTCATACACAGTACATCAAGTACACGTCAAGAATATGTCTGGGTTTATATTTTTACCAACAAAGAGTAGACAATCACGAAAAGTTTCTGGGAATTAAATGACTAGGATAAGAAACAGTTGTTCCAAACTATTTCTTACTTCTATGTTGCTAAAAACGAAGCTAAAAGAGGCATTATGTAAGATTTAGATAAAGAGCTGGTTGTTCTCGCTATATTAGTACCAAAATATATAATGCAACATGAATATATTAAAAATTTCATTCAAATTACTTTATTCTGAGCAAAGTTATCACTGTTTGTAGTTTTGACAAGATGTGTGCATTGACTGTTTATTATCGTAACCACGGTACTGGTATATTCAAGGCTTGGGCTCTCTTCTCCATTTTTAAATTAAATCATTAAATGGCCAAACCATTCTAATCTATTTAAAATCGGAGCTATCCAATTACTTTGAGAGTTGATTATGGTCTGGATAAGTTAATGAATGTCTAATTAATAATTTATATAACATGTAATGCCTAAAGAAAGATTTGTGATAGGCTGATTTAGTTCTTGAATAATGTATCATTATGTTGAGGGTTTTATGTCTGACAAAGTTTGTGACAGATGCCCTATGTCCACGTTTGTATCTATGACTTACTTCTTCACAAGTAGGTACTCCTGATTCTTGTTCTCTGATGGCATCCCATAACGGAGACTCACTCCTCCATGCCAGCGATTCGAGAATCGTTTCTTCAATCTACGGAAAAATAAATTAACATATCAAAATTTTCCATAAATATGTAAATATTTATTCATGTCTGAACATCTGCATTCCCCTAGTAAATGGTGCAGAATGGAGAGTCTAGCAAGGACCAGTGTCCATTTGTTCGGATGGGACGACAAACTAAGATCTCCTGTATATATTGATATTCACAATTGTAATTTGAAAGAGTAGGCTGCAGTGCCACTGTCCTGGTACTGTCAGAAACAGCCCTGCTTATCTCCCCTACCATCAGTTTGTTCCCACATCGTATCACCTCGTCATGTCCCTCACAGATCACTGTATGGAGAATGCCAGTCTTCGTAAGTCGAATTGTGCATAAGAGTAGCAAACAACACCATCTACTTGATAATTCACAATTGTGCATAAACGATAACAGTGTTGGCCGAGAAAGTTCGCGATTTCCTGGCGTGGTTTCCCCTTGTCAGTGGTGCAGGATGGAGGGCCTGACAAGGACAGCTGTTTAGTTGTTCAGATGGACGAAAAACCAAGGTCCCGTCCATGTACACATTGGAGTGCATGTCAAAGATCCCTTGGCAGTTTGAATTCAATATAAGAGTAGGCTGTAGAGCCACTGTCCAGGCCAAATTTAACTCATAGCACACTGTATGGGACCAGTCGGAGCAAAATAGCAGGGTTTTAAACCCCATTTCATTTCATATCATTAGATCAGTCAGAGTGGAACATTAGGGCGTTAAATCCCCATTTCATTTTTTTCTTCACTACGATAAACAAGAACTTACATTAAAAATAAAACACACTTATATGGATATACTACTTCTGAATTTATTAACATGCTACGTTTCGATACACATACAGATATCGTTTTCAAGCAAACGATATCTGCTTGAAAACGATATCTGTATGTGTATCGAAACGTAGCATGTTAATAAATTCAGAAGTAGTATATCCATATAAGTGTGTTTTATTTTTAGTGAAATCTATTTCTATATGTCTTATAAGGATTAAGAACTTACATGATTTAAATGTTTTACAACATCTCGTGATAGGCCTTCTTCAGCTCGTATGATAATCTCAATGACTTTATAGAAATGGTATGGGCTTAAATCAAACATATTTACAATCCATGGGAAAGACCTGAAAACATACATCGTAACATATAGTAGTCTTGATTTACCTGATATACTCTCAACATTCTCATCTACCCTCACTGAATTCCAGTGGCAGCTACTAAACCCCACTGTGGCACTGTTACAAAATCTTAACCCCATTGCTATACACTACGATAAGTGAAACATCCTGCATGTCCTGCAGTAAATTACGATAAACCATGCATGCTGAATGGTGCACCATGATAACTACAACATCAAGCACTCTTCATGTTATATCGCTATATTATTATCACTATTGTATTTATAATGTTATTTATTTAGTAAGGGGAGTCACTGTGGTTGAGTGAGTAAGATGTTGGCTCACTAACCTGGAGGTCGCGAGTTCGATCCCGGCATTGGCCGAGAACATTCATCAGGATTTTCCAGCATGGTTCCCCCTTGTCAGTGGTGGACGACAGGGGGGCTGGAAAGGAATGTATAGTTGTTAGGATGGGAAGAAGAACCTGTGGTCTCACGTACACATTGCTGTGTACGTAAAAGATCCCCTGGCAATTGGAATTCGATATAGGAGTAAGTCGTAGTGCTGCTGTCCTGGCAAAATTTCCATCATAGCACACACTGTATGGCGTATGCCTGTTTTCATGAGCCCAGCCGGAGCAGAACAGTAGGACGTTAAATTCCATTTCATTTCATATTCATTAAGATCAATATACATACCTTTGTGAGTTGTATGAAAATATAACAATTTCTAAACAGCAGGCTAACAAAGAACGATGTAATATATCTTGTTCTAATAAACTCTGAAAAATATCAATTTCAATAATAGTCATGTTAAATAATTGAATGGTGATTGTGTTTTAATCCAGTCAATACCACGGTCATCCGATGGTCTAGGGAATTGGTTATGGACTTGTCATAAATCAACAATCTATACTACATTTGAAGCTAAAATAAAAGAGATCTGCAATAGGCAGATTTAGCTCTTACATAATGCACCTTTAATCATTTGGTATAAGAGACAAAATGTGCAATGGCTCTTAAATAACTTTAAAGGAGCTAAATCTCTATTCTTTGGCACCTAGAAATGGACACAAGTGGGTCACAATGGATATAAAAATGTAATATGAATGTATATTAACCGATTTACAATCAATCGTATCTGTTTTACCGTAATTTCTAATCAGCTATGTTCGGCGAAATACGCAAAGAGTACAAAGTGAATGACAGTCCTTGGCGTCTGGTTATTCCAGTCTGCATCTGTATAATTCTCCTGTGGTATATGTTTAGCCTAGTTCATCAGGTAGCTACATTAGAAATAGCGCTCGAATGCATTCTGGTACGCGATACGTATGCCAATTTAAAAAAATTTATTTTTGTCTTAAATATTGGATATCAGAAGTCCATTTTTTCACAGGACGATAACAACATCATTTTTGATTTAATCTGACCAATAAGTCGTGCTTGTAATTGTTGAAGACTGTGGATGATATTGAGTTAGAGACGTGCCTCCTTCATGTCATAATATTTTTAGAACTTTATTGAAACTGTATGGAACTTACTGAAAGATCTCTTTCTGCTAGTCTCTTTCTCTCTCCTTCAATAATGTTCTCTAGAGTTTTATAATATAAACTCTCACCGAGCTGTAATCTACGACGAGCAAAATCTATATGGGTACCGGGATGATCATTGGACGGCTGAAACAAACAATTGAAATAAATTTATTGAATTTAGTCTCTGGGCGGACTGGGTAGCCCTGTGCCCTCGAACCAACTGGTTTTATTGGGCTCCCATTGTGGTGAAGTATATGTGACATGACGAGAAAATGAAACTATCTTGATTCACCTTTCCCACACCCAACCCATACACCATTTTTCTCCTCAGATTATATCTTTCAGTGGATGCGAAGATGAATTTGATTTATTTTGAAACAAATATATGTCACCTTTTTTTTCCTTTCCAATCATGGCGTTGGACTGAACAAGGCCAAGTCCACTTCTGTTTAGTTTTAATATGTTGATACTAACAAGATCATTTCTTGATGAACACTGAAGGGGACCACATCAGATTCAAACTTGTTTCTTTTGCCAGTCCACAACATTTTAAATTCAATATATTACTTTAACATTCTAAATTGGAAGCAGTGATGGCTCAGTGATAGCCGAAATTCGATGCCAGTGCTTGGCATGCAGAAAAAAAACACGATATTGGGCATTCAACCCTATTCCTTTGTCACAAACAAGATTTGGATCTAAAGCGAAGTTGTTAGACAACAAGCCCTTCACTATGCCAGCGACGTGAAGCTAACAAAAAAAATGTTACATTAAACACAACACAATTTTTATGGGAAATCAATCACTGGTTTTATAAGAAAAGCATGACGGTTCAAAAAGTATCCTCTTATCGTTATCATTGTACTTTTCAAATAAAACCAGTAAATGATTTCCCATAAAAATTGTGTTCTGTTTAAAGTGTTTCTCAATACCACCTAAAGATTAACTTAACTGATTGGTTGTTGTGTACATAATCTCTTACCTGACAATAATGGGTACAGAAAGTCTCACCCATTTCTTTAACCCTGGCGATGATTCCATCTTTAGGATTCCTGCTACATTCACTGAAAAACACACAATTCATCAAATTTAATACAAATCTATTTCATGTCAGGAGACATTTAGGCATCGACTTGGCTAATGACGACAGGGCCTAATGAGGATGGGCCGACACCGTGTAGTGTGCTCTGAGACAATTTTGTCCGGACAGCGGCACTACGGCCTATTCTTTTTTAAAATTACAACTGTCAATGTTTTTTTTTACGTGCTCGCCAATGTGTACATGGGATCTCGTTTTTTTTTTGTCCAACCCAAAGTACTAACTAACCATAACATTTATCTACTTAAATGTGAGGAGGGAAAACATACAACAGTTCATTGATTGCAGGGTAGAGAGAGAGACAGAGAGTTAAAGGTCCGCTCGATACAAATTAGGTCATTTCGGGACTAACATATTTTATTTCAATAATTTGCTTGCGTGCAGGGGTCTTTAGCAGTGGGAGGAAAACGGAGGACGTGGAGAAAACCAACAAGGTTGGACAGGTGACCCTATGTTAACTCAATGACAGACCTTATGATACAGCGTCCACAAGCTAACCATCCAACCCCCACCCCAGGGTAAATATATGACAAACAAGTTGAAATTTATTGATGTGATCATCGGCCTACTTGCTATCACTGTTAATCTGATTGGTGAACTAGGCCTTTTAGTAATAACAATTCCTGTCATTAAATGACACAAGTGTTCATTATTGTACTCTAAACTTACATGGTGGGTTGTGTTATCTAGTGGTTTAATGTACGTATGTTTGATCATAAGATCTGTCATTGAGTCAAATGGCATGGTTTTGATTCCCTGCTTGTACGTACTTGGTAATGGGTTAACAAAATGAAATGGGGTTAAACGTCCTACTGTTCCGATTCGACTTGAATTTGGTTAATAAAAGAAAAAAGTACCTAAAATATTCCAGAAGTTTATCACTCGGACATGTTTTACGACCTGATAATAACGCTTGTAGTCGTCCTACACTCTGTGTTGCTGTGGAAACGGGTGTAATACTCAGGTCCTTTTCTTTTAGATAACGGCGACCTGTTAGGGGTGTGGATGGTGCCAATGTCTTTGTCTAAAAAAAAATAAACATACATATTTATTAAATTATAATCTAATCCATGATCTGATCTGAAATTCCAAATCAAAATTTCTGCACCAATAATATAAAAGTAGTGATGAGTATCATGAATAAGGCAGGACATGCTTCTATGAACACCCGACAATACTTTTTTATCTGAGAAAATAAATTTTCTTTTACAAATAGAAATAACCAAAGCACAACAGATAAATTAGTTTATGAAAACATGATCAATCAATTAGTTTATTAAACCATGGCTTTTAAATTAGTTTATGGAAGTGGCCAACATGAAATAGTTTATGAGAGTGGCAACTTTGACATAACATAGTTTATAAAAGTGACTGCCATGAGAGATAAAATAGTTTATGAAACCATGGCAGCTAATTAGTTTATGAAAATGACAACCACAGCATAAAATAGTTTATTGAAATGACTGCCACGAGAGATAAAATAGTTTATGAAAGTGACTGCCATGACATAAAATAGTTTACGAAAGTGACAGCCACGGCATAAAATAGTTTATGAAAATGACCACCATGCGAGATAAAATAGTTTATGAAAGTGTATTATAAATCACCTCATCAACATGTTGTTTTAAGGTTCGTTTAGCCTGCATTTGTTCAGCTAGAGTGGTTCCAGGTTTTCCTGGTGTACCAATCTCTTCTTCCGCATCGTCTCCTAGAAATATTCTCTCATCAAAATCACCCACACTCAATACATACTCCTCGTACGCATTATTTACAGATTTACTGAAACAACAAACATAGAAATGATTTTCAACAAACGCTTAAAATCACCAGTTAATTTCGTTAGAGCTCCTTTCCCACCCAAGCGTTTTTTTGTTCAATAGTTAACTATTTTCTTGTTAGACTCCCAGTTTGTATTGATGATAAAACCAATCTTCAAAAGAAGGCTTGGATACTGAGCCAGCTGGGGAGCCTATCAGTTTCCTTGACCATCACAAATACCAAGTCTCGCACTTTCCAGCTAAAATGTCTACTTGTGTTAATCGAGTTGCCAAGTTCAAGGATTGGTTGAATGACAAGGTTTCCGTGGAGGTCATGTTTGATCTGCGTTCGTGTCACAACCCCTGATTAGACTATCGTCTGGGTAAAAGGGAGATAACATAGCTATAGGTTTGGGAATTGCAGACCAGTCTAGAAACACGGTCGTAGCTTCAAGAACATGGGTAAAACAATAACCTGCATCCTAACATTACATAAACGCGTGTCGATAATTGGTTATAAAATCCCATGGCACAAACAGTGCTGTAGGAATTTTGCAAAGACAGAATTAAGCGTTCAAGCTGGGTTAGATGTGGGTGGGGGGGTACTAGGCTGCGGCCAGGAACCTCAATATTAAAGGGGAACCCACAATCAGCTCTCAACCAAATTTTCGTATCATAAATTATAGCTAGGCGACATGCCTAAAACAAATATCGCCATACCAATTTCTACACGTTTTGACATCAAATATGATAAAATGAAACAGAATCATCACAAAATAATTACTGTAATAAATTTACCTGTTAAATTCAAAATTCCCCACTTCCAACACAGCAGATAATGTATCTATTTTTCCTTTCAAGCTCTGTAATTAAAAACAGGAGATTGAATTAATAGGATTAGGTAGTGCTACTTTCTCTCATGTTTAGGATTCGAAGCAGAACAGTAGGACGTTAAACCCCATTTCATTTCTAATGTTTAGGAAACTGGCCGTGTGAATTGAGTGGTTTAACGCATTGCCAACTGATCTTTTACTGATTTGTACCAATCATTTCTTTTTGTAAAATCTAACACACATTTAGTAGTTATCTTCTAGAATGTTTACAAGATTCAGATATTCCCACAAATTTCTAGATTTGATTTGTAATGTTCTGGATGGGTCTGGAAAAAACAGAGAGAGAGAGAGAGAGAGAGAGAGAGAGAGAGAGAGAGGGGGTTAAGTCCACTTGACACAAACTAGATCATTTAGGGACTAACACATGGTTCAACGGTATTTTAATAATTAGCTTGTGCGTAGGGGTCTTTAGCGATGAGAGGAAACCGGAGAAAACCCATGAGGTTGGACAAGCGATCGTACTCCTTGTCACGTACAACCGGGAAATCGAAACCAAGCCAGTTGACTGAATGACAAACCTTATGATACGTGCAAGCGTTAACAATCCAAACCCTCTGGACATTGCCAGGTACAAATTCAGGTTTTTATCAGGCACAATTGCTCTGGTGTCTGTCATTTTGTCAGACCTTGATCCCGTTGTGGTCTTTGAGAAAGTTCATTGTGATTTTCTGCATGGTTTCGCCCTGTCAGTGGTGCAGGACAGATGGGACAAAAAAACTAAGTTCCTGTGTATATATGGGCATGCACATAAAAGATCCCTTTGCCGTTGCAATTTGACACTAGTTCAATTCAATAAGGCCTGACAGTTTGTCGGATACTACTTAAATCATCATCATTGGGCCTGCTGCTTGAATCAATCTATCTTTTTTTGCAATCATCGTTTTCTAAGTGCCTGGATTTTTTTTGCAACCTTCTCGCATCACTCTATTTTGTCAGGTAAAACTAAAATCATCATGAGACTCGAAGCATTCTATATTTTATACAAACCTTTCTTTCGAACAGTCGTTTAATGTGGGGTTTCCACCAATGTTCTTTGATAGTTTTCGCTTCTAGACCGAGTCCATCATGTTTATCGCAGAGAAGTTTAATAATACACGGAGCTTCAGCAGGTGGTTTCCACTCACGACTTTCATAGCCTTCTGGTAAACCTGTTAATACAACAATTTGTTTAAATGAAGTCTATTGACAACAGGGAGTCGTGGTGGTCCAGTAAGCAGTAAGAGAGTTAACTAATATGGGGGTAGTCTTGGTCACCCAGATCCCCAAAGTCTTCAACATATGGGTCTGGGTCTGTTGTCAACATTTGCTAAAAAGTGCCTATTTAAATCGTTTTTTTTTTAAAATCTTTTTATGTGGTTGATTATCCAGTAAATTTCATCAAATCAAGTAAGAGTTGTGCCCCTTCCCAAATCAGCATTTACAAAGTTATGTTTAACTAAAATGTCAATGATCTACTCAAGCAAACAAGATGCCTCAATCTGATTCAATCCAAACCGGGAGATTATCTAGTGTTGGTATTTTGATTGTGAGAAATTTGATATTTTTGTGAAAATACAAATGACACATCAAGCCGTTAAGATTTTATTGCGTTTCACAGTTTCACACTTACCTGAGAATTCCGGATTAAGGAGATCTTTTCTACCTCCTAATAAGGCATTAGCAAAGAACCAATCAATACAGCAGAGAAGCAAGTGATATGAATTCACAAGATCATCACTGATTGCCGGGAAATTACCTACAAAGATAAAACACCTTCTAAATGAAATATGTGTTTGCCCGCCAACTACTTTTTTCTGAGTGAAGTTTTCACTGAAGTTTTGACAAGATGTTGTATAGATTGTTCATTATCGTAGGAACAAGACTTGTTAATCGAGACTAAGTCTTGATTCACCATTTTTAAATTAAATCATTAAATGGTTACTGTGTTTCAATACGTTTAAATCTCTGCCATCCGATGTTCTAGAGAGTTAATTATAGGCTCGTTATGTTAATAAATTTAGCTCTTATATAATGCACCTTTAAATTTTATTTAAAAACATAACCACCAAAATTTCACATTTTTCATTTGTACTAGTAGTTAATGGTACGGTAGTAATAAAATTGCTTTTTCTGTACCTTTAACTTGTACAAACATGGTCCAAGCAAAATTAAAAACATCAGTAACTGTACATGGTAGACGCCTGTTCAAAAAAAAAAGAAAAAAAAGCGATATAAGTACAGATGATTATTACAATAATTATAGTGTTTTTCCTTTCAGAAGACTTACAACTAAGAAATTATGATAATAATCTATTAACTAAGTACTGGCTATCTAACTAAATGATAGCCCAGAGGAACACACCCTGTCTACATGTACGTATAAAAGATCAAATATAGAGGAATATGTACCATATTTCTGTAATTGTTTTCAAGGAATTAGGGTAGTCAATATTTATTTACATCGATGTATGAAGTGTTAAAGGGTTGATCCCTGTTCATTATTCTCTTGTTTTGAAGAATTTTATTACAAATGACTTATCTATCTATTATATATATATATATATATTTGCGACTGTCGTTTGTCTGTTCGGGGTTGGCGGCTACACTAGGTCTGCCCCGAGTCTGAAATTTGGGGTATAGGGGTAGCTCAGACCGGGGAGTAAAAAAGGCCAGGTGGCGTTAGTCTACCACTTCCGGTTTCGGGGTTATGACCCCCGAGCGAAGCCGGGTATCCTGCTAGTTGTATTATAATTTATTTTGTCACATTGGGCAGTGAAAGTTGGAATTCGATACAAGAGTAAGCTGTAGCGCCAAATTTTTGTCCATGTAAATTAATGTTCCGGGGACAATAAGTGGAATTTAACGCATAATCGGGAACAATGGGTTCACACCTGTAAATTCAAAATTGATAAACATTTCCTTAATTACACAACATGAACTAAACAGCTGTTTACAAACAATAAACAGACAAGTTAACATTACATGCAATAAAACAAGTGGTGATCGTGTGGTGTACGAAACATTAACAGAACAAAGAGACTGGATGAAAGTGATGTGTATGAAAGAAACTGGATGATCATCTGATGTGTATGAAACATAACAGAACAAAGAGGCTGGAAGATAGTGATGGGATGAAAACAGACTGGAAGATAGTGCACAATAAGTTAGTATAAATAGTACCATGTTTAGGATCTCATTCTCAATATTTACAGGTATTTAATCAAAGAAAAATACTACAACTAACATATTTATTTAAATCATCCGATCGGAGAAACCGACCCAAATTTCATTGAAAGAATTCAAGGCTCTATCCCATCTGATAATAAATTTAAATATTCTTTAGTCATCATATAAAACAAACTTTTACATAATAACATCAATTGAAGCTTCAATTTTAACATCTGTTGAAAGAAAATGAGATCCCATAAAAATGTTTGCCAAAAAAGCTAAACACCCCTTTTAATGAAAAATGAACTGAGCTAAATTTGTTGAAGGCAGCTAAAATGTACATGTAAATAAACACTGCTCAGTCCATTTTTAAAAAGGTTAGATAACGAAATGAAATGGGGTTTAACGTCCTACTGTAGGTTAGATAACAACTGTATTTGAAAGTTGCTGAAATATATACCCATTCAAACTAATTTTGTTAAAACTAAATTCTACCTTTCTGCGCTATCTGGAGTTTTTTGTTTAGCTATTCTCCGTCTAAAATTACTTTAAAACAAAGCAAAGTAGGAAAGAAATGAAATTATATTTAATGAGAGAAATAATGAAATGAAAAAGCAACATGTAACAAGAAAACAACTCTATATCTACATGTACAGTTCTCCAATCTCAGAAATAAAAACAAAACGGTATTGCCCTACTTTTCGGCACCAACCAGAATAACAAAGAAAATCATACACCATGCCATTTAGTGCTGGCACGACATATCATTGAATCGATGTATCGCGATTCACTTTCTCACGATATGCGTATTGAATCACGAGACGCTGAATCGATGTTTTGTGATTCTTTTTTTTTAATGTTTTTTTTGCCACTTCAGTAACTAACCCTTCACTCTTTTCAATTATCAACGTCAAACATTATCCATAGGTACAAAAACACTCTTAAATTGTCTTGGTCCTTATTTTCATCTGTCGGCCATTAGTAAATGAACAAACATTTCAGGCCCTTGACAATAATTGCAATTTGTGACTCCAATAAAATATCAATTATTCTTTTATCCTGTTGTTTTCTTGGTAAATATTGACCTGGTTATGAATCGTGATACCAATCGTACGTGTATCTTAACACCCAAATCACTAATGCCATAACTTGCCGGAAGAGTATTTTGATCGGAGAGAAACATTTTAGCCTACTCAGTCTTTATCAAAGAATAACTGACAAGGGATCTTCAATGTGCACACCAACGTACGTATATGGGACTTGTTTTTCGTTTGTCCCATTCAATCAACTAGGCGCTATTTCGTGTCAGCCTCCATTCCTATATCACAGACAAAGCAAGCCAAAACATTATGGTGACAAAAGGGAATTTTGACCTATAAAATTAGCTCACTGCAAATCTCACACAGCATCATTATCATCACAATAATTCACACCGTTTGTCTTTTTATCGGTGATTTAGAAATACAAACAAAGACAGTTTAGTAGGTATTTTATATTTCTGAGAACAAAGACTTGAACTTCTAATTATGCAAAAAATATAAGCTACGTTTAAGTGGTAAAAATAAAATCAGACTGAGACAGAAAGCAACAAATATAATAAAGAGATGAAATATATAAAACAAGAATGAGGTTTAATGATTTATACTATGCGAGAATTAAGTTCAGTCTATTTTCTTTAAATTTCGACTGCCAAGGATTTTCTTGTTCTGAAAACTAGGCCTTCGATTATCAAAACCCCGCTAAAGACCCCATCCTAGGCCTTCAGAAAACAAGACTATATCATTTAGCACAATAATTAACCTACCTTTTGTTTCGACCTCTAGGCTGACGGGGACTGTCGCTTGCAGGGTTTCGGAATATATCCAAATAAATCGGCTCAAATTTTTTGAAGATAACAGTTGACACGGCAAAGTTCCTTTCTAATCGATCAACTTTATTCCTGAAGTCTTCTGGTAAACTTGCCATGTCGGACCATTTCTTCATCTTGTTGAAAAATTGAATAAGGCTGTCATAATAAGAAAAGATAGACAATAATGACAAGAAGAAAACAAATAACTTTGTTGAATGACAAATATTTTTCATTATAATTATATTGAAACAGAAATAATTTATGGGCAAGAAGGGTTGCACGATTTACCCAAATCAAATATGCTGTTCTGTATGCCAAATTGTCATTTTTAATTGATAATTTTGTGGCAAACTGCCCCCCAAAATCTCACTTCAAATAAAGCATGGAAGTCGAAACAAAATTTGTGTAATACACAAATCTCCAAATTCACCATTATTTCAACATCACACTTGAACTGACAATTCAGGATAAAAATCGTACATTATCAATATAAATTATTACGGTAATAGTTGAAATAATGGTGGATAGTGCTACATATTAATTAAAATCATTGGAAGGTATTTATATAAGTTTTATGCCATTAAGATCGGGTATGAATATGCAATAGGGACATTTCGTATCCTCTTACACACGGTTTCGTAATCTGACGTACGATAATAGCTAGAGGACGTTAATCTCCACTCCATGAACTTCTTGGTCAAGGCGAAGTTTTCAATCGATTTGTTGGCAGATGCACATTCTACAAACTCTACTAAAAAATGAACAATATACGCAAAGCCTCGAAAAATGGTGGAAAATTCAATATATGAGACAAGAAACATATTCGTTTGCATACCTACGTAAATCCAGCTCCATACGCGTAACATTTTCACTGGCCGAACACTCATTACGGATTGACGTCACAAGTAGGCCTACACATGAATCGATGACGTTTTCGTAATGACTGACACTGAACCAGATTTTGACCCAAACAAAGTGGACCAGTCATCACAAGATCATTGTGAAGGCTGTATTCCAGGTGACATTACACATCATCAGACAGTAACGCCAAGAGATCTAGACTAAAGCCTACCTCCAACACTTGTGCATGACTGCAAAAAATAGGGTTTAACTTTCCCACACAACCAGTGTATCCGCTTCGGATTGGGGACTCTGCAGCAAGAATATTAGTCACTGGTTTGTAGGCCAACCCAAGTACCAGTATCGTGTAGTTGGGTTGTTTTAGCAGCAGATTTTGTATTTATTAATGTTTAGTTTAAAACAATTAATGGCAAATTCATACATAAACTTGGCTTTGGGAATGAGAAGCTGGGGTCGGACCTCTTGCCTTGCCCTGCTCCACCCTTTGGCTTGTGTTGACATTTTCTGAGTGACATAACATAACAAACTTATCTAGGTGTTTCTAATAAAAGAGAATACACTATAGTTTTACTACATAATATCAGATGTGACCCTGTGCTTTACCTGTCTATGTGGGAAATGTCTCGCGATATGTACCTGAATTTGGCTGATCGAAGAAGTCGAGTAAGAGAAACACAATTTCCTTCCACGGTTCCTTTCCCAACTGTTGGGACAACTGTTCTCCTGCAGGCATCGTACAGTGCACATGCCAGCCACTGAATCTTATCCCCCTGAAAATATAATAAATGGCTTCATTAATCCGATCAAAAGATCATGACAGAAGTACAAAGCCAACAACAGCGGAAGCGTCACGGAGGCCATTTAATCCCAAAAATGGCTGATGTTTTTACCTCGAGAGTGTAACTCATTTGGATCCTTTGAAACGACTGCCATGCTTCTTCCTTAGCATTTCGGTCCATGTTAAGATCAAGACACAGTTCATCATATCGCTGTTGGACGCTGTCCTCCGCTTCCTCTGAGAGGACCATTTTAGCGGAAGAAATGGTCAGTTTTTACCGCTATGTTATTCCGTCGGTCTCCTTACGTATTTTTCTTTACGCGTTGATAGAAATCCCAGTGGCGGGAAAATCAACGAGCCTGTTCACGCATTAGGTGTTCCTCCGCTGTAACAAATAACTCGATAGAGTCAAGATTATAGCGTTATTACTAAACATTCGACATCAAAGATGTTCAGTTGATGTGTATTACAATATTGATTAATATCAAAGTAAGACATAATATCGGTGTAACAAATCTAGATTGTGATTCCCAGCGTAATTATTTTGTGTCTTCCGTCTGCATGTCGTCACTCGAATGTAAACATCAGCGGAGCGAATAATGTACTACTTTTACACTCGATCCCGTTAGATGCACACTCCAGCTGAATATACACATCACGTGACCAATCTACCCGGGCAAAGTTTTATATCCCCGCTATTCACTCACGATTCACGCGCAGAGAAAGATGTAAATAACGATGCAACCTGACCGTGTTTTGTTGAAAAGATTATGAATGTTTATTCGAAATCTCTTTGGTCCTAGTTCGAGTTAAAGTGTGGTTGTCTCCCGTAGATTAGATCTGTAAGGCAATTTTGTTTTCTGCAGAAAACTGAGCCTATTTTAGGGGCAGGTGAGGTGCGGTAAATTTATAGAGTGACGACAGAGCTGAATTTCCAAAGGTTCATTAATTTATCACCGCAAAGGTGGGTATAGTAGATAATTACTTTTATTAGTTACTATTCTTCAACCGGAGATTTGTTCCATTTTAAAAAAATAACGCCACGCGCATCTTTTGTCAATGATATATGGAAAACAAGTTCGACTGCCGTCTTCGATGTTTCCAGCGCTCTTCGTCTAGTTGAGGTCATTAACGAACAGTCTGCAAAAAGAGAACAATGGAAGCCCAAAGAGCTCTTGTGTTATTCAGTGTTCTTAATTCTTAGTTCTTAATTCATAGTCTCTAATTTTTATTTCTTCATTTGTTGTCGTATTTCGACATTTGTATACTAAAATTAACATTTGTATCTTAAAATCAATAGTTGTTTTACAAATCAAACATTTGTCATATCAGATTTGTAAATTGTATCTTTGTTTAATTTCATTGTATTTTAATATAATATTATAAACTCTTTTGGAAAATCAAAAAATTACATATACATTTCATCAGAAACATAACGCAAAACTAATTGTAGACATAGGCCTCAAAAATCTACATTAAAGTCTCTGCCAGTCATATGCAATATTCAAAAAAAATTTCATATTTTCCTCGGCTTTAATCAACATTAGGTCATACACCCCCCCCCCTCCCACAGGGCATAACCCCACATGCCACAGGGCATAACCCCGACCGGCATAACTCCCACAAAGATCAAAACCCCCACCCTATAGGGCATAACATCCCACCCCACAGGGTATAACCCCCACCCCAACAACGAAATTCGGCCACGTTTGGACATGGGTAACCAAAAATTCCTTTATCTGCTTATCCCTTTCATAATTCCTTCGGCATATATTTATAGCCCCACCCCACCCCCGTTCCCTTTGTGCATGATGATTTGTGTTGATTTTTTTGTGATGTAGAATCGAAGAATAAGGTTTGAATTTTCGTTTTCTGACGGAGCCGCGATGGCTCATTGGATACGCCCTGACGCACAAACCAGAGAATCCGGGATTTGATCCCGGCCGAGAAAGGGGTGTGTCTAGATTGGGTAGTACGAAAAACAAAGGTCCCATATACACATCGGCATGCACGTGAAAGAACCCTTGACAGTTGGAATTCGAAATAAGAGTAGGCCGTAGCGCAATCTGACTAAAATACAGATCTATATTTCGTTTCGTTTTTTTTTATACTTTCGATGACCTCTACTACATGAAGATCTGGCCGATTGTAGTGGAAGGTCACGTCAGGGTTCATACGAGCGGCTTTTGACCCTATGACGCCAGACATTGATTAATCCATAGAAATACATGTAGTAATCAATAATTACGTTGACGTTGCTAGTAGTTATCCCACAGTTCCGTGTGCAACACGCCAAGAACTCGTTGTAACAGATCGTTTCATTGTCTAATCCCTCATACCAATTAAACCAATGGTTATACAATAACTTTTCCCGATCGTAGTGTAGTAACAGACCGTTTCATTGGCTAATCACTCATATAGAAAAAAAATCAATTTTTTCAAAAATTTCTTCTCATACCTCCTATATATATATTTTGTAGAATATATTGAACCCCATTCCATTCCATTTCACGTTAAGGCGTTTTCTGCCAGATTTTAGTGAATGTTCACGATTTTGAGGCGGAAAGATAAGAGGTTGGTTATTTTGAGGCGGGGGATAAGCGAGTTAAAAGGCTGGTAGACATGGAAAGGTTTGGGGGCGTTTGGAAAAGTCGACAATGAAATATTTATGAAACATTTTCTTTTTATTTCGCTGGATCAATAATAGTTTATCCTATCATCTTGTAAGATGCGGGAAAAATATATTCTACAAAATATATACATAGGAGGTATGAGAAGAAATTTTTAAAAAAAATGATTTTTTTTCTAAGTCCAATATCTTGTGGAACTCTTGTGGTGAAAAACACCACAGACCCAACACACTCTATGAATATTATTTTAAGTCGGAAGTCTTGGGGAATGTATTTATTTTCAGAAACCCAGTATCTTGTGGAACTCTTGTGGTGAAAAGTTCCACACAAATGCCCCCAAACCTTGCCATAGATGGAGGCTGGTTATTGTGAAAAGTAGGACGGATAGTTAATTTTACTAGTATGCCACCTCCAGTAGGTGCATATCAATGGTGAACCTCATACATAAGCTTTTGAACAAGACGCTGCTGCCGGGGGCGTGTGTGTGTGTGTGTGTGTGGGGGGGGGGGGGTCTGAGCTCTAGTTGACCGATCACCTTTGGCTTGTGGTCGTAGTTTCGATCCCTGGTGTGAGCGTATGTACCGCTTGGAGAAAACGGCGCCTTCTCAACCTCGTGGGTTTACTCTGGGTACTCCGGTTTCCTCCCACAGGAAAGACCACAGTGCGTGTCCTAAGCATAATAACATAAAACAAGACTAGTTTGCCATAATACCATCGGTGGATACCGACGTTAAACACTAAAAGATGAAGTACAAGACGTTGCCACTACCTATACTACAGTCAATCGGGAAATCAACGTGTAAAGTCATCCTTTTGGAAGGATTGAGAAAATGCATTTTAGGGACGTCCAATCCAATTGTGAATATGAAATGAAATGGGGTTTAACGTCCTACTGCTCTGCTCAGACTGGGCTAATGAAGACGGGCATACATCATACAATGTGCTATGAGGGAAATTTTGCCCGGACAGCGGCACTACGACCCACTCTTAAGTGGAATTCCAACTATCAAGGGATCTTTTACGTGCAAGCGAATGTGTACACAGGACCTCGATTTTTCGTCCCTTCCGAACGACTAGACAGCTGTCATTGACAGGCCCTCCGTCTTGCACCACTGACAAGGGGAAACCAGCCGGAAATCCCAATGAATATTCTCGGTCAACACCGGGAGTGAACCCGCGACCTCTAGACTGGCGAGCCAGCGTCATACCCACTGAGCCACCGTGGCTCCCCCAATCCAACTGTGGCTTAGTTATTAAGGTGCTGGCTTGCTAGCCAGGAGATCCTAGGTTCGATCCAGATCTTGAAAGCGTGAGAGAGAGAGAGAAATGGGGTTTAACGTCCACTCGACACAGACTAGGTCATTTCGGAACTAATATATGGTTTTAATTTTATTTCAATAATTCGCTTGCGCGTAGGGGTCTTTAGCAGTGGGGAGGAAACCGGGGGACCCGGAGAAAACCCACAAGGTTGGACAGGCAACCCTACTCCTTGTCACGGACAACCGGGGATTCGAAACCACGCCAGTTGACTCAGTGACAGGCTTCATGATACAGCGCGTGTGTGCTAACCATCCAACCCCCCTCTTGAAAGCGTGGTTATTGTACCGTTTAAGTGGTGCAGGAATGAGGGCATGTCTAGGACAGTGTATAGTAGTTCAGACGGAACGAACAATCACGGTCTCAGTGACAGGCTTCATGATACAGCGCGTGTGTGCTAACCATCCAACCCCCTCTTGAAAGCGTGGTTATTGTACCGTTTAAGTGGTGCAGGAATGAGGGCATGTCTAGGACAGTGTATAGTAGTTCAGACGGAACGAACAATCACGGTCCGATGTACACGTTGGTGTGCACGTTAAATACCCTTGACAATTGGAATGTAATTGATGTCCGGGCAAATTTATTGTGCTTCAACTGAGAAGAGGGGACATATTCTGGTAATGGTCCGTCACACTCACACACATGCAATTTGTATGTCAGTAGATAGATAGATAGATAGATAGATAGATTTGGCATAAACATATACAACATAAAAAATGACATATTCATTTATGGTACAAACCTTTTTTAGAACTAATTTGGGGTCCTTTTAATATTGGGGCCACTGTCTTCCGCCCAGTCCTGACCCCCCCCCCCCCACCTGCAATAATCTCACCAATCTAGACACTAATACAAAATAAGACAATATGAAGTAACACGATAAAATTTTATTCATTATTACAGTTGCATTATGTACGATTTAGGTAAAGAGCTGATCGTTCTTGCTACAATAGTTTTAAAAAAATGGATAATGCAAAATGAATATTGAAAGTGTCATTCAAATTACTTTATTCTCAGCCAATTTATCACTGTTTGTATTTTTGACAAGATGTGTGCATTGGTTATAATTTTCGTAAACACGGTACTGGTATATTCGAGGCGTAGCCTAGCTTCTCCATATTTAAATTAAATCATTAAAAGTCCGAAACGCTCTGATCTACTTCAAATCGGAGCCATCGATTATTGTCTTGTCATGTCAATCAATGCCTAATTAATAATTTATATAAGAAAGACGACCTGCAATAGGCAATTTAACTCTTAAATAATGCATTTTTACGTTAAAAGAACTAACTTTGGTAAGCAAAATATCAATTTCGTAAATATTGCACAATTTAAACGCATTAAGAATATTGAAATGCGATTTAACAGCTACCCATTCTCTTAGTCATGCGTTTGTCATTGTCCGGGCCCCACTGTCCTTCATAGCACACATGTTGGCGTGTGTCCGTATTCATTAGTCAAGAACAGTAGAACAGTAGGTGCAGAGCAGAACAGTAGGACGCTAAACCCCATTGCCTTTCCTTTCATTTTTACTTATTAGCTACTGTATTCAAGGGTCTACAGTTATTGTTCTAATGGCTGATATGGGAGGGTTTCGTGTGGCCTAACGCGTGCGTTTCTGATCATAAGTTCTTTCTCCGAGTCGCCTCTCCACCCTCATGGGTTTTCGAATGGACGCCACCCCCCCCTCTCGTATTCTTCTAGCTGATTGGTTCTATACCTATTGTTCTACATCTATTGTTTTACACTTTTAGTTCTAGTGGCTGATTGGTTCATCAGTAGCACTTATTGTTCTATTAGCTGATTGTTTCAGCACTTATTGTTCTATCAGCTGATTGTATCGGCACTTATTGTTCTATCAGCTGATTGTTTCAGCACTTATTGTTCTATTAGCTGATTGTTACGGCACTTATTGTTCTATTAGCTGACTGTTTCAGCACTTATTGTTCTATTAGCTGTTTGTTACGGCACTTATTGTTCTATTAGCTGATAGTTTCAGCCCTTATTGTTCTATTAGCTAATGGGTCCACGCTCATTGTTACGTACTGGTTGTTCTATTTACTGTTAGATTAGCTAATGGAAGAAGATCATATATCTTTGTATAATTGTAAAATGAAATCGCTCGCGGTTTACGTTTTGAATACTATAAAGTTAAATGGAGCTTTGTGGAAAACTCGTTTTAGTTAATGATTGATATATTGTGAAAATTTGGGTTACAAAGAAAATTTTCGGGCAAATAGCATTAGCCCCATCCCCACCCCACCCTAAAAACTGAGATTACTCCCATATGCCCACACAACTGTATATTTATCGTTCGTTTTATTCGCGATTTACGCTCTTCCCAAGACCTATACCAAATAAAGATGAATCGGTGTCGTTTTCTAGTCTATGCCACCGTTTCATAAATATTTTCATTGTCAATGAATTCAACGCCCGATTTTGTTGATTTGTTATTGTTATAGTAAATCGTTTTTAAATCTTCACTCGGCATCAGGTAGCCATCATCTGGATCATGAGGTGTGACGTAATATGCCTCTGATGTTATGATGTCATCACCACGATAGAATTTCTCGACATTTGACTCGTGACTTTCATTGTTGCTAGAACCCATGTCTATGTAGCCACCGCCGATTGGTTGAGTTTTTGAAACGCTACCAGTACCTGAGTCCAAATCGCCTCCTGCATTGTATGTCTTATTTGAGAACCGTACACCATAATCATTGCGTGACGACATTTTCTTTTCTGGAAGAGGTCTACCTGAATTGTCATTAGGCTTTTTCAAATTTTTGTTTTTTATGCGATCACCCATGGACGTTTGTGGACGAGGGAAATTTTCGATATCTCTATGTTCAGATTTGTCCGTCGGCTTTGGAGAATTTTGGGATCTATTTCTTCGACGTCGAAGGACAAAAACCGTTACTATGACAATACACACAATCCCCAATGCAAAAATAGCACCACTGACACCTACTACGCCACTGGTTGTCAAACCTTTGGCGCCATCCTGTTTTACTTTCTTGGTTGCCGAAGCTGAAGATGCTGAATTGCCGTAGTTAATATCCTTCGCCCTTTTAGACGTGTCGTCATTGTCTTCCCCATTTAATATCCCGATTTCACTTTTTTGTCCCCGATCTGTTTTTCTGAACCCAGGCTGTGAATCCACCACAACATCTAGGCCCACTATTTGCTTGAATTGCATGTTTGAAGACACCGTGTTCGATCTGCATATTAAATTAAATGTACGTTTGTTATTTCTCTTAACTTCGTCATCATCATCATCATCATCATCAACTTCATCGTCATCGCGACTATCATCATCGTCGTCATCGTCATCGTCGTGACTATCATTATCATCGACGTGGTCGTCATCATCATCGTCGTCGTCGCGACTATTATTATTATCGTCGTCCTCATCATTATCAACGTCATCATCGTTGTCATCATGAATATCATCATCCTCATCATCATCACTATCATCAACTTCGTCGTCATCGTCTCCGCGATTATCATTATCGTCGTCGTGGTCATCATCATCGTCGTCGTTGCGACTATCATTATTGTTGTCGTCACCATCTTCATCGTCGTCGTCGTCGCGGCTATCATGATCAGGTTTAATGCATAATAATTTTCTATCCATATATGTTAAAATTTGAAATATAAGTCCATTTTTAACTTTTCTAGAATTACGGCAAGAAGTGTATTCGTCATTACGTGGTAAGCCACACATTGTGTTAAGGATTTGACTTACATTAACATGTTTGGACTTATCAACACTATAGATCACATTGCACGTACATTTCACATCTATATAAGATTTCAATGTGATTAAGAGCACATCCTTTGATTTTAAGACCCCGCCATGACAGTTGTCGGCAGAAATGGCGTCCTTTTCTGAACTCGATAAAATATCTAAACATCCTGAACCTAGAAAACAATAAAACAAAATAAGAACATTACTACCGATTTATTTTAATTACCATGTTTAGCAGTGCGATATTAGGAAGCAGTATTTTGCCTGAACAGTGGCGTTTCTGGGTGGTATACTTCAACTGTTAAATCCGGCGTGGTCTCCCTTTGTCAGTGGTAACGGAGGGTCCAACAAGGAAAGTGACAGGACGATTGGGGACCAAAAACAGAGGTCCCGTATGTACACATTGCCTTGCGCGTAAATCCTAGCTCACAACCCGTCGTACGTCCTACTACGGACAGTCTACGGAGGAAATTTTAGTGAACCACTGCGTGAGACTTACGCGTCACTTGCGTGTGTTCGGCACCGTAGAAGATCGCAGACTGGCCGTAGAGACTTGGTCCTGTACATACAAAAGCCTCTCCCGGTTTCTTGCGGCAGGTCTGCTAGCTACCAAACCTTACGATCTGGATCAGGACGATTAGGGAGGAAATTAAGGACCAGGACGGTTTTGGATCAGATCAAGGATCAGGACGGTTGGAAAGGAGATTAAAGATAAAGGGAGATCATTTCCACACGGAAAAGTCATCTTTTGGGAATTCGGAATTAATTTAGACTAACTCGGCACGTGGGAATTTCCGACCTCCCCAACCGGTCTAAACATAGACACTCTCTCGTGGGGAACTTACCTTTAGTACAGGGAGACAATCCAATTATAACCAGCACCACCAACACAACACCTCTATGACTCACTTTAAACTTTCTCATTGAACAATTCAGTGAATATCCACACTTGTCTAAATTCCATATGACTCTTGAAGCTTATAAAGGCCCAGGTAAAGGTACATATACTGGCTATAAATCTCCAGTCAGAAATCCCTTGAACCTATGATATTAAACTTCTGCAACCATACTTGTTGTCAAAATCACGAATCTATCCCCGATATATAGCCAGAATTACCTTAACTGAGGTAAAGCCAAATATAATATGTTCACGACCGACAAGTCAGAAATCCTTTGAATCTATGATATTAAACACCTGCAACCGCATAAGCGTGCTTGTCTGACTCTTGTCCGTGGTGTTGGCTGCACGGTTTCCGGTCTTCTGGTCGTTTTCCTGGTTATCTTGTATTTGGTATCACAATTATTTCACCGATCCCCCTGAATCTATGAAATTAAACAGCCATAATTGTGTTTGTCTTACTATTGTCCGTGTGTGTGGGTCTTGTGTCCTTACTTCTTTGTAAAATAAAGTTTGTAATTTGAATTACAAACACCTGTAAAATCAAAATCACCTCAATTCTTAACCATTACTTCACACGGTTAAATTAAAAAACTATGGTACTATCCCTTGAAAACTAAACGATAGCTATAAAGCGGCATTTTCCAATTTTTGGTATAAAGGTTGCGTGTCTCTGTGTTCAGAATTGGAAATAGGGATTAACGTTCTCTACCGACTGGGCTAATGCCGACGACGTTCAGAATGTAACCGTTAACCCAAATAATGATTGTCCAGTCTTCGATCACTTCAAATTACATATTTCAAGCAAACGGTGCACACATTTATTTTTACGCTAATTTATGTCCAGTCCTCGGTCACATCAAATTAAAAATATCAAGCTAACGATTCACACGGATTTTATTTTCGTCCATGAAACAACTGTCGATGAAACAAATTCTTTCCGTCGATGAAACAACTGTCGATGAAACAACTGTCCAGACGAGCAATGCACTAGGATAATCTTTCCGTAAAATAACTCTCTTTATAAACAACGCACCCAGATACTTTTTCCTCTGTGAAATAACTGTCTATCCATATAAATGCGTTAATATTCAAATCGAACTATTCTTATAATTATCGAATACTGACAAAATAACTCTCTTTATAAACAACGCATGCACCCAGATACTTTTTCCTCTGTGAAATAACTGTCTATCCATATAAATGCGTTAATATTCAAATCGAACTATTCTTATAATTATCAAATACTGTCAAACACAACCATTAAAAGTTATTATTCATTTAACTCATGGTTTAAGAAAGAGCAACCTTTATTTCGTCCGTCCGTCAGCTTTAGTTGAATAGCCTATAAAAGTCATGACGGGGATGTATATTTATAACCCGATGATAGACTGTTTGTAGTCGCTTGACAAGCTGTCGACGATTTATAACGACTTTAGCAACAACTTGAAAAAAAAAATCTCATCACATTTTGATAGATATGAAAATCAAAAAATAATATTTCAAAGACATTTTAAAAAGACGTGACGTCACATCCTGTACTTGGATAGGAAACACTATTTTAGTAACCGACATATTCACGTATTTTACCGAACATAATTGATCAGAAACTACAATTATTTTTTTTTTTTAAAAATTAACTGTAAATCACTTTATATACTATGCATTTAAATTACTTTAATGTGCTTTTAGACTCATTTTGGTATATTTTAAGGTTTAAAAAAATAGAACCATACGCCCTTTAAGATGTAACACAACAAACTGTTGAATATTATGAAAGTATTTACTGTAATATAATTTAAACTTCACGGATAAAATGAACTAACTCGTTAGCTATTTATCTTGTTGATGTCAAATAAATGTCACCATCACATGTCGACTGCCCTTGTACTGAGAGTTGTAATGACATAAGGTAGGATTAATAGCGGCGAGAGAGAGAGAGAGAGAGAGAGAGAGAGACTAGTTCATTAATGTGAGCTGTCGTTCAATTGAAATGAATTGAACTGCATGATATTTAACGTCCTCTTTTCTGCACCAACCGGACTAATGAACAGATTGGCGTGCACGTAAAATATCCCCTGGCAGTTAGAATTCGATATAAGAGCCGGCCGCAGCGTCGATGTCCTAACAAAATGTCTCTCATAACATACTGTATGACGTATGCCCGTCTTCATGAACCCAGTCGGAGCAGAATAATAGGACGTTAAACCCCATTTCATTTCATGTCTTTAACCTCTTTACTATGACTCAGTACGTGATGACGTAATGGCGATATATAAAGTGACATCTATATTTATATGTAGAGTGACAGGATACTATATATATTTATAAATGAAAATTAAAATGTTGAGTAATGAAACACGATAGTATGCGGCTAGCGTTTTCAGTCCTGAACGAACATCACCAGACCTATCCACACATTTTCCATTAAAGAGGCATTATTCTAGATCTAAATCTGCATATTGCATGTCTTTCTTTAGGCCTTAAATGTTACATAAAATTTAACATTTATTGACCTGACAAGACCATATTCCACCCTCGATGCCATCGGAGGGCTCCGACTTAAGTAGATTAGAATGGGTCGGCCATAAAAGATCTGTCATTGAGTCAAGTGCTGAGGTTTTGATTCCCCTCGTGTACTTAATAGGAGGAGAGTCACCTGTCCAACCTCGTGGGTTTTCTCCGCGTCACCAGGTTTTCCCCCACTTCTAAAGACCCCTATGTGTAAGCGTATTATTACCCCTTCCCCAACATTTAGATATTATTTTGCAATTTAGAGACGTTGGCTCGCTAGCCTGGCGCTGTCGGGTTCGTTCTTGGTGTTTGTAGAGAAATTTTCTCGGACACTCGGGCATTTGGGGCGAACATCGACTGATGTCTAGTCGTTTGGGCGGGGCAAAAGCCGATCTCCCCAAACGGTCAGAATCCATCCTCAACCGATCCTCGTCCGCCGTTCCGTAGATCTCCTCAGCCGGTTTGAACTCCTCCCCAGTCGGCCTGTAGATCTCACCGATCGGCCTGAACTACTCCTCAGTCGGCCTGTATATCACCCCCCCCCCCCTCCAAAAACCGATCTTAACTCCTCCTCCTCAGCCTGTCAGATCTCGACAACCGGACTGTACTGCTCCCAAGCGACCAAAACTCGACCCTTCTCCCCAAACCGAACTGGACTCCACCTCAACCCGTTTGAACTCCTTCTTGGCCAGCATGAATTCATCCCAAACCACAACGGAACCGTGCTCAACAACGGGCCTGGGCCCCTTTTAGCTGCCCAAGCCCCTCCCCTATTGTATCACCCCAACCCGACCTGAACTCCTTCCGAACGGGTCTGTTCTCCCCAACCGACCTGAACTTCTTCTTAACAGGCCGGGGATCACGTGGCTAAGTGGGTAAGACGCTGGTTCTATCCCTGCATTGGCCGAGAAAGTTCATCCAGATTTTCCGGCGTGATGCAGGACGGAGGGCCTGACAAGGACAGCTGTCTAGTCGTTCGGATGGGACGAAAAACCGAGGCCCCGTGTACATATTGGCGTGCACGTAAAAGATCCCTTGGCAGTTGGAATTCAATATAAGAGTAGGCGATAGTGCCGCTGCCGGGCAAAATTTCCCTCATAGCACACTGTATGGCGTATGCCCGTCTTCATTAGCCAAGTTTAGGAGCAGAACAGTAGGACGTTAAACTCCATTTCATTTCTTAACAGGCCTGACAAAAGATAACACTACCAGCAAATGTTGACCGTCACTATTACGCCACAACATGCTAGAAAACATCAATCTTGTAAGACATTGTGTGATTTAAAAATACGACAGATATAAATTTGATAACAAGTAAAACAATCCCAGATGATTGTTTGGTTCTAGACAATGACGTCATTTAAAATACATCTATATATAAACGGTCTACAAGCAAACACCCGAGGGTGTTTGGGATGGCCTATAGTGTTCTAGAGTGTCGCGTTTTTAACTCTAGCTGGTAGGTCACCTCTGGTCTGCCGTCGTGGTTGCGATCCGTGGTGTGAACGTATGTGGCTTTGAGACAGAACAGAGGCGCCTTCTCAACCTCTTGAGTTTATTCCAGGTACTCCGGTTTTTACCCACAAGAAAGACCCTGTGCGTGCGCTAAGATATTAAAAATAAGAATTGTCCGTGATATATCACAAGTTCTAATGTGATTTCGATTCCCAGCATGAACGTGAAAGGGAATAAGGTCCCTTGCCCAACGTTGGGGGGGGGGGGGGGTCACGTGGCTAAGTGGGTAAGACGCTGGCTCGCTAGCCTGGAGGTCGGGTGTTCGATCCCTGTATTGGCCGAGAAAGTTCATCCAGATTTTCCGGCGTGGTTTCCCTTTGTCAGTGATGCAGCCCGGAGGGCTTGACAATGACAGCTGTCTAGTCGTTCGGATGGGACGGAAAACATATTGGTGTGCACGTAAAAGATCCTTTGACAGTTGGAATTCGATATAAGCGTAGGCCGTAGCGCCGCTGCCCGGGCAAAATTTCCCTCATAGCACACTGTATGGCGTATGCCCGTCTTCATTAGCCCAGTTTAGTAGGAGAGCAGTAGGACGTTAAACCCCATTTCATTTCATTTCATTTCATTTCCAAAGTTGGGGGGGGGGGTTTCTTCATGTGTGGGAGATAATTTGCCGTTGTTTTCATAATTAAATGTTAAATAACCAATTTGAGTATATGTTAGCATCGATTAAGCCGTGGTAATTAGATATTGTTATAAAAAAACAAATAAAAATCACAGAATTTTTATTACAAACAAGAGATGCCAGTCTAGATGAACAAATGTCTAGGGCGTGACTTAAACTATGACACCCACGTTCCGGATATTGTAATGGTGGTTCTTTAGCCATCTAAGTGAGATCTCAGGACTAAAGGCGCGTGCTGGGCATTGTAATGTCTCGAGACTACAGCACGAGCTGCACATCGTAATTACTACAGCTCGTAATGGATACTGTAATGTCATAGAGACTACAACACGTACTGGATGTTAAACTACAGTACGTGCTGGCTATTGTGATGTCAACTACAACGCGTGCTGTTTATTTTAATGTCTATTGTATTCCGGTGTGTTTTCCCCTTGTCAGTGATGCAGCACGGTGGGAAGATATATCTATTCTTTTGGATAGGAAGAAAAACCGCGTTTCCGTGTACACATTGGCGTTCGGGTAAAAGAACCCTTGACAGAATGAATTTGAAAGGGCTGCTTTCCGAGCAAAATGTACCTCATACTACACATGGTGCAGGAAAATAGGGCGTAAAACCCCATTTAATTTCATTTTCTCTATCTTTATGTAAATGTTCACTTTGTGGTTTGGCTAAGCCATTTTGTTAAAGGGAGAGCACCCCTTTTTTTTTACTAAATGAAAGACAACGTAAAATCGAATGAACGCAATCTTATAAGTTGGTCGAACCATTATCTTAATAAATAAAAATTGTTGAACGCTGCTACGCCACACTTTCGTTAACAGTTTGTTGAACGATCCTCTGCCATACTTTCGTAAACCGTTGTTGAACGATGCTACTCCACACTTTCGTAAACCGTTATTGAACGATGCTACGCCACACTTTCGTAAACATGTTCGTCTTCATTTTCAAAATCCATACAAAGTTCAATGGGTTCGCTGTAGTAATTTTGACTACGCACGCTGTCTCCACGCTCAGCTACCACACTATTCTTATCCTCTGACTGAGTCTCGCTATCCTTGAGTCTTGAGGCTCGTTTTAATTTTAATTCGGCTGAAAGTCTCTGAGCTTCTTCTAAATTTGGCGGAACTATATTGTAAGTCGTGTAATAATTGTTCGTATCGTCGCCATTTTCAACTGGGTTGAGAAAATTTTTCTCGGTATGATCTTTTTGCGCAGAATTAAAGGAAAAATGCAAACGTCGCGGATGATGACGATCATTCCTTATTTCGCGTTCTGTGTTGTAATATGTGACGTCATCATTCCTTATTTCATGATCTGTGTTGTAATATGTGACATCATCATGCGCCTGCACCTTTATTTCCGGTGATTTAAACGAGAACGTTTGAGACACTTGTGGATTTTTTCGGACGGTCTGGCTTGTCGGATTATTATTTTGTTCTTTTACAGTATCCACAGGACCATGAATAACTTTAACTACTTGAATTAAGTCATCTCTGCCAGAGTTGTAAGCCAAGGTCAATGGTCGGTTCTGATAAGATTCCTTACGTCTGCGTTTTACTAGATATAACACTACCATGGCAACAAGCAAACCACAAAATACAATTATACCGATAATGACTGCCAGAGGAAATTTATCGTTTATAAATTTGGATTCGTTCTTCCCCGTCGACATCCCGGAAAGTGTTGACAACGTAAGACTCGGAGAACTGTCGCTAGAATTAGCTGGAGGAAATGACGTCACATTCAATGGCGCAGAACTGAAATTGGTATTATTCGCCATTACTGGGGCCACTTTTGTAGTTGTCTAGTTTTCTTAGTGTTCTTTCTTTTCTGTATTCCTGCATAAATAAAACATTCATTACAATCTATATGGCTAGTTATATGGTTCTATACCATACGACACGTGCTTGATGAATTCCAGGGGTGGACTGACAAGAAATCTATGATTATTAATGATTTCAATTTGTTAAATTAAAATTCTCATATTAGCCTCACATTTATATTATCCATGTACAGCACAAATTTTCACTATCAATATTAACATCTATCAGATTTTTGTCATTAGAAATTTGTGAGTCCCTGTGGTAGTGGTGGCGGGGGTGTTGGCAGCCGAAAGTTTAACGCGTGCGCGTGAAATCAAAAGGTCTGAAATTGAGTCAAGTGCTGGTGGCGTGGTTTCGACTCCCCGCCTGTACGTGGCAAGGAGTAGGATCGCCTGTTTAACCTGTTCAACATTGACAAGGGGAAACACGAGGAACGGTCGAACCCCTGACCATAATCAACTCTCGGTGCCAACAGGTGACTCCGATATTAAGCAGACTTGAATACGTTTTGCATTTGATGGGGTTACCGTAAAAATAGAGACTGTTTATTATAGTAGCAACGGTAGCAATGACAACCAGTCGAGATTAGACAGTTTTTAAACCGTCAATAACTGGGTTCTGGGTGAAGTAATTTTCAACATATTTCCTTCTCATTATCTATTTTGTACTATTATAGCGAGAACTGTCAGCTCTTTATCCAATCTTACCTAATCCCCATTTAACTTACCTTGTGAGTTGTGTAATAATCCGACAAATATGATGACAAGACCAAACACACTCATCTTATTATATCCGGTTTCGCTCGAATATTTTATCTTTTCGTCGTGCACTTCTTCAAATGGTTGACGAAATGGGTCAGTATTCAAACAACAAAACTCAAGGATAACTCGGGTCGTGTATGTTAAAATGACTTTTAAATCCATACACCGCACTTACACATTTGATAACGTATATATTACTGTCATTCACGGTTACATTTACCACTACACTTATTTCAACTATATATAGATTTTTAAATCCTGTCCAGCCTTAGGGTTGTATACAGCATAATTTATAGACGTAATAAAGATTTGATAAAGATATCCACACAATACAGGACTTCATTTCATTCGTTGCGCTGTTTTCGGTTTCAGAAAATGTCCTGCTGTTCAGTACATTACGTAGCAATCCAGTACAGTGCGTAATATTTCCCATTACAATTCAAAGCGTTACAGTCAAATAAAGTGCGTTAGAATCCACATCGTTAAAATCAAATAAAGTGCTTTAAATTTAATAAATTATTTCTCGCTCGATTACAGTCCACTACAACGTGTTTTATATATATTCAACAATATTCCTCTCTATTACAGTGCGTAATATTTCCCGTTACAGTTCATTAGAGTGCGTAATATGCTCCTTACGTTTCTATATAATGCGTAATATTTCCCGTTACAGTTCAATATAATGCGTAATATTTCCCGTTACATTTCATTAGAGTATGGATTATTCCACAAAGTTACATTCAACTACAGTTCATTATAACGCGTAATATTTCCAGGTACAGTCATAATCCACAATGTTACAGTTTTCTTATTTCACGGTCCACAAGCGTTGGTTATACAGACCTCATGAGTTATGTTTTACATCACAACAAACTGTGAGTTGTATATCGCAATACAACACGCCATGCGTTAGATTTCACTCTATAAAACTTTAATGCGTTATGTTTCACATTATACAACTACAATGCGTTATGTTTAACATCATACTATGCGTTATATTTCATATCACATCACATCACACTATGCGTTATATTTCACATCACATCGTACTAGGCGTTATATTTCACATTACAATAAACTGTGTGTTCGAGTATGTTACGAATCACCATTAGTTTGTTACGGATCAGTGTTTCTACTTCAATTTGTTGTAACTAACTGGTACACCACTCTTCCACTGCGAATGTTATATAAATTTTAATGCATTATTTTATGTTCTTTTTACAACCCGTTTTTCTGTTATCACAAACATGTTTCAGTTTAATAAAATTCGTCTTCACCTATGAATAGAAAAAAAAACAAATCCGGTTTGAAAAACCCACACTTTAAAGATACCGTATGTACGATTTAGATAAAGAGCTGACCGTCCTTGCTATATTTCAAAAATAGATAATGAAAAGTGAATATACTGAAAAATTTTAATCTAATTACTTTCTTCTGAGCGAAATTATGGGCGTTTTAAAGTTATAATTTCATATTTTCAAAGAAAGTCAAAACATAATTATTTCTATGTCTTTTGTTCAATAGGTTAACTCACTATTATACGATCATAGGTATCATTCTCACACTTAAAAAAACTCATTTACACCGGAAATAATAACACAATTACCTCCCAATTACCTGCCTTGTTTTCTATTCTCCACCATGGAGTAGCTATCTTCAAACGTTTGAATTTGAAGTTGAAAATGATATTATGCCAATTTCTCAACTGGCAATAGTGAATTATAGGATTAATAGGATTATTCTTTAACAAGGTAGGGCTGTTTATAGATACCATCTATTTTAGGGCTTTATTTTGATACATTTTAAAAATATAACTTAAAAATGTGAAATTGTAACTTTAAGGTTGACAAGATATAGGTTAGATTGTGCATTATCGTAGTAACGGTACTTGACATTCGAAACTAAGTCTCGATTATCCATTTTTTCGGAAGAATTATAAATCTTGCGGGTATTCTAATCCATTGTAATTTCTGCCATCCGATGGTCTAGATAGTTGATTATAGGTTTAAAATGTATATACATGTCTAAATAATAGCTCATATAACACTTAAAGTCAAAATAAAGATCTGCAATAGGAAGGTATAGCTCTTACATAACGCGTCTTTAAACGAGCTTATGATAATTTTCTCGTGCAACATGCTATCTCCTTTATAGGAGCTAACCCTTTGATGACTTTCTCGTGCAACATGCTGTCTCCTTTATAAGAGCTAACCCTTTGATGACTTCCCCATGCATCATGCTATCTCCTTTAAAGTAGCTAATGCTTACGATAACTTTCTCGTGCAACATACTATCTTCTTTACAGGAGCTAACCCTTGTGATAAATTTCTCGAACACTATGCTGTCTCTTTTAAAGTAGCTAACCCTTATGATAATTTTCTCGTGCACTGGGCTGAGTCCTTAATAGGGGCTAACCCGTTTGATAACTTTCCCACGCACCATGCTACACCCTTTAAATGATTTAACCCTTTTGATAACGTTCTCACGCTCCATGTTACATATAGGAGATAGCCCTTTTGAAAATAAGGCGCTAGGTTATGTTACCTGGTGTGTTGTTTTGATTAGTGATGAGAGGAATGCTTGCCATACGAGAATTGTTTTGTTTCGATATATTAAAGTACTCTTCTTGAAATTCTAATAGTCAAGGGTACTTTTACGTGTACACGGAGTGTATGTTTTTTTTTTATCCCACCCAAACGACTAGACGCTGTCAAAATAAAGAACCGTCTCCAGAACGCCTCGATTAGTGAGCCATCGCCATCCTCACTGGACAACCGCGGATTCCCAGATTAAACGGAAGCTGTTTTGTTTACTACTTTTAATTTTGTATTTCAGTTAAACTGGCAACCGCACAAGAGAATATTGGATGGGATGTTCACGTAAAAGAGCCCTTGGCAGTTACAATTCGAAATAAGAGTAGGTCGTCCCCAAATTTTCCTCACAATACACTGCGTGGTGTATGTCCATCTTCAATTTCCATGTTGGTGCAGTAAAATAGGACTTTAAACCCCATTCCATTTGAGAGAGAGAGAGAGAGAGAGGGAGAGAGAGAGATAGTTTAACGTCCACTCGACACAAACTAGAGATGGGGTTTAACGTCCACTCGACACAAACTAGGTCATTTCGAGACTAACACATGGTTCAATTTTATTTCAACAATTCGCTTGCGCGTAGGGGTCTTTAGCAGTGGGAGGAAACCGGAGGACCCGACGAAAAAACACGAGGTTGGACAGGCGACCCTACTCCTTATCACGCACAGTTGACTCAATGACAGACCTTATGATAAAGCGCCCACGTGCTAACCATTCGGTCATCCAGTCCCCCCAACATGGTAGGACTTCGGTGTTTCGTCTCATCCGAATGACTAGACACTAAACTTGCTAGATCCTTCGTTCTTTAATTGAAATAACGCGTCGTGTAAACTCATCATAAAACTTTAGTTACTTTAAGATTAGATAAGATCAAGGTATGTGCAGTACGTCATAGAAATGTGTGTTGGTGGTTTTACTTTAATATTAGACATCAAGGTAGGCCTATGTGTAATGCGTCATAGAATAGTGGGTTGAGGTGTTACCAGGAAATTATTAATTTAATGGGTCACGCAAACTTTCAAAGATGTGTTAGTGAAAACGGGAAAACGTGCACGCCACCGTGTACAAAGGGGTAAGGGGAGGCGGGGTACGTGGCATGTTTTTATTTATTCAAAAAAGGGTAGAAGTGGCTTTAAGGCCCCAACAAACTACCAGAATAGAGGTTAAATATAGAATTTACAGCCCCAACACGTCAAAATAAAGGTTAAATATAGAATTTACAACACCAACACGTCAAAATAAAGGTTAAATATAGAGTTTGAAACACCAACATATCAGAATAAAGGTTAAATATAGAGTTTACAGTCCCAACATGACAGAATAAAGGTTCAATATAGAGTTTAAAGATCCAACATACCAGAATAAATGTCATATACAGAGCTTAACGCCCCATCATGCCAGAATAAAGGTTAAATACAGAGTTAACAACCATAATAAAGGTTATATTTAGAGTTAGTTCGCAACAAGATATATCTAGTCTGTCTGTAAGAGATATATTTGAACATATTGATCTGCCTTTAAGGGATTTATTTGAACTATCTAGCCTGTTTTAAGTTTTTTTTTCTGGCTTCAAATTTGGGGTTTACGTGACAAGCCTATAATCAACTTTCTAGACTATCGGATGGCCGAGAATTAGATGGATTTGAACATCCGCGAGATTTAATGATGTAATGATAAAATGGATAATCGAGACATAGCCTCGTTTGTCCTTTACCATTGCTATGATACATCTTCCAAAAGACATAACTTCGCCCAGAATAATGTACTTTGAATATGAAATGTTCAATATACATATATTCATTTTTAATTATTTAATTTTCTTAGAGCATTAATAACCTTGTAACGGTAAATCTCTTTGATCTTTGGGGTATATTCTATGCCCGGAATAACTTGCGGTCGGGGCGGCTTTGGATATATACAGGGAAATTAGGGGTTATTCTTCTGAAAGTTTTTCTTTAAACCTGTAACAGGTTATTCTTCCAGGGTAGGTTTTTTTTCCATAAGAAAACATGATATAAGGTTTTTTCTTACGGGAATTCTGGGATATTCTCATCTTGCGTACATGTAAACATAGACGGTTTATAAGCAAGATAAAGTCCTCGACTTCGGTTATGCTGGGGAAGAAAGACTTCAGAACAAAACCCTCGACAGAAAAACCTCGGCCTGCCGGCCTCGGTTTTTCTCTTTCTCGGGTTATTTTCTTCAGTCTTTCTTTCCCCAGCATAACCTCAGTCTCGTGCTTTATCCTACACAGAGCTGTCAGTTGCTTATCTAAATAGGAGTCACGGTGGTCAAGTGAGTAAGACGCTGGCTCGCTAGTCTGATGGTCGCGGGTTCGCTTAAGGTGTTGGCCGAGGAAGTACATCCCGATTTTCCTGCGTGGTTTCCCCTTGACAGTGGCGCAGGAAGGGGGGTCTGACAAGGACAGCTGTCTACTCGTTCGGATGGGGCTAAAAAACAAGGTCCCGTGAACACATTGTTGTGCACGTAAAAGACCCCTTGGCAGTTGGAATTCGATATAAGGGCAGGCTGTAGCGCCGCTCCTTGGCGTATGTCCGTCTTCATTAGCCCAGTCGGAGCAGAACAGTAGAACGTTAAACCCCATTTCATTTCAACTCTTTATCTAAATCTTACATAATGTACCTTTAAAAGCTTGCACCTTTAAGAGATATAATTATTTGAACCTGGTGGCCTGTTGTAACGTTCAACTCATCTGCTGGTGATAAATCACAGTTAAATCATGTATGTACACAGAAACCACGGCATGTTTCACAAAATGGTCGACATAAAGTTTATTACTAAAACACGTCAACATAAATTAGTCCCGGGCTGGCTCTGTGAGTAAGGCGTCGGCTTATTCACGCTTATTAGCTGAATGATAAGGCCAATCCCAATCCTAACCCTAGACCTAGCCCCAATGCTTACCCTAATCCTAATCTTAAATCTCACCAACAATCACATGCCCTAAACTTTTTTACATCACAGTGACCATGAAAAAAAATGAACTGGCCTTAACAAATAGATTTAGCCCTTATTCACTGGGAAGTCGCGAGTTGAATTCCAGCGTTCGCCGATCAAGTTCCCCAGTCCCGTCAGTGGTTCAGGGCGGAGGGTGTTGCAAATAAATGTGACTATTGACATCAATAATTCTAGACCATTCTGTACACAGAAAACTATCTACTCTACTTTGAGAATAGTTACTTGCGCAAAAATTAGAATATTTTTTTAAATGCGGTTCTACTACATTTCACATCTGACCTATATACAAAAAGTTTAATTAAACCATTTCATTTTAATTAAATGGAACCAGAATAAATATTCTTAAAATTCTCGAAATTCTCGAAATATACTTACAGTTTTTGACTAAAATCGTCGTATTAAGAATTAAAATGTCAGACAACTAGCTTAGTGTCTGTAGTGAGACAAGACTAAGTTTAGTATGATTCTAGACCTATTAAATACTATTAAACTTAATTTGTGAACTTACTATATTATTATCGTGTGCTAAATCCACTATACTAGGTCTAGCTGTTAAATCACACAGTACACACAGTTTGATAACTTAACCTACACTCTATAACATTAGATCTGTATCGATAATAATACACCACAGTGAATTTGTCTGTTAAACTGAGTGTGAAAACATCAATAGAAATGAAAAGTGAGAAAAAAAAAACATCACGCGTGAACAATAAAATTTTATCTACTGACTCGTTTATAGTTACAAATTTAAACACCTCTCCCCAAAAGCTTATTAGCATAATAATTTGAATGACTCATCGTATTACAAATTTAAACACCTCTCCCCAAAAGCTTATTAGCATAATAATTTGAATGACTCATCGTATTCGTGTTTTATCAATAATCTATTTTAATTGTCAATGAGACGGACATGATTCATTCATAAATGATATTTGAAACGTATGTCTGTCATAGCTAGGGGAGTCACAGTGGCTAAGTGGGTAAGACGCTGGCTCGCTGTCCTGGGGTCAGGTGTTTGATACCTGCATTGGCCGAGAAAGTTCATCGGGATTTTCCTATGGAGGGGGATCCTCGCCAAAACTCTCAATTTGTGAAAATACATTTGTCGATTTGTCAAAGTACATTTGTTAATTTGTCAAAATACAAAATACATTTGTCGATTTGTCAAAGTACATTTGTTAATTTGTCAAAATGCAAAATACATTTGTCGATTTGTGAAAATGCATTTGTTGATTTGTCATACAACAAAAATACATTTTTTCATGTGTGAAAATACCTGTCTAACCTACAAAGCACAAATTTTGAAATAACACAGCTTAACTTTACAGTTTCAAGATATGTAATTTTAACATTTGTATTTTCAAGATATGTAATTTCTACATTTGTAGTTTCAACATTTGCAGTTTCAACAGTTGTATTAACGACACTTGCATTATCAAGCCTTGCATTAACAAGCCATGCGTTAGCGAACTATGACCATATTTGGGTTGATGACGTTGATCATTAATCCGGAAAACGCCGAGTTTGGTCCTACAATGATGTCTCCCGTCTCAATAAAAATATCTCTTCTTGGGTGGAGTTTTTCAAGGGGAACTACTCCCATTATTTCCGTTCTTCAAACAGCAAATGAAACTAGTTTATAGGCAAATTCGTAAGTAATTCTCTCTGTGAATCAGATTGGTTTATAGGCTAGAGTAATATTTTTTAATTAGTAAATTTAGACAGTTTTAATTTGTAAAATCATATATCAACAGACATATCAATAATACAGGTGAAATTAGTTTTTGTTGTCAAAATTTATATTTGAAGATATTTGCACGAATTCGCGGAATTGGGGTGACACTGTGACTTTGAAACAGACACATAAATAGTAGTAGTTTTAGGCTATAATATTAATAATACCGTAGATCCACACATCTACTTTGACTAATATTTGAATTAAAATATTTTCTTAGATTTTGTTTTTATATGCATTGTGGTCTAGTCTATACTGGCGAGAGTTTTTATCCAGATTTAATGAAACTTTGTATGTAGCCTGTAGGGTATCTTTGTCTTCGTAAAATGAAGTTGGGTTTGATAGGCCTAACATTTGCAAGAGTTACTGCTCGTCTGCTCTTTCTTGTGTGCTCTGTATAGAGACTCCAATCAGTGCATAAAAATGAGATGTTAAAAACTCCATTTCATTCATTTATTATCTAAACTAGATGCCATATTTTTTTTTTATCCAAACATATTAATCAAACTTAGGCCAAAAAAATACCTGTGTTTCCTTTTTCCTCTCCAAAAAAAAATAGAGTCGGTAGGTAGGGTACTAGGGATTAAGTTGTTTTTTTTTCTGTTTCCCCTGCCCGTTCTTTTTTTTCGCAAATAGTAAGGAAAAATATTCCTGAAATACTCAAGCAAACTGATTTTTATACACCCACATACAAATTACGTGCAGAGTTAAGCCTCTTTTTGGGCAAAGTTCGTCAATTTAGACTTTGTGAGTCGGTAGCTAGGGATTAAGTTGGGGTTTTTTTCCGGTTCCCCTGCGGCCTCTTTTTTTTCGCAAATAGTAAAGAAAAATATTGCTGAAATACTCAACCAAACTGGTTTTTATGCGCCCACATAAAAATTACTTGCAGAGTTATGCCCCTTTTTCGACAAAATTCGTCAATTTAGACTTTGTGAACGCGATAGTCTACAATGTTCATCCGATAGAAATGAAACTTGGCATATCCAAAGATCTCGGATGAGTTCGAATTTGGTGCAATTCGAAAATTACGTTCAGAGTTATGCCCATTTTTTCGACAAACTTCGCCAATTTAGACTGTGAACGCGATAAGAGTCTACAATTTTCATTTGATGGAAACGAAACTTGGCATGTGTCATGGTCCGATCTTAATGAAACTTGTTATGTGTCTTTATCGCTATACAGTGCAGATCAAGTGCGAATTGGTTGCGATGCGATAAAAATCATTGAAGTTACTACCTTACTTGAGCAAAGCTGCTGGTGGGCGTATATCGCATGGCGACCGCTTGTTTTCCTTAAAACTATTTTTTCCCTGACAGGCCTATTTTATTCCTGGATGAACATCCACGAATTCCGGAAGAATATATACCCCTTTCTAGACAACACTGTTTATTCGAACTTAACGATTCTTAGTACCGTACGTATCTTTGTTTCCATGCAATGAAGGTCATGTTTGAATTTGGTTGTGATTCGATAAAAATCGTTAAGAGTTACTGCCTTTAGTTTGCCTGTGCACTTAAGGTGTAAGTCCAGTTATATTTCAAAAATACTTACAGGGTTATTCTGTTTTTGATAATGTCTAATTTTGAGAAAATGTTCTTGTTTTGGGTGTCTGTTGTGTTGTTGTCCAACTAAAATTCTTTTTTATATTTTTCAGAATAAAAATGTCAGATAATGATCTGAAGAAAACTGCTGAGCTTCTTAGGCAGGCAGCCAGAGAACTGGAAGAAAAATCTCGAACTACACAGACTCCTACTACTATATTACCTGGACCGTCAACACCAAATGTCAGCGAAATGCGCCGTTTGTTTTGTCCCTATTCTAGTATTTCGAGGACAAGTAATAAAAGAGTTGCTGGTACTGGTAGACAGAACACATGGACTCATCGTTTTTTTTGTGTGTCAAGTTGCACACAGGTAAAGTATTTATATGATAAATGAACATATTGGAATAAGCTGAATTTTAATAGGGCTCATCATCGCCCAGTCCACAAGGAATTTTTCATACAGCAAGGGCAAGAACTCTGAAAATAAACATTGGATGAATTCTGTATGTGTTCACAATACATTGTGGACTACAGACAAATGAAAGATAGACAGAGACGACATGTTCTTTGGTGGTTGTATTAAAACTATGCAGACACGATTGAATAATAATAATAATAACTTTATTCAGATACTACAAGGCCATAGGCCCATTGTACATCGAATATATAGTATGTTATGAGAACATCGACAAACTAACAATAAACAAAACAGTATACACATTATATACATACAGATGTGACATTCAATTGATAGTGGTACATAGTTTAGGTAGATGTGGTAGTAGGTGATAGCTTGTAGCCATATAGTAATACATATGTCACAGTTGATTTTGACCAAACATTTTACCACAAACATCACATTTAATACAGGGTAATAGTGGGTTGTGATCATTGTAGTTAAGTTGCAATGGCAGGAGCATTAACTGTCAAAAATGACATTAGGAAATCACTAAGTTACTACCTTTTGACATTATTACAACCTGAAGTTAGAAAGGTTCGACATAGATGCTACAACGCAGAATTATGCGGTCAAATCAAATTATTTCAATGTGAAGTTTGGATATTGGATTGTATAAGAGCAAGTTACTACCTTTTACCTTAGGTAGTACGACCAGGAAACTAAATCATGAGATTTGAACATTTGAATAATATTTATTATAGTAAGCTTATATTTCAGATGATTTATATTATTTAAGATTTTCAACAAATTTCTAGCTATTATTTGAATTTATGTACCAGTATGTATTTTTAATATATTTTTAGAACACTGTCCCTGATCGGTTCGCAAGAAAAGTCACACAGGATGCTGGACTGGGAGAAAAAAGAATAACTCTTTTTAAGAATGATGATGCAAAGTATTTTTCAAATGAAATATATTCACATTATCCAAAATTGATAGATGGAGGAGGGTATGATCTAAATCGTGCCATAGGAAGAACCATAATGGAGTTTATTGACCCCCCTCCATCAGGGTACACAAGTGCTTTTCTGGCACAGTCATACATTGGACAAGCCATCATATATATCAAACCCTTACAGAGAGATCTGGATATTACTATTAGTGGGACTCCAAAAGGCATGCAGGTATGTACAGTCGAGTTTTTTATACGCCCACGCCATCGCCCCTGTCCATCTGCCCACAATTTGTTGTAAACCAAATAGAGACCAGAGTTAACAAAACTTACTGTAGTTGTTTATACATCCAGCATATGGAAGAAGCCTATCAACGTTTTCCGAAATTATTCCTGGCAAGCTACCTTATCCACTATTTGATTGATAATACCATTTTTGCAGTAGGTGATAAAATCATTCAACAGATCATTGGCCTTCCTATGGACACTGATCCTGCGCCATTTATGGCAAATGGAAACCTGCATAAATACAAATTCGATTTTCAAGATAGGAGTAAAACTAACTAACTGCACGCAATCTTAATAACACATTTCGATATATTGACGATGTAACTGCCATTAATGATAAGGGAAATTTTAAGCGCTACAGAGACCAAATCTATCCACCTGAACTTGTACTCAATAAAGAAAACACTGGAGATCTACATGCTGCATTCCTTGATATTGATATCACTATTGATGACTGTACTTTTAATACTACTGTATATGACAAAACAGATTATTTCCCTTTTGATGTAATTAAATATCCCTCAACTGAAAGTAATAGTAATAATGAAAATACCTTATATAATGTTTTTTACTCTCAGACATTTAGATTTATAAACATATGTAGCCGTCTTCAAATTTTATAAATAAATTAGTTTCTTTGTATAAGAAATGTTTAAATAAAGGTGCTCTTCACAGCAGACTTCACAGACAAATTGAAAAACTAATAAACAATCACAAATTGGATAAATTTAAAGTCTTTAATTCTAACTTTGGACAGCTAATATTTGATTCGTTATCATAATTTTATATTTTGTAAAATTATATGTTACTCTCCTATGGAGCGAATAGTATTTGACGTTTAGTGACTTGTTGCTGAGTTTGCGCTTACGGAGACCCCGTGGACCACAGCCCTTTCGTCAAGTGATTTTGATTGCTACTGGTAGAGTTTGTTTGTCTTCTCTGGGAGTATTTGCCTTTTTATGTACTGTGTATATTGTGTCTTGTATTATATACTGTGTGTGTTATGTCTTGTATATATCTAGTGTTGTGCAGTCTACCTGCATCGTCTATTACATTATATTAAACACAAACTTTTGGTTGAATATAGGATAGAGTAGTGAATGTCAAATTATTAGCATTTAATTTGTAGAGTTTCATAATTCAAGAATTCTATTACATTGGGGTTTTACAGTTTAAAGAATATAAACCTATTCTGATCAGATTTGTGAGATTCAGATATAGCTCTATAATACCGTCTTGATTTCTCCATGTATAATATTCTGGGATAAAAACTGAAACTATCTTTTACTTACAGTCAGATATGATAACACAGGAGTGCATGGATTGCGGTGAAAAAGTGCCTTTAAATAATTTGAGAAAACATATACAAGAATTTCATGAGGTAAGTAAGCATTGCGCAAACTAATCAAAGGTTAGAAATTAAGCATAATCTTGAAATATGATTTTTATGTGCCCATATGTTATTTTGTTTCGTATATTGTCCTTGCACTAGTCCGTCCATATTTTCGGACCATAATTTGGTCGTATAAAAACCTGTAGCTATGCACTTTAGCCAAGCTCAGCCATAGCACTAATAATATAGTGGCAGTACGGCAAACAGAAAACAATGTGAAATAAAGATCATTGACCGATTAGGAACCCTTAAACCGCATGAAATTAACACAAATTCGTTTTATTATATTGTAGACCTTTTCTATGCCTGTCCTCTTTTCATAATTCATGATACAAATCATAGCTTTAAAACTGTTAGCTACATTACTTGCAAAATCCAGTTTCTAGGTTGTTTTTCTCATGTTTATTTTATTATTTGACCTTTTAAATACATTTCAACACATTTACTATCCAGTACCTAATGTATTACTATTTGTTTTGTTTATATTACTGTTCTGAATGATTTGACTTGAGGGTTCTCCCTTGAAACTGGTGGTACCAGTAATGTTTTGGCTGTCACATTTAGATTCTGCTGTTAGTTGTATCTAGTTTAATAATAATTTTTGTTTGCTGATGAATGGATAACTTTCCGAAATGTTGCATGTTTTGCATCTGTTATCGACTTATTCGCCTACCATTACATGTTGAGCGTTTTAACTTGTTTTCTGAATAACCAATGTCATGTTAACTCATTGTTTTTACTCACTATGTGATAACCTATTGACTTTGCCTTCATTGAATTATTATTAAAATTTTTAATTTAGCTTCAGGAAGATAATTTACCTAAAATAAAGAGACAGAAGTCAGAGCAGTTGTCCTCTGTTACTCCTATTTGTAAATATGCTTGTGTAAGTGAGGTGAGTTAATAGTGTTTGAATTTGTAAGAAAATTAAAAGTGGTATTCAGAACGCAGATCTCATTAGCACAAATAAACAACATTTTCATGACATTATTTGACAGGACAGCCTTCTAAAGTCACTTAGTTTGTGATGTAAAAACTCTTATTTTTTTGCCAATAATGAAATAATTGTTAGGGAGAGGAGTCTCACATAGCCTTTAGCCTGTTCTCTGATCCTTTTCCATGTGAATAAAATATTGCATTAAAAAAAAAATTTGTCAAAAATAATTTTTTTAAAGCTTCTTTGAACAAAATTTTTCTTTGACACTGCATTTGTCCTGCACACCTTTAACATTTTTTTATGTTATGCCACACATCACACCCGGAACTGAAAATCCCGTAAGGGATGGTCATACAAGAAATTTGAAAATATATTCTGTATATTTTACAACTTTTTGCGACCATGCCTTACCGAATTTTCATGTTCCAGAAGTGACATATGGTAGAACATGGTACAGTGCTGTTAATGAGGTGGAGGTCAATTGAAATGTTGCAGAATTTTTTTTGAAGTATTCACATCGGCTTAAATTACCCTCTATATGCTATGAAAATATCAAATTACACGAAACAATATTTTTAAAATCACAGATGAAAATATTTTGAAAATTTGGTTGCTGTGTTAACAAATCGTGTGTTGATTTTCTTTTGTGGCCGTTTGTATATTATTAATATTTGTGATAAGACGACCTACAATTTTTGCAGAATTCAACCAAGAACGAAGAACTTGTTGTTCATGAAACTAAGTATTTCATTTTGCAAAGTTTATATTTTTGTTTTTTCATAGTTATGAACCTGATCATATGAGTTTTTGTTATGATTCATTGTTAAAGGGATAGATGCATGTAATTATATGTTTACTACCGGTATATAGAGATGATAATTTAAGCTTCTCATAACAGTTTTCAGATTGTGTATATAAGTATTCAAGCCCCAACCCTTTTACAATTTCCTTTATGCCGTGCCAAGGATCTATTATATGTCATTGCCTCGTCCACGGCACCAACAACACCTACACGATCTAATTGGATCTAAAAAGCCTGTAATATTAGGAATCTAAATTTATGTGAAAATAGCTTAAAACAGCCTCTATTAATTGTAAACTGTATAATTTTGTGAAACATTCCCTTAAATGTTAGTTTTGTAGTTATGTTATTCTTCTTTTTATACACCCACTTGTGGTCGTATATTGGTGTCGCCTCGGCGTCCGTCCATCGTTATACGCGCCCAAAATTTAATTTTGGTCGTATATTGTTGTCGCCCCTGTCCGTCCACAATTTCTTGTGATCACTCTCACGCCTAAAGTTTTCGACCGATTTTGTTAATAATTGGTATGTGAGTTCGCATTTTGAACGTAACTTGCAGAATTATTGCCTTTGCCCATAATTTCATGAATTTTTGTGGCCACTCCAACGCCTAGAGTTTTCAACCGATTTCGTTCATACTTGGTATGTAAGTTCATAGCCATAAGGTATAGGATAAGTTGTGTCTTGGCTATGATTCTAAAGTAACATGGAGAGTTATTGCCCTTTTTCCAAAACTTGCTAATGTCCAGAGACTGCATGTATTTTGGAATATACTTGGTTAGTAAGTTCATAAACATGGTGTAAGTCCAGTTATATTCCAAATATTGTTTAAAGGGTTATTGTCCTTGCTTCTTGATAAGGTCTAATTATGAGAAAATGCTGCTGTTTTGGGCGCATATTGTGTTGGCGTTTAACTCTTGTTTTGTTGGCGTTTAACTCTTGTTTTAATTTTAATATTGAATGATAATGATGAGTATTATTATTATCAATAATATGGACGGATTATAATAATCATGGTTATAAGACATCTGTCATGAATTTAACATTTTCCATAAGAGACAGATAGTCTTGTTTCATTTACACTTTATCTGTGGCCTCTCCAGTTCCCAATTTAAAAAGAAAATTATTAGAGTTAACAAAAATATATGCATATTTTTATACGCACAAACAGTGTTTGGTTGCATATTGTCTTCATGTGGGATGGCCCCGTTAAGTTATAGGAGGTATTGAAATTTCAAATTCGATATCGGTACGGTATTGTTTTTTGCACAATAGTAGGCATTGATGTGCATGTATTGACACAATACTGACACCACACAGTTTATACAGTATATCCGATATACTATTTGGCCCATCTCTATCAGCCTCTACTTTTGTTTAATTTACAGCCTGAAATCTTGCCCAATTTGCGGTCTAGAATTTGATGAGGAATTAGTTGAAATACATGCTGCATCTTGCGGCGAAGATGACAAGAAAACAGACGAAGGAAGGACACAGTAAACAATTTTTTTATTCCTATAATATAATATCTTTTATACTTTGTGTGTTTATAGAAACATGTTTGCATTTTCACTTTCGAAAAACTATTCATGCGGATCACATATTTAATGGTATCTCTAAATATATTATATTATACCTTCATTTTTATGTCATATTTTTTATACACCAAAGGTTAATATGGTAGTATAATGTCGTTGTCTCTTCCATCCGTCGGCCCATCCACAATTTCATACTTTTAAATCAATTTCGTTCAAATTTGGTATTGAGGTTCATATTCGTAAGATCTTGGTTAAATTGTAACTTGAAGGTCAAGTGCGAATTTGGGTGCGCTGCGATAAAAATCATTACAGTTATTGCCCTTATTTCGCCTGAAAATTGTATTTTAGATTTTGTGTGCTCTTTGGAGCCAGAGTTTTTGGCCGATCTGAATGAAACTAGGACGATTTGAATTTTATGATGATTCGATAAACGTAGTCAGTTACTCGACTGTGTACAACCCGTCTATAGTTAGCCTAGTTAGTGCAGAAAAATGGGACGTTAAACTCCATTTCATTTCATTCATTTGGACTGTGTAGATATAAATTTATTGTCAAAGCTACCGTGGGCGTATATCGCATGGCAATCGCTTGTTTTTAATACTTACGATATAATTTAATTTCTCTTGGAATTGTTTATCTGTTTTCAAAGAAGCTTAGCAAAATGTGCAGTTATCAACATTTTCCATCACAATTTAGATCTTGATGAAACAACGCTGCCATTTTGGGTGAATGTCATGCTATATGTTATATGTCCACATCACTATATGTAGACCTATATTGCTATTATTATGTTGTATACTGTTTAAATGTATCTGAGCAATAATCGATTGATAAATGTGTTGGTTTTGTTTTCAGGACTGGTAATTTAAAATATGATTTGCATCAACTGTCCGAGAAAATTTTTGGTCAAAATGTAAAGGAGAGATTCCATGTCTCAGTAGTTAGAAAAATGTTTTTGCAAACAGCCATGGAAAATCTGGAAGATTTTGAATTTGATCAACTGTTAAATGTAATATTCATAGGGGAAGATGGGGTGGATGCAGGCGGCTTAACAAGGGAGTTTTTCTCTCTTATCTTTAAACATACTCCCATTTTTGAAAATAGTGGTTTTGCCATCAATTCAACACTACTACAGAATAAAACATACAAGACTATAGGCAAAGTTGTTGCCTTTTCTATCTTAATGGGAAATCAAGGACCAAGATGCCTTCTACCACAGTTTACTAAATTCATCCTTCAGAATGCACAACCTGCAGTTGGTGAAATTTCAGATGAAATGTTAACTGGAGATGTTCTCCAAGCTCTTAAAGAGGTAGGTTGGTAATTGCAGCTCAAATGAAACAATTTTCATTTTATAGTCCATATTAAATTGTGGCCTGTGAACACGATAAGGGCTACAGTTGTTACCTGTGTAGTAAAAAATGTTTGCGAACACAAGTTATTGGCCATTGTTTGTCCAAAAGTCAGATAATTGACTTCGCGTACATTCAATCTATGGCATGTTCAACTTTTGTTTGATTTATTAAAAGTAGTTCTTACTCTCCTGTTTAAATATAAATTTATTGTCAAAGCTATCACTTGTTAATCTTTGCTATTGTAGATTGATTCTTTAGAAGCTCTAAATGTATCAGAGGTTTTTGAGAAAAATGCTGATATATTGGAATCTGCAGGATATAAAAAGATGTTGACATTAGAAAACAAAAAAGAAGCCATGTTAGCGATTCGATGCCATTATGGATTTTATCGTTTTTTGCCACCATTACTGCAGTTCATAGAAGGTAAGTCTGTGTCAATTGGGCCCGACAAATTGGCCTCGCGACAATTTGACCCGCTCAAATAGTCGGGAGCCAATTGTCGCGAGGCCAATTGACGGACCGCCACATTTTATGGTATTCTCGAACAATGATTAACTCATTGATTAGGCTAATCAAAGTTTATAAAAATCTTAGCTTAAAATTTAATCAGCCTTTCAGAATATGGCTGGTCGAAAAGTCAGAGATTAAATCTATGATTAGCACTAATCCAATTTCGAGAATACGGGCCTAAGAGTTTTGGCGAGGATCCCCCTCCGTCAAGGGTCGAAATGTTCATGCACCTGTCGCTGAGATCCATTACCTGTGCATATCGGAAAATAGCTCAAACTAAAGTTTATGCATGTATTAGGAAATTAGTTATGAATATTTTACTGATACATTCTAAAATATAATGAATGCCGGCAGGCGGCAGCCCTTCATAGAAGACTAGTAGCTGCCTTGAAGTTAAACTGCTGTATGGCGTATGTTAACTTTCTTGATGGTCTTTTGTTTCAAATTATTTAACAAGTTTGTATATATTTTTAGGTGGAAAAATCAGTACCCAGTGGTTGGATATGGAAACAGATCTCGAAGATGATGTTCAACTGAATACTGGACATTTTCTTCTGGCAACAACTGGTAGCCCTGCCATATCTCCAAATATAGGAGATGGGCTACTACTATTTGACCATGAAAATTTAAACTGCACTACAGTAAATACATGTGCGCCATCTATTACTATTAACCAAACGAAATATATGAAAGAATACGATTTCCTAGAAAATGCTTTTATTAACATAATTGTATGTGCTTATGGTTTTGGTTTGAATTGAAAATGTATGTAGCATGAACTGGGCCTCTGTTGGTGAAATACCCAATAAAAACCTATTAATTGAAAAAAAGCAGTGTTGATTTCCTAATTCATTTCATGATAATTAGAAATGAAATTTACGGTTGCAAGAAACAAGTCCATTCCCTGATTTTCTGAATCGAATAAAGGATTTATTTGGCACATCAATTCTTCCATCTTTTGATCAGTTAAAGATATAGGAAAATGACCAATAACAACTCTTTCTGGTTCATCATCATATGCCATCAAACCATTTTGTATTGTTCCGTAACTTTGAAAGTCTGCCTATAAAAAAATATTTAAAATCTAATGAACGTCTGTTTGGGATTGAATTTATAGGTTTATTTAAGATATAAGTTTATTTCATATTGTAAACAAGAATTTTAACGAAACTTGCTGTAGTTGTTTATACCAGCATAAGGAAGAAGCCTATCGAAATTCAATGTTTTCCAGAGTTATTGACCTTGATTCACGAAACCTTGTAAACGTGATAGAGACCAGAGTTGCTGTAATTGTTTATAAAAATGGCGAAAATTAGGTCAAGTCACAAAATCATCTGATTCTGACGAAGCAAGCAATTAATTATATATTATTGAGGTCACTGATTATGAATATGCTAGTTTAAAAGTTGTATCTTATCTTTGAAAAGGTTGAAAGTTTCATTTTACTAGTTATTGTGCATGCCCATAAAAACTTCTTCTTTACACGATAGAGATCACAGTTCTCAACGAAAAGTTTTGAAACTTTCTGGGATATAATAACAGTTGTTGGGGTGTATAAGGTTGGAGACTTCTATCTTATCATTAACAGATTAAATCATTTGTTTGCTATGGAAATTAAAATATCCCAAAATCTCACCCTCCAATTTTTGAATATTTTTAGGCATAATCTTAACCACTGTCAAAAAATGAAAGATTATATTAATCTGGATTTCTTGAATAAACATATCAATGAAAATATACCTCAGAAGCAAGATTTTCATTTGGATCCAGGATTTGACCATCTATCCATAACTGTAACGGCGTTTTCTGATTAGCTGTCCTAATAGATCGCCTGATAAAGGCCTCTCTAAATTCGTTCAAGTGTTTTTGAATCCTTGGTATGAAGATATAGTGTAGGGCTTGAATATGTATTTCATCAGTTGGTATAAATATGTTTTCTGCTTCCATGTAGCAAAAAAGGTAGTAGAAAAAACTGATGCATCCCATCCACAAATCTCTCCAAAATCTCTCTATTCTTTGAAATAAAAAAAAAATTAAGTGTGATGATCTATTTCACTGTTAAAATATGAACAGGTTGTTGAAAATGACACCAGAGCAACAAATTGTCAACATTCCTTTCATGAAACCACACAAAGTCACAGAATGAATGTTTTTAGCAAAGTCTAGACAATGGTACATAATTTGATTTTTGAACAAACTACTTTACCTACATTTGATGACGACAAAGACACATTAAAACTCTGGAATCTAGATTACAAACAAAGGGCAGTAACTCTGGTGATTGTTATTGAATCGTATCAAATATTGAACATGACATTCGTTTTCTGAACGCTAATATACGATCACAAGTTTAAAATTCTAATTAGGTGATAAATGTTACATATCCATTGGTTAACGCAAAACTGCACATATCTTTAATATTAATGAAAACCCTCGAATGGCACGAAGACTGCTGATTATCGTTTATAATAGTTGAAACCTCTTAATACTGTAGTCAAGTGGAAGAAGTCTGAAACATGTTCCAAACAATAATACGGGCATTCTGTATGATGCTTCACACTGACTAACTATCAAGATTTTAAACCATTTAAACTTGGCATATTTTTATGGGATCAAGGACCATAACTTGAAAATTATTATTCAAAGGATAATGCGAACAGACAGATGTATAACATAAAATCGAACATATTAATGCAGACGTACTAAATTTACCTCTGATTATGGACACTTCTTCCAGTAATATGGCTGCCTCTTCCAAAACCTCTGGAATTTATCATATATTCTGCAACACGAACGTTCTCGCCCCCTTTATCCGATCTAACTCTCCATGGCAATCCATAATTTTGAACAGCTTCATTAAATGCTTGCATAACAGTTTCTGCTCTATTGTTGTTGCTAATCTTTAAATATGTAGGGAGGCGAGAATAACCGTCTATACCTCCATGAACAACTAAGTGCCAGCTTAAAAGATATGGAAAAAATATACAAATGATCATTACTCAGCTACCACTAATCAAACTGAACTGCGATGAGTTAATGTTAAAGATACAATATATAATATACCGGTAATTGACAAACCGCCATTCCATCGTGTTTCGAAAAATGCAACCCATATAAAATATTATACTAGTCATACAAATACAGTAAGCCTATATATCATAAACCAGTCTGACATTAATGATATTGAATAGCTGGTTTCGAATGGGTGTTAAAAATCCAAATATGGATTTTGGATTAATTATCTTGAGTAAGCGAACTCACTTAACAGGAGTCAGAAATCAACAATGATTACTACAGTACGAAGACTCTTAAATCAATTCTATAAGCTTACATTACAAAACGGTATATCACCTGTAAGCAGGTATGGAGGGGGACACACCTGGCCAAAACCAGTTGGGTCCCGACCCAAAGGGCCTTTCAAAAATTTATGCATGTTAATAGTCAGTTTTAAAGCGAAGATTGCACATTCAGCAATTGAAATGAAATGGAGATTAACGTCCCATTTTTCTGCACTAATTTATAGGCTAACTAGAGACGGGCATTTGCCGAGCGTGTGCAATGAGGGTAAATTTTGCTAAGGCAGCGGCAACACCCTATTCTCACTACCGATTTTAACTGCCGAGGTGACTTTAACATGCCCTCTCGTAGCTTAGTGAGCACAGGCCTCCGTTTTTCATCCTATCCAATGGACTAGAACGCTTTTCCATGTCATTCCCCACCTGACAAGGGGGAACCCAGTCGAGAAAATCCACAAGGTCGACCCGATCTCCGCCAGAATTCGAACCTGGGACCCCCACCATGAACGGCAAGCGTCCTAGCCACTCGGCCACACCAGGCCCCCATCCAGCAATTGAATTTTCAAATATTCACGGCATACAACGCCATGCACTGCTAGTCCCTCTTTGGGCTGATAAATAAGCTTAGTCCGCCCCTGCCTGTAATTGAGTCAATACTAACCTTATCAATTTATGATAGCCGTCTATATGCCACAATGAGTTTGGCGCACGAACAGAATATCTTCTTCGTCTTACTGGATTTAAAGTAAGTCGACGATAGAGAACACCTTCTATATCGGTAGCACGTCATTTCGGTCCCGCGTCATTTCGGACTCAGCACAAACGTCGTTTCGATCAATGGATTTCATCTCGTCTGTTTCCAATAGAAGATTGGTGCGTGTTTATGTTGCCAGTGAGAACCAATAACGACGTGGAGGGCTGGCACAACAGACTAAATTCCCGTGTCAACGCCAGAGGTCCTGTGCCATTTTATCTATTGATTTGCGCACTTTTTTCAGAAGCTACAAAGATACCACTGGACCTCACAATGATGTCGGAAGGTTCATTGAGACGACACCAAAGACGTCGGTATCGACATGTAGAAGGCCAACTTTTTAATATATGGGATTCATACAATGAAAAACAGATGAGCACTAGTAGACTATTAAAAAAAATAAGTCATTTGTATGGTCCACCCGCTCAGTGAAAAACAATTACATAATTAAAAAAATGTCGGAAGGTTCATTGAGACGACACCAAAGACGTCGGTATCGACATGTAGAAGGCCAACTTTTTAATATATGGGATTCATACAATGAAAAACAGATGAGCACTAGTAGACTATTAAAAAAAATAAGTCATTTGTATGGTCCACCCGCTCAGTGAAAAACAATTACATAATTAAAAAAATGAAAAAAAAAAAAAAAAAAAATGAATAGCCGACTAAAGCTATTTTTTCATCAAATAAATACACGTGTTGTTATAAATGTTGCGTTAATGTATGAATGTGTATGTATTTATACAATAAATGAATGTTTTATATGACCGTTGTTATCGCTATATGGTATGTTTAAAAATAAAATAATATGCCCGTTGTTATAAATCGATGTTATCATTTTATGCTATGTTGATAAATAAAATAGTTTATAAAGTAAATTGGCGTCAGTGTGTTGTATAATTCTATCTTACCTACCCGAGTCCGAAACGTCACCTACCCGAGTCCGAAACGTCACCTACCCGAGTCCGAAATGTCACCTACCCGAGTCCGAAATGTCGGGGACATATTTTTTGGAGTCCGAAATGACGTAAGTCCGAAATGACGCGGGACCGAAATGACATGTAATCTCTATATCAACCCTTCTCATCGATTCACGAACCCTGTATTCTTGAATTATATGTCCTTTACTGTGCAGGTGTCCTTTTATACTTCGATACCCAATATTTGGAAAGTTACTAAGAAGGTCAATTACTATTTCATCTAGCTCATCATTGGAAATATGACTATATTTTTCATTTAATGAAATACCATATTCAAGCAATCTTCGACTCATGGTTCTGGGACTAATATTAAATAAATTGGCCATGTCATTCAATTTGAATCCATTAGAAACCAAAAATTCTAGCTGTTCAAATGGAACTAACTTTGATGGTCGTCCAGTATGTCCTGGTGACAATGAATGTCCGAGAGATCCAGTTATAACTTCATTGGCCTGCTTTCGTTCGATTAAATTTGCAGCATTTTGAATATGAAATAAACAAGTTTGTAATCCATTCATCGTTATACTGTCTTCTTCCGTGGAAGGCATGGAACACATTAAATCTGAGACAATACCTGCTACTGTATGTATATCATGTATGATGTCTGAAAGCGATTGAAAATTTTGTGTATCTAACAAATTGCAAATTCCCTCTATTCGGGACTTCACTTCATGAATAAGTTCATTGGCCATGTTGAAGAACGGAAATAATGAGAGTAGTTCCCCTTGAAAAACTCCACCCAAGAAGAGATATTTTTATTGAGACGGGAGACATCATTGCAGGACCAAACTCGGCGTTTTCCGGATTAATGATCAACGTCATCAACCCAAATATGGTCATAGTTCGCTAACGCATGGCTTGTTAATGCAAGGCTCGATAATGCAAGTGTCGTTAATACAACTGTTGAAACTGCAAATGTTGAAACTACAAATGTTGAAATTACATATCTTGAAAATACAAATGTTGAAATTACATATCTTGAAACTGTAAAGTTAAGCTGTGTTATTTCAAAATTTGTGCTTTGTAGGTTAGACAGGTATTTTCACACATGAAAAAATGTATTTTTGTTGTATGACAAATCAACAAATGCATTTTCACAAATCGACAAATGTATTTTGCATTTTGACAAATTAACAAATGTACTTTGACAAATCGACAAATGTATTTTGTATTTTGACAAATTAACAAATGTACTTTGACAAATCGACAAATGACGGAAATGTATTTTCACAAATTGAGAGTTTTGGCGAGGATCCCCCTCCATATTTTCCAACGTGATTTCCTCTTGTCAGTGGTGCAGGATGGAGAACATGACAAGGACGAAAAACCACAGTCCCGTGTATACATTAGCGTGCACGTAAAAGTTCCCTTGGGAGTTGGAATTCAATATAAATGTAGGCTGTAGCGCCTCTTCCGTCAGTATGTCCGTCTTCATTGCCAAGTAGGAACAAAATAGTAGGACGTTAAACCCCTTTTCATTTCAACTCTTTATCTAAATCTTACATAATGCACCTTTAATGGCTTGCACCTTTAAGATCCCTTGGCAGTTGGAATTCGATATAAGAGTAGGCCATTGTGCCGCTGCCCGGGCAAAATTTCCCTCATAGAACGCTGTATGACGTATGCCCGTCTTCTTTAGCTCAGTAGGAGCAGAACAGTACGGCGTTAAACTCCATCTCATTTCATTTCACTGTCATAGCTAGGATGCCTTACGTCGGCCTATACTATATTATCCAATCACAAATTATAAGCGGGGACATCCGAGAGAAAACATAAAATAGTAAATGACATACGTATTGATGGAGGGAGCATATTTTATTTTAGAAATAATTTGGGGGCCGTAGCTGTAGCTCAATCAGCCCATCGCCCCTCCCCCGTACCCTTTTAATCCGACCATGATTACGTCACTGAAGTTATAGATGTGTGCATCTTGCAATTATATAAGACAGGTAAGGAATTACATTTAGTTATAATTTAAAAAAAAATAATTAAAACGCCAACACATGGTTCAAACGGTATAATTTATGAAACACATAGTTAAAAAGGCATATCATATTTAACACATGGTTAAAACGGTATAACATATGAAACACGTGGTATGACATATTTAACACATGGTTCAAATGGTATGAAATATTTAATTCATGGTTCAAATAGTATAACATATGAAACACATAGTTAAAACGGCACATCAAATTTAAAGGAGCTCAAGCTATAACCCAATATTTAACACATGGTTCAAATGGTATAACATATGAAACACATATAACGGTACATCAACTTTAAAGGAGCTAAAGCTATAACTCAATATTTAACACATGGTTTTAGATAGTATAATTTCAGCACTGCACAAACTGCGGGTGATCACTGGACATTTTGGGAACACTGGAACTGCGCACTTATATACAGACGTCTTTAAATGCAATTCAAATTGAGTATAAAATAGAATTGATCATATACATATAAATAAAACATAGTTACCATATGCATACAGGTACGTACTGTCTAGTTTAATAGCTTGTGATGTATTTCTATTACTCACGCGGTTTACTTCGAGTCGTTGTTGAAGTGTTATCTATATGACAATAATACACACATCGGAATTTAGAACTAAACGATATATTACAATACTCAGCCTAAAGCCATTTATTTTATATCATTTTACAGATACGTCAGCGCTTTGATCGTATTCGTCTAGTGGTAAACCATATAAATATGTTTGGATTAGATAACGTACCTCAAACGAAATTTAAATAGGGGAGGAATGGAGGGGTGTCGGCGTAGCATGGTTGGGTGGGGTGAACATATATTTACCAATAAGGAGGATTGGGGTGGGGTCTTTCCATAGAATTTAAACGTATTTGACAAACTAGTTTTCAACAGAATAGTGCTGGAAAATGTTCCCTACTACCGATTTCATAACTTGGAGATCTGATATTTATATTATAGCTTATTATAGAATCTAGGTACACGGATTCTGAAGAAATTATAGTTTCCCGTAGAATTCCCCTTAGTGCTGTGGTCATGGTGTTAAATTTTACACACCCCTCCCTTCCATGAAGTGTCATGCCGAAAGACGAACTATAAGGGCTTATCACGAATACACAATTAAGTCTTAGAGGAGCTAAATGGCTAATATTTCGGACTTAGAAATTGACACAAATGGGTAGCAACGCATATAATAATGTAATATGAATGTATATAAACTGATTTACATTCAGTTGTTTCCGTTTTTACTCTAATTTCAACTCAGTTATGTTCGGCGAAATATGTCAGAAGTTTTAATCGAATGGCAATCTACACCGATAGCATTTATTGCGCATGCTCTCCAGATAAGAATATGACGTCACCGTTTGATACGACTTGCGGAATATGTCTAGCCTCGATCTTCAAGTCCCTTGTTACAGGCACAAATGACGCTGAAACGCAATATGTTGAATATCAGAAGCCCATCTTTTCACGGTAAGATCACAAGATCAATGTTGATTTAAATTGACAAATAATTATTGTTTTCAATCTCGAAGACTTTGGATAATAATGAATTAGAGACTTAGATACTTTAAAATAATCTTCCGAAATGATTTTAATGTATGTAATATGAATGAAATAGTTAAGACATATCTCTCTACAGGTAAGAAATCTCTTCCAACCACGATAAACCGATTAAAACAATCGGTAATAAATTGTTGCTAAAAGAAGTAAAAAACAAATTAATTATAATTACTACAGTAATAAACTATAACACGTGCTTATTAAAAACAGATATTAATTTAGTATTTGTTCGTCCATAAGTATATGTTATAGTTTATTGTTCTATGCAGTTACCAAAGGCCTCTATAAAGTGTAGAATTGTCCTATAGAAAATTTCCCATGAATCTGTAGGGAATACTATAATATTTGCGATATAGAAAACGGTAAAATATATTGGTCTTTATAACCCCAAACGCCACGCAATTCTGTAAAATACTATTGAATTTCACTGTAGAAAATGGGAAACGCCCCCATCATACCTCACCCTAATATACTTCATCGGCGATGTACAATAAATTATATCTGACACGGACACAAATGGCCCCCAAAATATCTTTAAATTCTCGGCGAAATAGGGCCTACGCTTATTGGAGTGTGGTTTAGTCCTGAATTTTTTGACTGAGTGTAAGCAACGTTACCAATCGTTAAATCATCTATATGAAACATTTCTAAACTTTTTAAAGGACAATATTGGTGCCAGTCATTATCACATATGTGATAGAACTGGTTAAACACGTTCCGAATATTATTTTATCACAGAGATCATTGCTACGATAGATGAGTAATTTGATACCACATATACAGGGGTGGAGCGTGACGATGAAGCATGATGAGGCGAATATACAACACATAGCCTACATTGCAGTTGCAGATATATCTTTGATTTTAGAGTATTTATAATATAGATTTAAAATTCAAACGCTAATATCTCGGTTCAGAGTGGATTAATTTGATTGAAATTTTCAGCATATTCCCTTTGCATTATTTAGTTTTTAGCTATTATATATATTATATATATAGCGAGAACTGTCAACTCTTTATCTAATCTTACATAATATTGCCCCTTTAATTAAGGAATAATTTTATACAAAAATATGGCACCTCGGCAAAATTATTTCAATTACGTAAAAGTTTTTAAAAACAATTAGTTGTGATATCTATTTAATAGTCATTTGATGCAATATTGGTGCTGACGTGCCAACAAAAATCCATTTCATTTCAATGTATCATATTTCTCCATTCGGGAATCTTAGGCGCAGTCGACAAGCTGTCGCAACGCAGTGAGCCGCGTGACTATTTTCATTATTGTCATTAGCATTGAGTTATAAATAGTATAAATCTCTGGGGCCTGATACGAAATTTTAACTAAGATAAAATCTAGATTTTAGTAATTTGATTGTATAATATTAGATTGATTTTAGTGCTTAGCCAATCAAAATTGAAGTATCTACTAAAATTTGGATTTTATCTATAGTTAAAATTTCGTGAAACAGGCCCCTGGTCATTTATTGTCATTAGTCAGTTTTGTTAAAATAACTGGTCCCTTCAGCTCTTCTATTTTAGAAGCCATTAAAGGTATCAAGAATTTCAATATGGCGGAGTAAGTTTAACAAAAAGAATTTGTTTGCCTAAAAAGTTCATTATTGTCAAGAAAAAGTCACATTTCTCACTTAAACTTATCATTAACCTTTCTAAAATATTTTGTAGTCATGCATCGGCTTGTCAAAAAACGACATTTTATAGTAGAATTATCAATATTTAGTATGTCACACTGGCTTACACTGATCTGAACGGCGCTATTGCACTTTCGTACCTCTACCAGTTCCCGTGGTCGTAGGCACTTGAAATTTTCAGAGGATGTTAAGGGGGGCTAGCAATGACCACACACCAAATTTCAGCCGAATCGATAAATAACTTTTTATTTTACCGACCTTTTAATTTCTAACGAGAGAGAACTTCATCCGTTTGACGCCATTTGCTTTGTTTACTAATTAGACTTGAATAACAAGACACTAAGACGGAAACCGACTCGAATAACAAGACACTTAGACGGAAACCGACACACTGCACCAGCTGCCTAACACTGCAGTTCATAAAAATTAATATAATTTTCGTATACTTTAATTTTTGCGCGAAGCCACCATTTTCTATAAAATACTATTTGGTGTTGATCAGTGGATTGGCCGTTAGGTGTAAATATTGCCGTGACCTTGATTTTGACCTTGAGGCCAAACTTCCCACCCATATCGGGGCCTTTGCGTTTATGCTTGCCGTGGCCTTATTTCTTACTGTATTATCAAAGTTAATGTTCGAGGTTAAAGCAGAGACGACGTCCTCCAGAAAAGATAATTGGTTCAAAGTCGTAGGTCAAGGTCATCTTACAGAAAACTAAACTCGGACTTTTCAAAGTCAGTTTTGGGACATTTGACCTTGACTTACGACCTTGAACCCGTAACCATTTTCGAAGGCTATCACATTGGCTTGAAACATGAACGTTTACCTTGGTCCTGTCGCACACTGCTCGGTCAGAAAACGGTCAAACGCAGAGGGTCCGTGTCCGAAAGGAAGTCAATGGGCGTGGTCAATGTGAAAGGTCGTGGTGACCTCCACTAGTCACCGTTAACCAGCCGTAACCTTGACTCTGACCTTGAGTCCAAACGTCCCATCCATCTCGGGCCCTTTGCGTTTATGCTTGCCGTGGCCTTATTTCTAACTGTATTATTAAAGTTAATGTTCGAGGTTAAAGCAGAGACGACGTCCTCCAGAAAAGATAATTGGTTCAAAGTTGTAGGTCAAGGTCATCTTACAGAAAACTAAACTCGGACTTTTCAAAGTCAGTTTTGGGACATTTGACCTTGACTTACGACCTTGAACCCGTAACCATTTTCGAAGGCTATCACATTGGCTTGAAACATGAACGTTTACCTTGGTCCTGTCGCACACTGCTCGGTCAGAAAACGGTCAAACGCAGAGGGTCCGTGTCCGAAAGGAAGTCAATGGGCGTGGTCAATGTGAAAGGTCGTGGTGACCTCCACTAGTCACCGTTAACCAGCCGTAACCTTGACTCTGACCTTGAGTCCAAACGTCCCATCCATCTCGGGCCCTTTGCGTTTATGCTTGCCGTGGCCTTATTTCTAACTGTATTATTAAAGTTAATGTTCGAGGTTAAAGCAGAGACGACGTCCTCCAGAAAAGATAATTGGTTCAAAGTCGTAGGTCAAGGTCATCTTACAGAAAACTAAACTCGGACTTTTCAAAGTCAGTTTTGGGACATTTGACCTTGACTTACGACCTTGACCTCGTAACCATTTTCGAAGGCTATCACCTTGGCTTGAACCATCGACGTTTACTTTGGTCCTGTCGCACACTGTTCGGTCAGAAAAGGGTCAAACGCAAAGGGCCCGTGTCCGAAATGAAGTCAATGGGCGTGGTCAATGTGAAAGGTCGCGGTGACCTCCACTAGTCACCTTTAACCATCCGTGACCTTGACTTTGACCTTAAGTCCAAACTTCCCATCCATCTCCGGCCCTTTTCGTTTATGCTTGCCGTGACCCTATTGCTTACTGTATTATCAAAGTTAATGCTTGAGGTGAAAGCAGAGACAACGTCCTTCAGAAAAGTTAAAAAGGTCAAAATCGTAGGTCAAGGTCATGTTACAGAAAACTAAACTCAAACTTTTCAAAGTCAGTTTTGGGACATTTCCCCTTGACTTACGACCTTGACCCCGTAACCATTTTCGAAGGCTATCAACTTGGCTTGAATCATGGGTGTTTACCTTGGTCCTGTCGCACACTGCTCGGTCAGAAAACGGTCAAATGCAGAGGGGCCCGTGCCCGAAAGGAAGTCAATGGGCGTGGTCAATGTGAAAGTTCGTGGTGACCTCCACTAGTCACCTTTAACCATCCGTGACCTCGACTTCGACCTTGAGTCCAAACTTCCCATCCATCTCGGGCCCTTTTCGTTTATGCTTGCCGTGACCCTATTTCTTACTGTATTATCAAAGTTAATGCTTGAGGTGAAAGCAGAGACAACGTCCTTCAGAAAAGATAATTGGGTCAAAGTCGTAGGTCAAGGTCATGTTACAGAAAACTGAACTCAAACTTTTCAAAGTCAGTTTTGGGACATTTGACCTTGACTTACGACCTTGATCCCATAACCATTTTCAAAGCCCATAATCTTGGCTTGAACCATCGACGTTTACCCTGGCCCTGTCGCACACTGCTCGGTCAGAAAATGGTCAAACGCAGAGGGGCCCGTGTCCGAAAGGAAGTCTATGGGCGTGGTCTATGTGCAAGTTCGTGTTGACCTCCACTAGTCACCTTTAACCATCCGTGACCTTGACTTCGACCTTGAGTCCAAACTTCCCATCAATCTCGGGCCCTTTTCGTTTATGCTTGCCGTGACCCTATTTCTTACTGTATTATCAAAGTTAATGCTTGAGGTGAAAGCATAGACAACGTCCCTCAGAAAAGATAATTGGGTCAAAGTCGTAGGTCAAGGTCATGTTATAGAAAACTGAACTCAAACTTTTCAAGGTCAGTTTTGGGACATTTGACCTTGACTTACGAGCTTGACCCGTAACCAGTTTCAAAGCCCATCATCTTGGCTTGAACCGACGACGTTTACCCTGGCCCTGTCCCAAAAATGACTTTGAAAAGTTTGAGTTTAGTTTTCTGTAACATGACCTTGACCTACGACTTTGACCCAATTATCTTTTCTGAATGACGCCGTCTCTGCTTTCACCTCGAACATTAACTTTGATAATACAGTAAGAAATAAGGTCACGGCACGCATAAACGCAAAGGGCCCGAGATGGATGGGAAGTTCGGACTCTAGGTCTGGGTCAAGGTCACGGATGGTTAACGGTGACTAGTGGAGGTCACCACGACCTTTCACATTGACCACGCCCATTGACTTCCTTTCCGACACGGGCCCCTCTCCGTTTGACCCTTTTCTGACCGAGCAGTGTGTGACAGAACCAAGGTAAACGTCCATGATTCAAGCCAAGGTGATAGCCTTCGAAAATGGTTACGGGGTCAAGGTTGTAAGTCAAGGTCAAATGTCCCAAAAATGACTTTGAAAAGTTTGAGTTTAGTTTTCTGTAACATGACCTTGACCTACGACTTTGACCCAATTATCTTTTCTGGAGGACGTCGTCTCTGCTTTCACCTCGAACATTAACTTTCAAAATACAGTAAGAAATAAGGCCACGGCAATCATAAACGCAAAGGCCCTGATATGGATGGGAAGTTAAGACTCAAGGTCAAAATCAAGGTCACGGCAATATTCACACCTAAAGGCCAATCCACTGATCAACACCAAATAGTATTTTATAGAACATGGTGGCTTCGCGCAAAAATTAAAGTATACGAAAATTATATTAATTTTTATGAACTGCAGAGATAGGCAGCTAGTGCAGTGTGTCGGTTTCCGTCTTAGTGTCTTGTTATTCGAGTCTAAATAGTAAACAAAGCAAATGGCGTCAAACCGATGAAGTTCTCTCTCGTTAGAAATTAAAAGGTCGGTAAAATAAAAAGTTATTTATCGATTCGGCTGAAATTTGGTGTGTGGTCATTGCTAGTCCCCCCTTAACATCCTCTAATAATTTCAAGTTCCTACGACCACGGGAACTGGTAGAGGTACGAAAGTGCAATAGCGCCGATCTGAACAAGCCAGTCGAACTAAACTGAGCGGGCCTGAGGCGAGGGATTACACTGAGAAGCTTATTATTCATATAAATAGTTTCCCAACTAAACCTTGGTCTCTTACATACCCTGTCTGTTGAGACCCAAAAAGTCAAAGGATTTTTGTAAAAGAAATTATTTCAACAGTTTCAATCAGTATTTAAGATTGCATTCTGTTGCACTCCAGCTATATAATATTTGTGGTGTCGAACAGCCTCACATTTTTCTATGCCAGATATTATTTTGCAGTATCTAGACCTGCATTAGAAAATTGACTTCTCTGTCAGAAAGTCCTTCAGGATTTTCCTGCATGTTTACCCCTTATCAGTGAAAAGCATAACAATCTGATAAAAAAAAAAAGAGTTTTATAATACATTTCTTACATGTTGATGTGCATGTAGGTCGTAGAAGAACCCTTGCATTTGGAGGTGGGGGGGGGGGGGGGTCGATCCCTGCATTGGCCAGAAAGTTCATCCAGATTTTCCAGCATGGTTCCCACTTGTCAGTGATGCAGGACGGAAGACCCGACAAGGACAGCTAGTTTGTAGTCGTTCAGATGGGACAAAAAACCGAGGTCCCGTGTACACATTGGCGTGCATGTAAAAGATCCCTTGACAGGTGGAATTTGATATAAGAGTAGGCCCGTAGTGCTGCTGTCTGGGCAAAATCTCCCTCATAGCACACTGTATGGCGTATGCCCGTCTTCATTAGAACAGTTCAGAGCAGAACAGTAGGACGATAAACCCCATTTCATTTCATTTCCTTGCAGTTGGAATTCTATTGAAATCTGACAGGGCAAAATTTCACTCATAATATACTGCATAAGTTTGGTAAATGCTGAAAAGCAGGACATTAAGTACCATTTCATTTCACTGACTCTCGTGTCCACTTCTTGAGTGGTCATAATTGTCAATTAAGTCAGTGTTTAAATTTTTAAGGTTTTTGACATGAGTTTTACACATCTGGCGTAGAAAAGAATATGGAAAAATATATCTGTAATAAATATGTTCTTGAACCTTGTGCAGTAGAAATATTGGGAAATATACACAGTAAACACCTCACAGTGCCAAAGTAGCTCATTGTGTAAGACATTGGCTTGCTAACTGGGAGGTCCAGTATTTTCTTGCATGGTTCCCCCTTATCCGTTGTGCAGGATGGAGGGCCTGCGACGGAACAGAGTATATACATGTATGGTCATTCAGATGATATGAAAAACCGAGATCCTGTGTACATGTTGGCGTGCACATAAAAGAATCCTTGTCAGTTGGAAGTTGATATAAGAGTAGACTGTAGCACCACTGTCAGGGCACAATTTCAATCCTAGCACACTATATGGCATACATGTATGCCCATCTTCATCAGCCCAGCCAGAGTTGAACAGTAGGATGCCAAACCCCATTTCATTTCATTTACAACAGTCATTAATTGATCCCACAAACGTCCAGCCTCCAAGGAATGCATGTGAACACTTCTATTTTCTATTATAGTTTACGATACCATACTAATCAAGCTAAGGTTGTCAAATTTACATTGAGCGAAATGACCCATTGTCACCCCATTACCTTATAGAATGACACATTTCTTTCCAGTTTGTTTTCCAATCCAGTTATTCATTTATCCCTCGTTTAAGGACAGCTCAGTTTTGTATGACTGGCTTCTTCGAGATTTATTAATTTAAAACATATTTCTCTATTTTTCAGTCTTCAAGAACGAAAAATTAAAGATGCCCAAATGAGGGCCACAATCAACCAAAAACTTGTAGAAACTGGTGAAAGGGAAAGGTATGAATACAATGCCTCAGTCTTGGTCATCGATGTTTAATTTGTTCTAATGTCAAATCTCTCAAGTCACAAGCATATAGGGCTGCAATGATATACTGTGAGACGGTACACTGTACAATACATGTCATTATTCGGTTCACGGTACTGTACTTTAAATTCCATATCACGGTTTGGTAAACACGGTACAGATTTACTTAACCATCCATTCTCTTCCGATACTCTACTATCATACAGAGTTATGTCCCCCTCTAGTTCATGTGACAAGGAGGAAAGATGGCTTTCAGCAATGAACTTACCTTTGCCTCAAGCAAACCACAAATGGGAACATTTTGGATTAAAAAGGCCAGATGGAAAATACTGTGATACGTATCTATCGTGATATGTATCGTATCATGATGTTAGTCCATCGTTGCAGCCCTACTTTATACATGATACATGGAACAGAAGAATCATCCCTGCTGTGGCTCAGTGGGTAGGGCATTTGCTCACTAACCTGGTATTCGTGGGTTTTATCCTAGCCTGACAAGGAACAGCATCTAGGCAAGCAGTAGTAAGAAGTTTTATTTTAAACCCTTCAGGTGCCTTTGGCTTTTTGTCATAGGTACATATATTATTTGGTATTTTATCTAAGTGCACTAATTTCAGATTAAAGGAATTATTAAGAACACGTTTGGTGGAATGTGGGTGGAGAGATCAGCTTAAAGCACATTGTAAAGGTAGGAGATAATAATATATAAATTGAAAAGTTTTTATACATGTCTTTTGTTGATACGGTGGGCCAAACTTATATGTAAAAGTTTATAGAAAAGTCCTGTCCCTGCGTTGGCCGAGACAGTTCATCAGGACGGAGGACATGGCAAGGGATAATGTTTAGTTGTCTGGATGGTATGAAAAACTGAGGTCCCGTGTACACATTACACATTGGCGTGCACATAACCCTTGATATAAGTTGTAGGCTTTAGCGCCGCTGTCCTGACAAAACTTCCCTCATAGTTCACTGCATGGCGCATGCTTGTCTTCAGGAGCAGAACAGTAGGATCTTAAACCCCATTTAATTTCCTTTGTTAGTGGTGCAGGATACAGAACGGGATAGAATAGGTTACATGTAATATATATTTATATTTTTAGATATAGTACAACAGAAAGGATTGGAACATGTTACTGTTGATGATTTAGTGGCTGAAATAACACCAAAAGGACGAGGTAATGTAAACTTACATTAAATCTTTAAACATACATTATGCAAGAGCTAAATCTGCCTATTGCAGGTCTTTCTTTATGCCTGAAATGTTATCTAAATTAAGACATTCATTAACTTATCCAGATCATAATCAACTCTCGATGTCATCGCTGGCCTGAGATATTTACTGGATTAGGATCCGATTTGCTGCTCAAATTTCATTCATGACTAAATCATGAAATGGATAATCGAGACTCTTTTTTATCATTCCGACTTTAGTAATGATGATCGAGATTAGGCCTAAAATTCAATCGTTAAATTCTAGGTTCAGAGTGGATCAATTTGACTGAAATTTTCAGCAAATCAACTTTACATTATCTAGTTTTTAACTATTATGGTGCGAACTGCCAGCTCTTTATCTAATCTCCCATAATCTATCTGTAAGTTAGATTTTTTTTTATATTTTTCAGCTTTGGTACCAGATAATGTAAAAAAAGAATTATTACAGAGAATCCGAACATTTTTATCTCAGCAATCCAACATATAACTCTGGTGCCTGTTTACTGACTGATAAAAGAGAAGGATGAATGACCCCTGTAGCCTCATTCACAAAAACTTCAACTAAAATACTTTTAATAATCCAGCACAGTCATCTTCCTCGGTTCCCCCATTGATATTATTTTGTTCTACTCCACTATACCCAGGGTTCATCCATGGGGTATTTACATATTCAAATTATCTGCCCTTGATTTAGCTTGATTCTAAGAACCAATCAAAAAACAGTTTATAAAACCAGTCTTAGCCTCATTGTTCATAATAATATGGTGGCTTGTTCGCTCAATTATGAGATACTGGTAGTTAGCAGGAGAATTATTATCAAAAAAGGGACATGCACACAAAAAGATGTCCTAAAGATGTGAAAGATGTTTTTATATCAGTTTTTATGTATTTAAAGATTTTTATCTCTTTGGTCGATAAAATAGCACAGTCATCAAGGGCAGATAATTTCAATATGTGTTGCTCCCCATGAATGAACCCAGGGGTTAGTGGAGTAGAACGGAATTAGACCACTGGGGATACCGAGGATGCCCTGTCATTGGCAAAGAGCTCAAATGCTTACTAGGATTGTAAATCTCAACCAATGAAATGCTAGCATTCTTAAAATAATTTGGTTTAAGTTTTTATGAATAAAGCCCCTGTTCATATTACCTCACTGAAGGCCCAAATACTTTTATCTCCTATCTGTGAAATCCAATATTAAAAAATAGAAGGAAAAGGTTAACCCTTTAGGCCCTGGTAGATGTAAATATTGACTATCTTGAAAAAAATTTTTTTAGAGAAAAATGATAATTTTTACATCAAGTTTTGTTGTCCATTTTCAAAACTATTCGAAATTACTGCTCTCCAGACCACCTCACAGATCTAGTAGAAGGTCCTAAGCACGCTTGAGAAACGCAGTAGTTTCGGTGATACAGTTGCTAAAGGGTTAACACAAATGATACAATAAACATGCATCAATCACTATTACAACAAAATAATACAATTAACGTGCATCAATCGCTATGGCAACAAAATGGCAACAATAAACATGCACCATTCACTATGGCAACAAAATGCTCAGTTTTTACTAGAACTCAAGTTGCACTTTAAACACTTCGCCGTGTGGCCATTATAATCCATGTATAAACCAGTGACCAGGAATGATGTCATCACCGCCATCTTGGATTGTGACCTCTCTCCCATGTCTAAGCATGATGTCATCACTGCTGTCTTGGAATTGTGACCACTCTCTCTGTGTCTTATGTCTAACTATGGCACTGAATATATCACTTGTAAGAATTTACTCAAAATTGTTCACCTCATTTTAACTTAAATATAGCCCTTTATAAAACTTTTGTTGTTTTAATGTATCAAATAGATCAATAAGAAACTATGTGCAAATATTTGTGCTTCTAGATCAAAGATATCTCTCATCAACAGTGACGGAAAGTTGAGTAAATTCTTGGCTGAAACATGCATTAGGCAAGAGCTAAATCTGCCTATTGTAGGTCTTTCTGATGTGTCTATTAGAGCAGTTTATCCAGTTTTAAACATCCTTCTTACCTAGTCTATTATCAACAGCTTGAGTTCTATACAAAGATATCCTCCAAGAAATTAGTATTCACTGTAATTCCATATTTATGAGGGTTGGATGGCTGAATGGTTAGCGTGCGCGCGCTGTATCATTAAGTCTGTCATTGAGTCGACTGGCGTGGTTTCGAATCCCCGGTTGTACGTGACAAGGAGTAGAGTCGCCTGTCCAACCTTGTGGGTTTTCTCCGGGTCCTCCCACTGCTAAAGACCCCTACGCGCAAGCGAATTATTGAAATAAAATTAAACCATATGTTAGTCCCGAAATGACCTAGTTTGTGTCGAGTGGACGTTAAACCCCATTTCTCTCTCTCTCTCTCCATATTTATGTCTTGGTGACCCAGACTAGAAAACACTATTTTAAGACTAGAATAACATGTCTTCCAATTATGTAGAATTATCCAGAGGCCTTCTCTACAAACGTACGAATCCACTCAAATAAATTCTGACGTGGCTCAGTGAGTAAAGTGCTTGCTAAATACCCAGAAGGTCCTGGGTAAGATCCCCGTGTTGGAGGGACAGTTTCTCAGGGTTTCCCAGCATGGTTTCCCCTTGGAAGGAATTGGCCTACCTCTAGTCGTTCAGATGGGATGAAAAACTGAGGTCCAATGTACACATTAGTCTGCACGTAAAAGATCCCCTGGCAGCTGGAATTTGACAAAAAGTAGTTGGAAAGTTCACTCATAGCACACTGAATGGTGTATGCTTATCTTTATGTTGGCGCCAGAAAATTAGGATGTTAAACCGAATTTCACTTCACTTCATTTGTATGCTGAGGGAACTAACTAGTATCGCGTAACTCCTAGTAAAAAATATGACTACTTTGTAATGTATGCTAAGGGACCTGGTATCATATAACTCCCAGTAAAAACATAACTAATTTGTAATGTATGCTGAGGGAAATGGTATCACGTAATTCCCAGTAAAAATATGACTACTTTGTAATGTATGCTGAGGGAACTGGTAGTAGTATCACATAACTCCCAGTAAAAATATGACTACTTTGTAATGTATGCTGAGGGAACTGGTATAGTATAACTCCCATGCTGAGGGACCTGGTATCATATAACCCCTAGTAAAAATATAAGTACTTTGTAATGTATGCTGAGGGAACTGGTATCATATAACTCCCTAGTAAAAATATGAATAATTTGTAATGTATGCTGAGGGAACTGGTATCATATAACTCCTAGTAAAAATATGAGTAGTTTGTAATGTATGCTGAGGGAACTGGTATCATATAACTCCCAGTAAAATATGAGTAATTTGTAGATAATGTCTGCATGTTGTCCAACTTTTCACACAGTAAAAAAATGATGAACTTAAATTACAGTTAGTCTTCTTTTCATTAAAAAATGGCCAGTTGTCTTTGTTATGTAATTGTTTAATTTGAAATATCATATATCTGTCATGTTGATGTATTATTGTTTGTATATCACCTGTAAATTACAGTTTGTCTTCTTTGAATTAAAAAAAATGGTTAATTTTCTCTCTGTTATTAAGTTGAAATATGATATTTAACTATACAGTTCAAATGTTATATAAATCATTATTTAAACATTTATTCACATGAAAAGCCCATAAGTAACTCTCTAGACCATCGGATGATACAGAATGGATTAAATCACAATTGCTATTTAATAATTCAATGATAAAATGGATAATCAAGACTTTGTTTAATATGGTATCTTAGCAATGGTAGTCCTACTTGACAATTGAGACTACAGTTATTTGACTGAAATTTTCAATATTAATTTTTCATTTTTGAACTATTGTAGCAACAACGACCAGCTCTTTATTTAAATACTATTACATAAAGCATCTTTAATTAACAATGATCTATTTACCTTGTTAATTAATCTTTGAATACTGCTGAAAACAGTTTTACTAATTTAGTGTAGAAGCCTGGTTTCTCCTGTCAGTCAAATTGTAAATTGACATGTAGGTACAGGTCTAAAGAGTAGACATTATTCATGATAATAGATTGCTGAAATTCAATCCTGGCTCTATACTTTTCTTATATTGGATTTTTAACATTTAAAAGCCTGTAATTGATTCCAAATAAACATGAATAACAACAGCCTGTCACTTTTCATTTAGATTCTACAAGTTTTATTATTATTTTGTTCATCTTGAAACTTGTATAATGATTTTATAGTTTTAAGTGTGTTTTTATAACGAACAGGATCATATTATTATTTACATATATTAGCCTGTGTGGATTAGATAGATGACAATAATAAAAATATATTTTCAAATAGGACTGTTTCTTTGTATCCCTTTGATTGGGGGGGGGGGGGAATAGTCTAAGGAGTGTGCTTCAGATCACGAGGTCTGTCATTGAGTCAAGTGGCGTGGTTTCTATTGGCAGCTTGTAAGTGACAGGGTTGCCTGTCCAACCTCACAAGTTTTCTCTGGATCCTCTGGTTTTCTCCAAACGCTAAAGGCTGTTATATTGAAAGCGAATTATTGAAATAAAATTAAACCATGTTAGTCCAAAAATGGCTTAGTTTGTGTTGATGGGAGTCTAACCTTTTCTCCTCCAGGAGGTCCCGTGTTCGATCTTTATGTTGTTTGAGAATTTACCAGTCAGGTTTCCCATGCAATAGCACGAAAAAAACTTGAATTTAAAATAAGTTTGCCTGTGGTGCAACTGTCTGCGCAAAATTTCACTGCCCATCTTTATCCTGGATGGTGCAGAACAGTAGGACGTTAACCCCATATTTCATTTCATTTATCCAGATCTTTACATAACGGTAATTCTATAGCATAGGCCTACTACAGTCCGTGTAAAGTGGTGAAGTGGCCTAATGTATGCGTTTAAATCAATAGGTCTGTCATTGAGTCAATATTGTGGCATGATTTTGATCCCAATTAAGCTTTTAGTCTACCCGTGATATTGTCTATTGGACGTTAAACCCCGTTTGTCACCTGGCGGCCTTCTGTAACATAATAGGCCTAGGAACAAAAATGTCGTTCAATTATTAGGCTCTGGTAAGGAATGCTTGTTTTCCGAATAATGATGTTCGTTTTACGATAAGACCTACGTGTATATCTGAAGTGACAGATCCATTTGTCACTTGGTCTTTTTTCAGCATCGAAATGTCAACATTGTATTGGCCAAAGTGATATGCCGAGACGGCAATTAAATAACTTATTAACTGTCCAACCAATATTATAATTCACATCGCGTGCGTGACGACGGTATCGCCTGCTCGTGACCGGTCTATTTTAAGCACCTTAAAATTGTCGCGTATTATTTTTACGGTTGTTTTATATTTTCACGGAGGCATCTAACTGTAAGTATATTTTGATTTTCCATTTTACTGGGGTTTTGGGGTTTTTTTTGTTGCGCGGAGACCCATAAAGTGGTCAATTTACTCTAATTCTAATAACCGCTCCCACTGTTTACTCCTGGTTACGTGACGTCATAAACAAAATGGCGTAGGAAACGCAAACTTTTAGAGATTTAATGGGTGATTGGCTGTACAACCACTGAAGTGTAGCGACCCTAAAATATCAAAATGCCCAGATTATTTCAAAATGAGCTGGGTAAGTTATATAAGCTGACCCGCAAGTCATAGATTGGTCTATTAACAGGAACGGGGTTATTTCTGTAATACAAAGCGTAACGAGATCTGGCATTCACCAAATCGAAAGTAGAATCCGTTTTCGACCGTGATCGTACTTCAGTAAACACTTTACTTTATCGAAGTGGTTCAGTAAAGCTTAATCTTTATGGCTTAATGTGATTTTAAAGACTTGATTAGATCCATTTTCACAGTTTTCAGGCATGAAATCTAGACGCTTGTCTCCAAATCACTATTTTCATTCTTTTTAATACGATACCGATAGGCCTACAGTCTCTGATCAGACGATGTCAGCACTTTCCTAACCGTCCCAATAGCTGCAATATGAAAATACCGCTGTTCCCCACCAGTTTTAATAATATTTTGAATTTTTACCGACTATTTTTCTCAGTGATTCTTCTTTGTTCGCCAAAAGGAATCATTTCTTGCCACATCTGACACAAATTTATAATAATTCAACACTATTTTTAAGTAGAATGTATGTCGATCTGTTCCACAACAATGTGTAAGCTATCAGTTCCACAACATGTCTTAATATAACAGTAGAATTTCACTGGAAAACAAAATTTAATGAAAATATTTTTCTCTTCTTTTGGAACACCCAGATCCCCAAATAAACATAAAGATTTATCAACAAATACTAAACCTGGGAACACCACGAAAATCCAGCCAGAAGGGAAAATTAAAAAAAACTCCTGCCTTTCGTCATGGAAAGAATTTACAACAGTATGGTAATGATAGAATCAAATACCCTGAACCGCGTTTAGAGTTTTATAATTTCCATTACACTAGAGGGGTAAGTACAACCATTTGATAATAATAACCACTACAACTCGGATATTGTATGTAGTTGTGCTATTTTAGCACAAGTTTCTGTATGTAGTGTTTAGTTTCAAACCATTGTAGGCAAATTGTTCAAATATGTTGCTCAAGAATCATTGAAAAATATTGTGTTCCTACTGTTGATTAATTAAAATGGTTCAATTAGATAATGAGTGTTGGGTTTACAACTTTTTACTTTCACTAGCACAGTAGCAGTGTTGATGAGTAATTAATTAGCCTCAACAATATCCAAGTTGTAGTGAATAATAATGAGTTCTTATATTGCACACAATTCCATCAAAGTTTATGCTCAAGGTGCATTTCGTTCTCCACTTATCACCAGACAAAAATACAATTAATGTTGATAAGTAGGAGAAAAAAGATGTTTTTTTTTCCTGCTTCTTAAAACAGCTAAGAAATTGCAAATTCTTTATGGTCAAGAGTACTCAATTCCATAGGTTTAGTACAGTGCATGAGAAGCATACACTGAGGGTTGGGAGGCCGAATGGTTTAGGCCTGCGCGTTGGATCATAAGGTCTGAGTCAAGTGGCGTGGTTTTGATTCCCCGCTTGTACATGACAAGTAGTAGGTTGGCTGGCCAACCTCGTGGGTTTTACCCAGTTGCTCCGGTTTCCTCCCACAGATGAAGACCATTATGAGCAAGCAAATTTTTGAAATAAAATTGAACCATATGTTAGTCCCAATATGACCTAGTTTGTGTCGAGTGGACGTTAAACCCCATTTCTCTGTCTCTCTCTTTCTCTTAATTGTACACCCACAATCAGATTGAAATCCATGACATCTACATCCAGTGTGACCTAATGGACACTGTCCATCTACATCTATTGTCTGGTGCCAACCATTACAGATAAATAGATGAGGTAATCTGGTTGGACATAACCTTTTAACATATTTTACAGAATAAATCAGTATTACCATCACCGCCACCACCACCACCAAGAGAGTTAATTTATCATGATTTTAGAAGACAACCCAATACTAGTCCATGTCCGTAAGTTAAAATATTACACATCTACCTAGTCTCCCCCACCCCCATCAATGTCTGTAAGTTAACACATTATGTCTACCTAACCCCCCTCCTTAATACCATTCCTATTACATAATTTAACACATTGTATCTACCCAGCCCCCACCCATGGCACTAAGACTAGTCTTAGATAATCTATATCCGTAAGTTAACATATTACAACTATCCCCCCCCCCCCCATATGTCTGTAACTATCTATCTAAGAACTATCTAAATCCCCCCACTCCCAACCCCCACAAACTAGTCCATGTCTGTAAGTTAGCACTTACCAAATATCTAAATCCCCCCCAGTTCCCCCCCCCCCCCCTTTCTCCAAACAATACTAGTCTGTATCTGTAAGTTAGCACATTACAACTATCTATCCCCCACCCCCACCACCCAACCAATATTAGTCCATATCTAAATCCCCCCACCCCACAATACTAGTCCATTTCTGTAAGTTAACAAATTACCTCTACCTTATTAATCTGTGCTTAGAGATTCCTAGCCCAAATGTCACCCAGTTATTATTACCAGTATTCTATTCCACAGCATTGTGTCGCATGTAATGAAATTCTTATTAGATGTATGTATGGTTTGACCTAAGGTCAAGAAATATACTCGACATATGTTGGTATCATAGGTTGTTGTCAATATACAGCCTGTGTCACTGTGATTATATTACAACACGATTCTCCCATTACCGTAAAATACTCATTCTTGTAGAAATTTCCACAGGGAAATAAAATGAAATGAAATTGAATGAGTTTATATTTAGTAGTTTAATATAATTATGTATAAGAAGGGACCTATATTTAACAGTTTACTGTAATTATGTATAAAGGATGCCTGTATTTAGCAGTTGACACTAGTAATTATCTATAAGAAAAGTGTAGTTTTGGTGGGGGGGGGGGGGAGGTATCATATTTAGCAGTTTACTGTATCTCTGTATAAGAGGGGGCCTATATTTATTTAGGACTGTTTAAATATATTACAAGTGTTAGCTATATAAAGTCAATATTTTACCCGGAGATAAGTATATTACAATAGATATAACCATGTCTATATCTCACGGTCGTCAGTATAAACAAATCTCTATATTTTTATGGTATACATGTATATCATCTTCGTCCACAATTAGTTGGTGACTCGCGTCAGGTTGAGAAATTTACCACTCACCAATCCACCAAGCTGTCTAGTCATTTGGATGGGACGAAAAATGGGGTCCAATGTACACATTGGCAGTTGGAATTCGAAATAGGTGTAGGCCGTAGCGCCGCTGTCCGTGCAAAATTTCCCTCATAGCACACGGTATAGCGTATGTCGTCTTCATATGCCCAGTCAGAGCACAACAGTAGGATGTTAAACCCCATTTCATTTCATTTCTGATCCACCGTGGCTCTCCTGGTTAGCTTGGTTTCCCCTAGAGAAGAGATCGTCTTCACGACAATGGTATTATTTATTCAACACTGCTCCAATATTAAACATACATTATGCAAGAGCTAAATCTGTCTATTGCAGGTCTTTCTTTAGGTCTGAAATGTTATCTAAATTATTAATTAGACATAAATTAACCTATCCAGACCATAATCAACTCTAGATGGTTATGCTAGCCTGCGATCTTTAGTGGATTATGAGCGGATTTACTGCATAACTTTCCTTCACGATTTAACGATTAAATGGATAATCGAGACTATGTTGTTTTTTGTACTGACTTTAGTAATGATGATCGTGGCTAGGCGGAAATATCAACCGCTTAGTTCTCGGTTCATAGTGAATCAATTTGAATGAAATTTTCAGCAAATTGCCTTTACATTATCTAGTTTTTAACTATTATAGTGAGAACTGCCAACTCATTATCGGATCTCCCATAATGTATCTTTAACAATAGCCCACAAAAGAGATCTGGTTCACGGTGATGATATTTCAACTAGTTATAGTAGATCATTATTGATTACACCCCTGTGTGATTGCAATCAGTTTAGTGTTTAACGGTTAACCGACCTGGATTAAGAGTAATTTGTTGTAAATATATAAGATTAATTTAGTCAGGATATATAGAAATCGACTTAGATTTAATTCTATTGTTAGAGGTAGGTCTTTGTATTTTTATTTGATAACTTACACACGATTTAATGTTTCCTTTGTGTCGGTTCAATGGGATTTTACACCCTGTCAGACCTTTTTTAATAACCCAGTCAATGTAGAACAGTAGGATGTTAAACCCGATATCATTTCATTTCTGTGTCAGTGGTAAAGGATAGTTTACCATTTCTTTAGCTGATGTTGATCGATCGGTATAAATTTGTTTTTCTATTTGACTATGCAGATTGAAATTAAGAGATGTAAATTAAAGGATGTAAACAAATGCCGAATCTAATACGTCTTATGTCGGAGGAAAGACTCTATTTTGATGGCATATTCTCGGATTTATGATCATATTTTGAATGGGGGTCTATGTTTTTAAATAAATAAATAAACACGCTAAGAAATGTTGACGAATATTTCGATTGAAATAATGTAAGTAGTTAATTGTTTTAGACGATGGTGTGTGCTAGAGTCATATGCAATTATTTAGCAGTTGGTGTCACTCGCTCATTGTGGCAGAGCGACGTTTACTGCCAAATAAATTTCGGGATGTCATTTTTTTACCGTCTGTATATAAGTCGAAACGGAGTATAAGACGAATGCTGGACTTCTGCTGAAAAATTATCGACTTATGACCCGAAAAATATACAGTAATTTTGGAGGAATTGGAAACAGGTACGGATCAGCAGTTGTCAGCACGCTTTCATTCTATGTTATTACGATATCACATATTCTTGACATAAATTTAAATACCGTACGGGAATTAAACATGAAAAATAACGAGGTTCATCTATCTTTTATTGCGTATGAATTTGAATATTTTGTTGACACGTGATTCTTACTTGTAGTTGGAAAACGCCTGCGTAAATAACGATAAGAGTTATGCCCCTTTATTTTAGGGAAAAAATGTCCGACAAGAAAAATTTTGAAATCCCATCACTGATGCAGACTCTTTTGAAGTTTTGAAAAAAAGTTCCAACATATGACGTAAACCATAGGGTATTGATAAGAGAATCCCATCCACGTGACGGTACCGAGGTGGCTCAGTGTGTGAGGCGCCGGCTCACTAATTACCAGGAGTTCCAGGGTTAGATCCAGGTGTTGGTGGAGAAAGTTGCCCAGGATTTCCAGCTTGGTTTTCCCACGTCATTGGTGAAGGGTGGTTGGCCTGACAAGGAACAACGCATAGTTGGATGGGAGGAATTTAGTTGATTGTAATTGTCGAGATATTATCATATTTTGGGTTGCAATTGTCGAGATATTATCATATTCAGTTGGTAGTAATTTTCAAGATATTATCATATTCAGTTGGTAGTAATTTTCGAGATAATATCATATTCTGTTGGTCGTAGTTGTCGAGATAATATATTCAGTTGGTAGTAATTGCCGAGATATTATCATATTCAGTTGGTAGTAATTGTCAAGATATTATCATACTCATTTGGTAGTAAATGTCGAGATAATATAATATTATATTCTGTTGGTCATAGTTGTCGAGATAGAATCTTATTCAGTTGGTCGTAATTGTCGAGATATTATCAAATTAGTCGTAATTGTTGAGATATTGGGTTGAACATTCCAATTTAATCCCCATTTAATCTGCAGTGTTCTAAGTTTTTATGATTACTTGTAATATTCAGGGATCATGGTGGCTAAGTGGGTAAGACGCTGGCTCGCTAACCTAGAGGTCGGGTGTTGGATCCCTGCATTGTCTGAGAAAGTTCGTCCAGATTTCCCGACGTGGTTCCCCCTTGTCAGTGATGCAGGACCGACGGCCTGACAAGGACAGATGTCTAGTCGTTTGCATGGGACGAAAAACCGAGGTCCCGGGTACACATTGGCGTGCACGTAAAAGATCCCTTGACAGTTGGAATTCGATATAAGAGTAGGCTGTAGTGCCGCTGTCTGGGCAAAATTTCCCTTCATTAGCTCAGTTGGGAGCAGAACAGTAGGATGTCACACCCCATTTCATTTCAGTTCATTTTGTACTATTCAGATCCCCAGTTGAAGAACTCAAAGCATGGGAGGATGAAGAGGCTCAAGGAATCAACATGAAGAAAACGCATACTGCAACAGCTTCTGTCAACAACACACAACCTGTTAACAAGAATTTATTTCTAGTAGGTACAAAAATACGTATTTATTTCTAGTAATTCTAGTTGGTACAAAAATACAGATTAATTTCTAGTACTTAAAAAAATACATCACATGGCCTGTTGTACACTTGACATGCGTCTGCAACACGGAAAATACAGACTCATTTCTAGTTGTCACAAAATGGGCTGTTGTACCCCTGACATGTGTCTGCAACACGCAAAATCTCTTTCAAAAATGTCCATAGGCTATTACCTAAGACTACAAAAATACAGATTTATTTCTAATAGGTAAAAACTTTCCTTTGCACGCTCTGTTGTACCCACTGAATATCAATGATTCGCTTGCGCATAGGGGTCTTTAGCAGTGGGAGGAAACCAGAGGACCCGGAGAAAACCCATGAGGTTGGACAGGCGACCCTATTCCTTGTCACGTACAACCAGGGATTCGAAACCACGCCAGTTGACTCAATGACAGGTCTTATGATACAGTGCGCACATGCTAACTATTCGGCCATCCAACCCCCTCAAGTGGAGCAAAACTATCTCACTCCCTCTCTTTCCCTCTGCCTCCCCTCCCTCTCTCTCTCTCTCCTCTCTCTCTCTCTCTCTCTCTCTCTCTCGCATTGGTTCAAGTGGAATTGTTTCGATTAACAGCTTGTATGTGACAAGGAGAAGAGACGCCTGTCCGACCACATGGGTTTTCACAGGGTTTCCTTCAGCTGCTAAAGACCCCTACATGCCAGCGGATTATTGAAATAAATGTCAGTAGATGTTCATTCTGAAATGACCTAGTTTGTGACAAGTGGATGTTAAACCCAATTTCTCTCGCTCTACTTCTAAATCTGAACAGTGAAATAAACTCTCCCGTCAACATGAAATCAAATTTCGCCTATCTCTCTTGGCGGCTTCCGCAATAATAGGGATATCAGAGACAACCAAATTACAGAAATTTATCCAGGAATGAATTTCGTTTGATCTTGTCATACATACCGGAGTACAACGGGTGTGACTTCTTTGGATCCCACTCTTTCTCTATCGCCGCATCCACACTCTTGAACGATCTACCGCCTAGTATCCGCACAATAGATAGAGAGAGAGAGAAATGGGGTTTAACGTCCACTCGACACAAACTAGGTCATTTCGGGACTAACATATGGTTTAATTTTTTTATATTTCAATAATTCGCTTGCGCGTAGGGGTCTTTAGCAGTGGGAGGAAACCAGAGGACCCAGAGAAAACCCACGAGGTTGGACAGGCGACCCTACTCCTTGTCACATACAACCAGGGATTCGAAACCCCGCCAGTTGACTCAATGAGAGACCGTATGATACAGCGCGCGCGTGCTAACCATTCGGCCATCCAAAACCCCCGCACAATAGATAGATTAGAAGTTCCCTAAAAACTTTTCTTTTTAAAGAATACTATTCCTCAAATTTTTAACCTTGAGGTATTTTTATAGCTTTTTGGTTTTTCTTTTTTGTTCTATATTCTGTGTTAATTCTGTAAAATCTGTTGATATGTAGATGTGATTTGACTTTAAACAATGAATTATTATTATTATTATTCATATTTATCTGTGGTTTTTCTAGAGCTGTACTCCCAATGAAAGAAAATATGTAAAAAGTGCTCAAGGCATGCTGTGGAATACCAGCTTTCAATCATTACGCTTAGATCAAGAGTGGAATGCTAAATCAGAATGCCGAGCAACAAAACGAACTACCCAAGTAAGTATAGTATATAGAAATGTCAGACTAAAACCTCATTTGAAGTCATTCGGTATATTAACCTCTATATTATGTTAATTGTTGCATTTCAATGTGGGCATATTATGTTGACATACTGTCCGTCCGTAAGTCTGGTCTTTCCATCCATCAACAATTGGCTATTGAATGCGATAGAGGCTGTAGTTTTTAACGGATGTTGTTTGAAACTGATAGTATGTTATTATTTATAGATAATACAACATTGTACTGATAGAACGTTATTATTTATAGATAATGCAACATTGTACTGATAGAATGTTTTTATTTATACATAATGCAACATTGTACTGATAGAATGTTATTATTTATAGATAATGCAACACCAAACTAATAGAATGTTATTATTTATAGATAATGCAACACCAAACTAATAGAATGTTATTATTTATAGATAATGCAACATCGAACTGATAGAATGTTATTATTTATAGAAAATGTAACATAGTACTGATAGAATGTTATTATTTATAGATAATGTAACACCAAACTGATAGAATGTTATTATTTATAGATAATGCAACATCATAATGATAGAATGTTATTATTTATAGATAATGCAACATCGGATTGATAGAATGTTATTTTTTATAGACAATGTAACATAGTACTGATAGAATGTTATTATTTATAGATAATGCACATAGTACTGATAGAATGTTATTATTTATAGATATGCAACATAGTACTGATAGAATGTTATTATTTTTAGAAAATGCAACATCGTAGTACTGATAGAATGTTATTATTTATAGATAATGCAACATCATACTGATAGAATGTTATTATTTATAGATAATGTAACACCAAACTGATAGAATGTTATTATTTATAGATAATGCAACATCGTAGTACTGATAGAATGTTATTATTTATAGATAATGCACATAGTACTGATAGAAATAAATAAGTAGCTGTTTTTCCATAAGTATGTGTTATAGTTTATTGCCCTATCCAGTTACTAAATGCCTCTTAAAGATTATGATAGAATGTTATTATTTATAGATATGCAACATAGTACAGATAGAATGTTATTATTTTTAGATAATGCAACATCGTAGTACTGATAGAATGTTATTATTTATAGATAATGCAACATCGTAGTACTGATAGAATGTTATTATTTATAGATAATGCAACATCATACTGATAGAATGTTATTATTTATAGATAATGCAACACCAAACTGATAGAATGTTATTATTTATAGATAATGTAACATAGTACTGATAGAATCTTATTATTTATAGATAATGCAACATCGAACTGATAGGAGGTATATGATGAACGGATCAGCCCTTAAAATACAACCTAGATACAATGTTGCTGATGAGGACATACAATATTTACGAGAACTATCAAAAGCTCGACAAGTTATTAAAGCCCAAGTCCAAGAAGAAAAACAAATGTAAGTATTGAGTAATGATAAGGTGGTGTAATTTGATTCAGGGAGCTGGTGGTCAGTCATTGAGTTAAGTGGCTGGGTTGGATTCCACAGTATAAAGAATATTAGGGCGGGAGGGGTGGGGGGGTGATTTGATTTGAAAGATAAAATGACTGTACGTTGTGGCATTTGAGTACAGTAATATTTTGAGATAGCTACAGAAAAGCCTAGTAGCTTAAAGATGCCATTATGTAAGTGCAAAATCTGCCTCTAGATTGCATACCTTTTTTTCTGGCCTCAAATGTTACATAAATCTCTAATCAACTCTTCAGATAATGAAATGAAATGGGGTTTAATGTCCTATTGTTCTGCTTAGACAGGGCTAATGAAGACGGACATACACCATACAGTGTGCTGTGGGGAAAATTTTGCCTGCGCAGCAGCACTATGGCTTACCCTTATATTTAATTCCAACTGCCATGGGATCTTTTATGTATACACTGGAACCTCACTTTTTCGTCCCATCCGAAAAACTAGACAGCTGTTCTTGTCAGGCCCTTCGTCCTGCACTGATGCAGGGATGAAACATGTGACTCCAGGCTAGTGAGCCCATGTCTTACCCCAATTAGCGACCGTGGCTCCTCTCTAGGTGATCAGATGGCTAAGATAGTGAATGGATTAGAACACTTGTTCCATTTAATAATTTAATGTTAAAATGGATAATCGAGACTTTGTTTATTATCGTAGTAATGATACTTGAAGATCAATACTATCTTATCATTACTTCAAACACTCATAAGTTTTCTCAGAATATTTTCAATTTGCATTTTATTATATTATTGCAAGAATGGCCAGCTCTATAACTCTTACACAATGCATCTTTTAATAAATCTATTATATCAGAAACGATCAGCTCTTTATCTAAATCTTACATAATGCATCTTTGGTATAACTATTATGGCAAGAGTGACCAGCTGTTTAACTAAATCTTACATGATGTACCATTCTTGTAAGAACGACCAGCTGTTTATCCAATTCTTACATGCCTTTTTAAGACCTTCGTAGCTCAGTGAGTAATATGCTGGCTTGTTAGCCAGGAGATCTTGGGTTTGTGCCTGGTGTTGCTTGAGAAAGATCCTTAGGATTTTCCGGCACAGTTTTCCCTTATCAGTTGTGCAGGACACGACATTGGGCCTGAAAAGAACAGTGTACACATTGGCATGCATGTAAAAGAACCCTTTGACAGTTGGAATTGATTTAAGATTTCCTTCCATTAATTTCCATTCTTTCTAAATAGGGAGGGGTTGGGGTGGCTGGATGATTTAATGCTTGTACATGACAAGGAGAAGGGTCACCTGTCCAACCTTGTGGGTTTTCTCCAGGTCCTCCGGTTTCCTCCCATTGCTAAAACCCCTATACACAAGCGAATTATCGAAATAAAATTGAACCGTATGTTAGTCTTGAAATGACCTAGTTTGTGTTGAGTGGAGGTTAAAACCCCTTTCTTGCTCTCTTTCTAATCTGTATTCATATTATAATCTTTAATCTCCTTCTCTTTCTTAGTTCCATGCCTCCTGTTTCTGCCTTTCCATCCGTTCTTAGATCTTCCGCAGATGAACTGGAAGACTCCGGTAACGAGGAAGCGGAGGGGAAAATGGAAGTCACTCCTATACAAAAACAACTGGAAGTTGATCAGACAATGCTTTCAAAGGCACAAACTTCATCATTAAGAGTTGAAAGCCCAGAATCTGGTTATCTGGAAGATGTCAAAATGATCCAAGTCCCAGATACAGAGATCCTATGTGTTCGTGATTTAAAGGAATCATCAGATGAGAAGATATTCCCACAAAAACAGCAGGACTGCCAAGAGCAGCAATCAATAACTCCAGAACTCGAAGGTGTAAAAATTTCAGATATTTTATCCTCACAGCAAGACTCTCAAGAGAAGCAATCAATAACTCCAGAACCTGAAGGTGTAAAAGTTTCAGATATTTTATCATCACAGCAAGACTCTGAAGAGCAGCAATCAATAACTCCAGAGCCTGAAGGTGTAAAAGTTTCAGATATTTTATGCTCACAGCAAGAATGTCAAGCGATGCAGTCAGTAACTCCAGAACCTGACGGTGTAAACGTTTCAGATATTTTATGCTCACAGCAAGAATGTCAAGCGATGCAGTCAGTAACTCCAGAACCTGAAGGTGTAAACGTTTCAGATATTTTATCTTCTCAGAAAGACGGTCAAGAGAAGCAATCTATAACCCCAGAACCTGAAGATATAAAAGTTTCAGATATTTTATCCTCACAGCAAGACTCTCAAGAGCAGCAATCAGTAACTCCAGAACCTGACGGTGTAAACACTTCAGATATTTTATCCTCACAGAAAGACTCTGAAGAGAAGCAATCAGTAACTCCAGAACCTGAAGGTGTAGTAGTTTCCGATATTTTATCCTCACAGCAAGACTATCAAGAGAAGCAATCAGTAAAAGTTTCAGATATTTTATCATCACAGCAAGACTCTGAAGAGCAGCAATCAGTAACTCCAGAACCTGACGGTGTAAACGTTTCAGATATTTTATGCTCACAGCAAGAATGTCAAGCGATGCAGTCAGTAACTCCAGAACCTGAAGGGGTAAACGTTTCAGATAATTTATCTTCTCAGAAAGACGGTCAAGAGAAGCAATCTATAACCCCAGAACCTGAAGATATAAAAGTTTCAGATATTTTATCCTCACAGCAAGACTCTCAAGAGCAGCAATCAGTAACTCCAGAACCTGACGGTGTAAACACTTCAGATATTTTATCCTCACAGAAAGACTCTGAAGAGAAGCAATCAGTAACTCCAGAACCTGAAGGTGTAGTAGTTTCCGATATTTTATCCTCACAGCAAGACTATCAAGAGAAGCAATCAGTAACCCTAGAACCTGAAGATATAAACGTTTCAGATATTTTATCCTCACAGCAAGACTATCAAGAGACGCAATCAGTAACTCCAGAACCTGAAGGTGTAAACGTTTCAGATATTTTATCTTCTCAGAAAGACGGTCAAGAGAAGCAATCTATAACCCCAGAACCTGAAGATATAAAAGTTTTAGATATTTTATCCTCACAGCAAGACTCTCAAGAGCAGCAATCAGTAACTCCAGAACCTGACGGTGTAAACGTTTCAGATATTTTATCCTCACAGCAAGAATGTCAAGCGATGCAGTCAATACCTCCAGAACCTGAAGGTGTAAACACTTCAGATATTTTATCCTCACAGAAAGACTCTGAAGAGAAGCAATCAATAACTCCAGAGCCTGAAGGTGTAAAAGTTTCAGATATTTTATCCTCACAGCAAGACTGTCACCAGAAGCAATCGGTTACCCAAGAACCCAAAGGTGTTAGATTTTCAGATATTCTAAGTCACCAGAGCAATAGTCCCTGTGGTCAGGTGATTATACAGTTAAGTAAAACAACGCCACAACCAGGTGAAGAAGAAGAGGTAGAACACATCAACCACAAGGATCGAATGCTGATAAAAGACCACTTGAATAAAACCCATTGGTGCAGTGATGGCTTGATTCGTCTGCAACCCGGTGATGGGCGTTATTCCATTGTGCCTTGTGGAAAATATGCACAATCAACGAAAGCCTCGAATCGATCTCAAAAACCATGCAATGTCCAAACGAATCATCGAATTGAATGTTGTAACAAAGGACATCAAAATCATGCGGCGGAGTTTGCACGATTCCCCGTGAGAAAACGATGTTATAGATATTGGAAAAATATTCCTAAAACCTGTCATTGTGATGGTGGAAATACCCCACTAGTTTTAGGTTTACAAGGTTTGCAAGTGCCGTTGGTTTCAAAAGATTACACCCCCCGATTGCATACGTAAAGATGAATTATGTAAGAGCTAAATCTGCCTAATGCAGGCCTTTCTTTAGGCCTTAAATTTTATATAAATTATTAATTAGACGATAATTAACTTATCAAGACCATAATCAACTCTCTATGCCATCGGATGCTCGATTTAAACACGATTAGCGGTTAATGATTTAATTAAAAAATGGATAATCAAGACTTCGATTACTATCTTATCAACGGTAGCAATGACAATCAATACTGCGCTATTCTCCAAACAGCCCTAACTTCGCTCTGTATGAAGTAATATGACTGAAATTTTCAAGATATTCCCTTTTTATCATCTATTTTTGAACTATTATAGCTAGACCTGTCAGCTTTTTATCTAAATCTTACATAATGCATTTTTAACACTGTCCATAATCAATTACAAATTCTTACCTCTTTGGTTCTAATCTTAGTGCTCTGCAATCACAAATTTTTATGCCCTTTTGTCTAATCTTAATTCCATGAAATTTTCAAATTCCTACACGGTTGCCATCTCTTTCGTTTTCAACTGATACTCATTACTATATATTTGATTGGTTCCATTATTGCTCTGTTTAACTTATAGATTGGCTAACAATATGGCAACCATGGACACAGTTGTCCAGATCCCCTGCCTTGGATTTATGTTATCGATTTTATAATCAAATACGAGTGCCCCATGTTCACATAAGTCTATTAGGGATTGTCTCAAAAATATATCAAATCCATTAGAGACAGTTGCAAAAAATATAACAAGTCAATTAGGGATTGTCGCAAAAATACATCAAGTCAATTAGAGACAGTCGCAAAAATATATCAAGTCAATTAGAGACAGTGCAATAAATATATAAAGTCAATTAGAGATAGTGGCGAAAATATATCAAGTCAATTAAAGACAATCGCAAAACTATATCAAGTCAATTAGAGATAGTCGCAAAAAATACATCAAGTCAATTAGAGACAGTCGCAAAAAATACATCAAGTCAATTAGAGACAGTCGCAAAAAATACATCAAGTCAATAAGAGACTGTCGCAAAAATATATCAAGGCAATTAGAGACAGTTGCAATAAATATATCAAGTCAATTAGAGATAGTCACAAAAATATATCAAGTCAGTTAAGGATTGTCGCAAAAATATATCAAGTCAGTTAAGCTATGTCTTATCATGAACACTTGATAAAAACTGCACTCAGATTTGTTATGTTAGTTCAATGTTTTATCATTAATCCCTTTTTTTTAAAATGCTACCCAATCAAAATGGGTGGTTTATGCGTCGATTGTTTTTTCATTGGACGTGGTTCTTGAGCCTTTAAACCTAACAATTTCCAGTTTCTGTTTCCACGTTACTGTGAAAGTAAAAAGTATGTAATATTTCATCTCCTTCATTATTTGCCTTGGTGGTGCAGAAAAATAGTACCGAGAAACTATCTGAACCTATTTGTGTTGTTATTTGTGGATAGACTGCTGTTTTTTGTTTTGAATTGTTATATGAAATGCTTTTATATATAAAAGAATATTGTTTATAAACAAATCATGCTATATATATTATATATTTCCTATACAAATAACACTGTTTACTGTTGTATCCAAATTGAAGTGAAAATAAAATTTTAAAACAAAACATTTAAATGCGCATCTTGTCTATGTATACGTGCTCTTTGTTTATCTTTTCGAATCCCCGGTTGTACGTGACAAGGCGTAGGGTCGCCTGTCCAACCTCGCGGGTTTTCTCCGGATCCTCCAGTTTCCTCCCACTGCTAAAGACCCCTACGCGCAAGCGAATTATTGAAATAAAATTAAAAACCATATGTTAATCCATAAGTTTGTGTCAAGTGGATGTTAAACCCCATTTCTCTCTCTCTCTCTCTCTCTCTCTCTTGTTTATCTTTTGTCTTGATTGTATGACAAACATAATCTCACTTTATTCCAATAGCTTCACACCACCGTGGTCAACTCTATACTGTATATACAAAAGCAATATAGCCCGCCGGTATCACCAGTAACATCATGGTCACCTGTATCACTACTAATATCATGGTCACCTGCATCACTAGTAACATCATGGTCATCTCTATCACTAGTAACATCATGGTCACCTGTATCACTAGTAACATCATGGTCATCTCTATCACTAGTAATATTATGATCACCTGTATTATCAATAACATCATGGTCACCTGTATCACTAGTAACATCATGGTCATCTCTATCACCAGTAACATCACGGTCTTCTGTATCACTAGAAACACCATACTCATCATGGTCATCTATATCACTAGTAGCACCATGGTCATCTCTATCACCAGTAACATCATGGTCATCTCTATCACTAGTAAAATCATGGTCATCTCTATCACTAGTAACATCATGGTCATCTGTATCACCAGTAACACCATGGCCATCTGTATCACTAGTAACACCATGGTCACCTGTATCACTAGTAACACCAAGGTCACCTGTATCACTAGTTACATCAAGGTCACCTGTATCACTAGTAACATCATGCTATCTATCTATAGCACTAGTAACATCATGGTCACCTGTATCGCTAATAACGCCATGGTCATCCATCATCACGGTCCCCTTTCTTTAACGTATTCATAGTCATTTGTATTACCATTAGAAAGGTCGTGGTCATAACAATATCCCCACATTCATTCGAGCATCGACGTCGTGTGCAATATCACAGCCCATTTTAAATCAAAAGTTTATATTAATTTATTATTTGTTTACAGAAATAAAACAAGAAGCATATCGGGATTAAAAATAGTAAGATTTTATTCTTAATGCAAAAATTTCTTTATTGAAATCTTTCTCAACTTAGTATATCTCAGTGACTACCACTGTTGGCCTCGTCTCAATGGTTAGATTTTATTCTTAATGAATAGTTTTCTTTATCGAAATCTTTCTAAAACTTAGTATATCACAGTCTCTGCAACTTTTAGCTTTGTTTCCTAGCAGAGTAATTCATGTTTTAAAATAGATGTTATTCTTAATGAACAGCTGTCTTGAACGCAATCTTTCTGAAACTTAAAATATCACAGTCTCTACTAGTGCAATATTTCAGAGTTTTAACTCTAGTCTTAAAAGACTAGATTATTTTCTCAATAAACCGTCTTCTTTATTATAACTGTTTTCTATTCAGTTTTCTAGTAGTTAACATAAAACTTTTAAATTATCTATTTAGTTATTCGTACATTAGTGTGCACTTCTTGCAGCATATATAAACTCATTTAGTCAATGCTTAAACATACATTATGCAAGAGCTATATCTGCCAATTGCAGGTCTTTCTTTAGGCTTGGAATGTTATCTAAATTATTTATTAGACATTAATTAACTTATCCAGACCTTAATCAACTGTCGATGCGATATTTATTGGATTAGAACCCGGACTGCTGCTTCTGATTAAATAAGAAAATTGGATAATCGAGACTATGTTTTTTTATGGTACCCACTTTAGTTATGATGATCGAGGCTAAGCCCAAAATTCAATCGCTAAATCCTCGGTTCAGGGTGGATCGATTTGACTGAAAATTTCAGCAAATTCCCTTTATATTATCTAGTTTTTAACTATTATAGTGCGAACTACCAGCTCTTTATCTAATCCCCCATAATGTATCTGTAAATAAGTAATTATTTCATTAAGATCTTTTCTATTTGAGTAAGTTTCTCGCGACTCACGGATATTTATCATATCTTCAATTTGACCAGCTGTTTTGAGGCTAGACTGATTTACATTGGTATTATCCAATTTATTATGTTTAAAAATTATATTACTTTTATACCATACTAGCAGATTACCCAGGTTGTGCCCGTAACCGGAAGCTTTAGGCCAACGCGTCCTAGCCTATGTTACTCCCCGATCCTAGCCCGTTAGGTCTATTTCATATGGCTAATTTCAAGTTTGGTCAAAAGGTCACGAGATATAAACAAGGCTAGCGCTAATCCCAACCCTAACCCATGACCTATCCCTAACTTTTAGCCTAACCCTAACCTACAATCTCGCCAACAATCACGTGCCCTAACCTTATTTACATCTCAGCGACCTTGACAAAGTCTTGACTTTGTCTTAAGAAATAGATCTATCCGTCCAAGCCGCCCCTATATACCAAATCTCGGTCTCGGAACAGCCCTAGTGTACCGCCAACCATGAACATAGTCACAAATATTAGTAAACCGTATCTTGAAACGCCATATCTGTTACAGATCTAACTAATAGTATTACGAAGTATTAAAATAACTTCCACTCCTAAGGCACGGCCGGTACATAGCTTATCCTGATGCTCCATTTTAAGCAACAGCAATCACTTGCAAACTACATTATTGTGAAAGATGAATCTCTAATAGGAATATTTGTCCAATAATGGTTATGGACTGCTTGCTATGCAATAATCTCACGGCCATTTTTTTTGTCCACGAATATTTATTGGTAGACCTGTTTTAAATCCGATTGAATCCAAACCGAAACATTATCTAGCGTTGGTATTTTGGTTTTTTTCCTAATTAAATGTTTTCTAATTCTTAATTAGTTTCATGGCTGGACTCCAGTCTGCAGTCCGCGCCACAAAGCCTGCCTAACTTTTCCCCGGTAACATTTACCAATACGACATCTATATCCCGTAAGCTATTATGTACAATGCATCCGTCGGTTTTATCCGTGTCCATGTTCCGGTGAAATTCATGAAAACTCATAAATAATTTTACAAACTTTTAATCTCGTCGTTATATACATGTTTTCCGGTCACAGATTTACGTTGGTTTTCCCAGATTGGGATTCCCAGAAATCTACGCGTCCTGCAGGCTGGAGTACAACCATGAAACTATTCAGTTGTTTTTCGGACAACTAGTTTCATTATGTATAACAGTCATTGTTAAACTAAATCGGAGAGATTTCGATTTGACAGTTTTTACGTGTTTTTGAAACATGTTTCGAAGTGTGTTGGTTCTGTTATGCAAGATCTTTTTCGACGTTCCAAAGTAAATGTACGGTGCTAAGACCACCTAAAGATAAGTTTTAAATGTTCCTACTATTAATTAGAACAGGTTTCGCTTTAGTTTTTATATTTTACGCTGACATTTTATTGCTTTAAATCTTCCTAGTGCAAAAACGGTAAATTTCACCTTTTGACCTCCGGTGTCACTAACACTAAAGGTGAATTTAGCAAGTTTACTTTTTTATTGAAGGAGTGATTACTTTCGGTCATTTTCAGCATATTTCCATGATACAAGAATGGCTGCGCACTCACTTTCAGTGCAATGACCCCATTTGACCTTTGGTCTTGTTTTGTATTCATTTGATGGACAACCCTCTGCACTGAGCCTCCGGTCTAACAGTCCTTCCGATATAATAGAATGCGTTGACACCCCCCCCTCCCCATGTACACAGAGGCGTACACATAAAATAAACCCTTGGCATTTGGAGATCGAAAATGACTCGACGGAAATTCACCCCTTTAACTGTACAACAATTTTTTATATTTTACGCTGACATTTTATTGCTTTAAATCTTCCTAGTGCAAAAACGGTAAATTTCACCTTTTGACCTCCGGTGTCACTAACACTAAAGGTGAATTTAGCAAGTTTACTTTTTTATTGAAGGAGTGATTACTTTCGGTCATTTTCAGCATATTTCCATGATACAAGAATGGCTGCGCACTCACTTTCAGTGCAATGACCCCATTTGACCTTTGACCCCGAATATCTCGAAAACGCCCCAACGGCGGACTGATTACCACTCGGCATCGTATTCCACGCAAAATTTAACTATAGAAAAGTTTGGTCTTGTTTTGTGTTCATTTGATGGACAACCCTCTGCACTGAGCCTCCGGTCTAACAGTCCTTCCGATATAATAGAATGCGTTGACCCCCCCCCCCCTCCCCATGTACACAGAGGCGTACACATAAAATAAACCCTTGGCATTTGGAGATCGAAAATGACTCGACGGAAATTCACCCCTTTAATTGTACAACACGTAAAAATAGAATTAGTCCCAGAATGACGTAAGTAAAGCCGATTGCATGTGGCCATGACATGAGATGTTAACGAAAACCAGCAAAACTACTAACGTAAGTCGCTTACGACCAGGGCCACAACTACAGGTACTACACTCACGTCGCTTACGATCATTGGCATAACTATAGACACTGGACTCGAGCCACGGCACCCACGTCGATTACGACCACAGGCACTCATGTCGCTTATGACCACAGACATAACTACAGGCACTCATGTCGCTTACGACCACAGATATAACTACAGGCACATATGTCGCTTACGACCACGGACATAACTACAGGCACGACACTCACGTCGTTCACGATACATCTGCGGCATCCGTCAAAGTAATGTCATAGTGTGCAACAAACATTTTGAAGCTATTATAACAAGAACGGTCAGCTCTTTATCTAAATCTTATATAATGCATCTTTATGCCATTAATTAGCTTGCTTTCAAATTGATAATCCCTATTGTCTAGTTTAAACTTCGGTTGTTATCTCATGTCTGGGTTTTAATCTCATCCAGTAGAAACGGATTAAATACTTTACATATATGCATGCTCATTAAATCTAGGGTAATCAGATTAATAGTCGATCCAAAACATTTATGTATTAT